GACCGAGACCGAGAAATGTTGATCGAATGGGCAGCGTTCCTTGAAATATGATTGAGTTTCTGGGTATTACAGTTTCGGAACGTGCCCCCTCCCCTTTCCGCTCCGGGGGGTGAAAATCCGAGTAAAGGATGGACTGGGGGATGAGTCTGGAGTGGGACGGGCCCGGACGGGCCGCGTGGGAAACGACCGATTGGCTCGCGGTCGGCCCTGGTCAGTGCCGCGAGGGCCGCGCCTGGGAGAGCGAGACGGGAACACACCCTTCGGGCAGCGGGGCGAGTTCCGAACGCGGACGCGACGGCCGCTACCCGAGCCAACTTCGCCCTGCCCGCCTTGCCTGCCTTGCCTCCATTGCCTCCATTGCCTGCCTCGCCTCCCTTGCCTGCCTTGCCTGCCTTGCCTCGCTTCGGACCCGTTTGCCGAACTCGTCCCGTAACTTCGCCCCGACAAACACAAAGTTTAATGTACGCCCCGCGAATATGGGCCGAGGCTGGTGGGGGCCGGGCCCTGCCCCTGCCGGGCGGGCGGGTCGGACCGGGCTGGGCTGGGGTCAGCGGCGCGGAGCCGGCCCTGAGCGTGTCAGAACGCTCGCCGCAAAGTCTAACACATTTACGACGCGAATTTGGACGCGCGGCCCCACTGCTGGCTGGGCGTGTCAAAAGCACCAGCCAGTCTCCAGCGCGCTAGCGGAGCCGCACAGTACGCAGAGTCAGGTGTACTGTAAGGTGAAGCAAGCTACTACACTGCGGCCTCGTGCGCCGCCCCTGGCCGGCCCGACTCGCCGCGGAGCGCGGAGCGCGGGGCGCAGAGCGCGCGCATCCCCGGTGTCTGGAAAATGAAACGAGAGCGCGTCACGACACGACGATGGTGACGGAATAATCCAAGGTCCTTTCACTGCGCCTCCAACCTCGTCCTCGAATTCCACCCCCCAATTTCCAACCATCGATTTTTCCCTTGTGTCAGCCTCTGCCCTCACGCCGGCCGGTACTGCCCCTCCCCCGCCACCCCACTTGATCCCCCCTCCGGGCCTCCAGGCCTCCCCTTCCGGGCGTCCCTTCTTTTTTCCCATGCGGATGCGGTCGCCGAGGTGACGGCAGATTCGCGCGCCGGGTGTGAGAGGGGCGGGGTGGGGCGGGGTGGGGCGGGGTGGGGCGCAAGCGGCGCAAGGGTAGGTGAAGGGCGGGGTGGGGTGGGGCGGGGCGGCGCGAAAGGCGGCGCGCGTAGCGTTGCAGACGAGTCGCGATCAATACCGGCCTTGTTGTGTCTGCCTTGTCCGCCACGCGCCGCCTTTCGCGAACCTTCATTTTTATCTCGAGGTGCCGTGGATTTGACAATGCACCTCGCAGCTGGATTATCGGGCTATCGGGCGCGGGGCGCGGGGCGGAGTCAACGCCTCGCGTAGCCTCCACACGTCGCCGCGACCGCCCGGACGCTGCGGTGGAGCGCCGTGGCGGTAGGCAGCCACTCCGACGGCGAGGCGCGACGGGAGGACGGCACTCCGGGCGCACGGGGTGGACGGACCGCCGTCGAGATCGAAGCGCAGAAGTGCGTCAACTTGAGTACGCTTTTTTACCCGTCGGGGGTGAAATTGTTCCAGTCGAGCGTGCGAAGGGTTCTGGGCGGCGCCGTCCGGGCCGCCGCGTAGGGTAGTGCCCGCCTCGCCTGCCATGCTGGGGCCACGGCGGGCCTTGCCCCCATATTTTACTGGGACCCCCGGACCCCCGCCCGCGCCGGGGCGGCCGGGACGGGCTCGGATCCGGAGGACACTGTCATCATATCTCTGGTCCCTTCCCCTTCCCTTCCCATCCCCCGCATCCGCCTTGCTGGCCGCCTTGCTGGCCGCCGCCCCCGTCTTGACAGAAATTTAATCAACACATTTCTTCCCCCGGACGGCAATGGGAGTGTGACGTCGTTTAGCCTCGCCAGTCGCAAGGCATTCTCTGCGCAGGCCGGCCGGCCGGACGCGGCGCGGTATCCAAGCCCTCGCTGCTCGCGTGACACGTTCAAAGTGTCAATGCGCACAGTGGAGCCGAGGCCCGTGCCGTGCCGTGCCACGCTGTGCCACGCCGTGCCGCCACACCAAGTCAAACCTAACCCGCCCCGGCGCCGCGCCAACCCGCGCCTGCCCTACCCCGCCCCACCCACCCTAATCCCAGGTCCGCGCCGGCCCCGCCACCCGCGCCCCTAACCAGGCCCTACCCCACCCTGCACCCCGCGCCGCCCGCGCCGCCCCCGCAGCCCCCGTCGCGCCCTTGCCACAAGCGAACTCCCCTTCCGCCGTCGGTACCCCCTGCCTGTCGCCCCCGCCGTCGCCCTCCCCTTCCTCGATCAATACCCTCGGACGGAATCTTCGGGAGGCGAGCCTAAGCCTTCCGCAGCCGCGGCCGTCTTAGACGCGGCCGAGGGTGAGGACGAGGACGGCGCACGGCGGCGGAGACGACGCAGACGGCCTGGACGGCCTCGCCGCCGCAGCCGCGCCGCAGCCGCAGGCCGCAGCCACCCCGACCGCGCCGCGCCCGTCGCCCCGTCGCGCAACGAGCGTCCTCCCCTCCACGTGCTCGGCGTGCTCGGCCTGGTCAAGGAGGCCGTGTCGGGGGAGCGCCTCGACCCTGACTTGCCCCCCGCCACGCCACACCGCCGCGGCCGCGCGGTCCTCCAGCGGCGCGATGCAAAGAGGGGAGGTGCCCGTCGTTCTCTGGCCGTCCCGCCGCGCATATTTGAATTTTGGCGGCAATCTGGCAATCTCGCCGTGGCCGTGATGCCCGCGTGGAAGTTGGGGTATCTCGTGGCGGGGATCGGCTGGCGCCGCACACGACACCCCGCTGGCGCTACTCGTGAGCCGCGAGTCCACGACGGGGTTCGTGGCCGCATGGCCCCGTGGCCCCGTGGGTACTTGGGGGAGAGGGGCGGGGGTGTTGGCCCCCCCGGGGTCAATGACACGTCCTGCCCCGCCCCACGTCGTGTGTCCTTCCTGCTCATTTAAAACGGTGGAATAAGGAAAAATGAATGAACATCCCGCGCCCCGCGCCCCTCTCCCGAGACTCGACTCGCCCCGCACGGCCCGCACGCCCACCCAGCGCCTTGCCGGCAATGCAGACAGCGAACCACACTCTCCTTGAAGGGAGTTGCTCGAGTTGCTGCAGTTGGGGAGGCGTCTCGACAAACCGATAAAGGAGAGAACAGAACACCCCACGACATAATTCAATAGAAAGTCCTTTCCCTGACAATGCCGTGCGGAGAGGGGCGAGAGGGGCGCCCGCCGACCTGTGTCTCGTGTAGCCGCGTGCGTAGAGCCACCGTTCGTCGATCTGCCTCGCTCGCACCCATAAAGGTACGGGACGCCCCATGAGTGCGACAGACAGAGTGATGAAACGATCCTCCGGAGCAAGGCGGCAGCAGCCCCGCCCCGCCCAGTGCCCTGCGGCCCCGTAGGACCCATAGGGCGCCAGCCCGCCCTTTCCTGCCCTATCCGGCACCAGCACCCTTCGGTGGCCCCCGATAGTGACAGCCTGGCGGCTCGCTTGGGCTCGCCTGGGCTTGCCGGCGGCGGGAAGGGGCGGCGGGAAGGGGCGGCAGGTGGCGCGGGGTTTGTTTGGGTGGTTGCCGTTGTGTTTCTCCGGACGGCGCGGAGGGGAGGAGGCGGGGGAGGGATGGGGGCGGGGCTGCCGGGGTGAGCACAAGGCATTGATCCCGAACGGAGACGGCGGCGCCTCGCCTCGCCTCGCCTCGCTTTGCCCTACCCCCACCGCAAGGGCAGCAGGGACTTGGGCGGTCTGCGCGGTGCTGGTGCCACCACGGTGCCACCGTCTGGAGTCGAGACTGTCCCCACGCCGACAGCGGCGACAGCATTAGGGCACTCCGGCCAAAGGCCAGACCGACCCTTCTTTGGACTGCACGAGCGAGCGTCTAGATCGCCCTCCGGCCTGGCCAGACCTGGCATTACCACCTCATTGTGCCGCTGGCCGACAGAGGGCCAGGAAAGGATGACTGTACAATGCAGTACTTTCGTTGACGAATACCAACCAGACTCGAAGCCAACCCACACTTAGGCCGGCCTCCGCGAGAAACCCTCGGAAGCGCCCTGCGGAAGGGTAGTGTGGGCCCTTTCGTCCTTTCGCCCTCCTCCCCCGTGGCGTCCTCCGCAGAATGTGCTGGGCGCGCGAGGGCGGGCAAGGGCCAAACCCCCATCCCGGCACCACCCGGCACTGGCATTGCCGGTCTAGCCCTTTTGTCCGCACCCGGCCCGCCATCCGCCGGGACGCCGGGACGCCGGGACGCCGGGACGCCGGGCTGCCAGGGTGACTGCCGAGGCGGGGGGCTGCCGGGCCGAGTCGTTGATCCGGATCAAAACAGGTCAATCGAGTCCTTCGGTCCTTTCGTCCTTTCACCGTCCAGGACCACAGCAAGGCAGGGCCAGGAGCACAATGGTCTCCATCCTTTTCCACCCGCCAGCCACATCGGCCCCTGACTGCCCGGCTGGCCCCTGGTCGCCCTGGTCGACCCGTCAAACCTCCCCATTGTCGGCTACAGTGCGCCACCTTTTGGTTGAAATTCGTCCCATTTACCAGTCGCAAGTCGACTCGGGCCTCCCTTTCTCGGGGCTCTCAGAAGAGCGGTTCATCAGCCCGTCTCTCTCGCGCCCCTTCAGTGAATGCGGAGGGAAGGAACGACTTTCCGGAATCGCTGGGCCTGGGCGTTCGCCTCATGGTTTCAATGAAGAGTGCCTTTCATTCAAACATTCTCTGGGTTGCCGTCCTACTTGCGCGTTGCGTTACGAACGCTGCCTCGTGCCATTTCCTCCGATTCGAATTGCCACCCTTCGGTACCCTTCGGCGGTTACCTGCCGCTTGGATTTCCGGATTTCCCTAAAACGTTGGCGCGCTGTGCCCCGCCCAGTCCGCCTTCCGCCGTGCGGCCGCGGCGCTGCCAGCGCTCTCTGGCGGCTAGACGTTGAGTCACCGCACCCTCCATCCCCCTCTCCGCTCCCTTCGCCTTCCCCCACCCTCGGAAGCACCATCGCCATCTTGCAGGCACGCCGAGCGTCGTTGGCGTCACCAAGCTCTTGTCCTAAGATGAGTGAATTGAGAGGAAGAAATATTTGAGGGTCTGGCGCGCTATTTATGGCTTAAAGCTGTTGCCGCTGCATTCACAACTTTAAGGACAGTGATAGTAGTCATTAAAGGTAAGATTTGGGCCGTATGTGCAACTCCTTGCCGTACATTTTCTTGTTTCCAAGACATTCTGCATCCTTATGATTGCTGCTTAAGCCATTTAAAACAACAGCAACCTTGAAACGCTGGGGTCCCGTGTCTTTGTAAGCGCCTCGTCTAGTGGAGCTTCTCTTAACTGGTGCGCCGCATGCGTTTTCGATCCCTTTTCGCCTCGGGTGGAATTTGTGCACGACCGAACGCGAAAAGACAGCTTTGTTTTTTCCTTGAGCCGCCGGCTCTCGGACACATTCATCATCGAGCAACGGTCTGTCGTTGTCCAGTTGAAATTCCTAGACCTCGTCTCTCGCCTCTACGCTCGGCACTCATTATTTGCCTTTGTTTCGCATTGTATTTGAGGAACGCGTAGCCCCTCAATACGTGATTTTTCTTCCTTGCGTTCATCCTGATGGTGGATCTAGGCTTCCATAGACGGAGCCATTTACATCCGTACGCGTCGGTTTTGAGTGATGGCTGACGGGTTCATGTTGTTCTGGATGTTTATTAAAAGAACAGTTTCGTTTGATGGTTTGGCCTGTTCGACTAGCTATTTGATTCAAATTTTGTTCGGGAATCGGCTCTGGGTTGTGAGGTTTCATAGCTCTTAAAAAAAAAAAGATAGCTAAAATTGAATATTATAGTGAGAGGTGTTGTTAGCCAAACAAAGGACTAGGCTTCTCAGGCCCTCAACAACCTTCATTTCTTAAAATTGTTTGGTGATCACTTGCATAATTTTTTTTTAGACCTCCCTCTGTTTTATTTGCTCTGTTGAAAAAAAATAATTAGTTTGTGAATTGCTTGTAAATTTTTGTTCTTCTCTGTTTTAGGTACCGAAGATGTTAGGATCTCAGCAATTTTGTGTACGTTGGAACAGTTACCAAACTAACTTACAGGATGTATTTCCTAAGCTTCTCAATAGTGAACATTTTGTTGATGTCACTTTAGCATGTGAAGCTCAAATGATAAAATGTCACAAGGTATATAAATATTTGCCTGGTTTTCATTTCTTTTGCCATTTGTCCCCAGTTTTCTAAGTGCTAATTTCTTTTTTGGCAGGTGGTACTGTCGGCTTGCAGTACGTATTTTGAACAGTTACTTGTTCAGAACCCATGTCAACATCCAATTATTTTTATGAAGGATATGAAGCATTGGGAGGTACAAGCATTAGTCGATTTTATGTACAAAGGAGAAGTGAATGTATCTCAAGATGAAATTTCAACTCTCCTAAAGGCTGCTGAAGCCTTGCAAATTAGAGGATTATGTGGGGCTGACAGACAACAAGACAGTAATGCAGTCAGTTTACCTCCAGAAACCACAGTTTCAGACAGTGGTAAGTTCTATCCAGGATCGTAGACCTGTACCTGTCTAATGAAAATTATTTTCATTGAATTGTGTTGTTGCATTCAGGTGGGAGAGAAACTCCTCCAGCCAAACGAAGAAAATTTCCTGATCAGCAGCAGGACCGCTCTGAGCGGCAAGAACGCCAAGAACGTAAAGAGAAGCAACAATCCAATGCACCAACTCCTAAATCAGCCAACACAACTCAGAACCCCCTAGGAACATCTACACCAACCTCATCAAATAATGATTTAGCTTCAGTCTTAGGGGTGTCTGGTCCTATCATAGCATCTGTTACATCAGCACCACTGAGAGATACAGAACGCAACAGTAGTTTAAAGGAACCTCGTCCTGAGGAAACTGCAGACAGAGTAAGTTTTTAATGTGTAGAACTTAAACAATCTTTAATTTTTTAAATATTTGTTCATGGAAATTGACTCCATGCTTTTTTTCTGTCTAGTCGAACATTAAACGTGAAAATATTGACCAAGAAGATTCATACTTCGACAATGATGGGGACTACGACTCATTTGACATTCAGGTGAATAGCAGTTGTGTTTAGTAAAATGTTCATTTTTCATGAGCTGTGCTTCATGCTAACTGCTTTGCTACAAGATTTCATCAATGCAAGTGGTATTGGGTTTTCAGGATGATTCAAACAGCATGAACCCTGATATATCCATGCCAACTTCACCTTTAGACCAGGCAGGACCATCCGGTGTGCAAGAATCCAAGCCAACAGCAGGTATGTACAAATTATTCAAACTTATCCCAAAGGAGAAGAGCACTTAGTCTGTCAAGTTCAAAATGAAACAAATGTTATTTTGGAGCCTATTGTTGCTCACAGAGCCTATTATTTTGATTAATGAATGTTTCACCTATAAATGAAAACCTCTTAGCAATTTTTTCTGATGAATTTCAATGACTGACTGGTCTTCTCCTGTTTTATCTCAGAGCCAGCACAGAACTCTGAATCTTATGTAAATAAACATAGGAAATTTGTATATTCTTACGCAAGCAAGACATTTTTATGCAAGCATGCATGTATGTTGTGAATATTAAGAAGACTGGCATTGTTGCACTTGGCATTGGGTCATGGTCTCATCTTATTTCTAATTTTCATTTTAGTTCATTGATGATTTTAATTGTTAGATATTTGTTTCAGTCGTTTTCTGTGCTGACTCTGGTTTTATTATGACTAGTATCTCCCATGATTTTCTGAATTAATTGATTCCAGTAATTTTCATTTATTATCTTGTGCTCTGGCCTGTTTTGTGGACTTCAAGGTTTTGGGTGACAGTGAGGTTAAATCACTAGATTCTCAGATGCTCTTGTGAATATCTAGCATCATCCTCTAAAGTTCCCTCCTTCATTATTTTTTTCATATGGATTTCAATTTTGAACTTTCAACTTTTATTGACTGAAGGAATTGTTTAGTTTCCTTCTCATGACCTGAACTTCAGAGTGATGATGCAGCATCCTTAGCAAGAATGTGGTTTGTTTTTGTTATTTTTTAATAGTTTTATTTTTATTGGAGACTTAAAATTAATGTTGCCTCAAACCATATCCTTGCTAAGTTGCCTACCTTTTTTCAATGCAACACGTGCTTGTAGGTCTTAAGTAAGAGGGTTGGCTGATCCCTATTGCACTGCTTGTTGAATAAAGTGAACACTGTACTGTAGCAGAGGGGAGCTTGGGGCTCTTGACCTTCATTCGTCTGTTTGACCCGTACTGTACCGTACTTCATGGGCATGTATGTAAAGTATTTTTAGCTGTAGTGTATGGCCTGATCATGTGCAGGACTTTTTCTTTCCCTCTCATCTCTCATTGTTGAACATCTATCTCCATCACTAAACATCTGTCTCAGAAAATCTCAGCGAAGTGTAGACACCACCACACAGGGACAGGGTGGGGTGGGAAGGAACTCAACACTCATTTGTTGCTGTTATTTTGAATTACTGCAATTTGTTTGTGTGGCTATTTGGAAGTGATAGCCTATCCTACAAGATGATGTCTTTGAAGATACGTGCAGTTATCCATTATTTTTATGGTTGGTTTTTAAACGAAGATCTCATATGCGACTGCTGATTTTTAATTTGTTCATGGTAAGTTGTAACCATAACATATTTTCTCTTGTTCATCCTGTTACTGATGTAGTCTTGCCGCTGAACTTTTATGTTGTGTGTATGGTAAAATAGAATAACTTAGATGTGGGTCTTGTAGAAATTTGTGCCTTCTAATTTCTTTCACTCTACTCCAAAATTTTGGATTTTAATCAATAGACTTTTCCTAATCTACTTTCAGGGTTCTAAAATTAACTTAACGTGATGGTGCCTGTAAATAGTACAGTGTTAATGAAATTATTCATATATTATATAGAATGCAGTAACAATTTGGCTTTGAGTGCCGCATGATCTCTATTTTCTTTTTTGAGATATTTGGTGTGGTTGCTTGGTGATAAATGTTCCGTCATGCTGGCCTTGCTTTTTTGTCCATTCTGTGTTAAAGATTAGCATGAGTCTGTGACATTTAGGCTTCTTCTGTTTCTAGATGAACGGCTTGTATTAAATTTGAAGTTGGTCTCATTTAGAGTTTTTTTAGGCTTAATATACATTTGATATTTTCATCATTGTGTCAGCTGTAGACAAAGATGACAGCTTTTCCTGTCAAATTCAAGATTTTCAAGGTACATTCAGCATAAGTACCTTTTACTGGGGTATTATCCTAGCTTTGAAAATGGATTAGAGTTCTATATGTGGCAAGAGGAACAAGATGCGTTTTCCGGTTGTTTGTGAAAAATGTGGGATGCATGATATTGTTAAGTATGCTCATTCACTTAAACCGTTTCATCTTTCGATTCTTTTATTCATCATTAAGTTTTGCTGATGCTAAATGTTTATGATGATTAAAAGGTTTGACTTAAATCCTCATCAGGCAGGAAGTTTTGTTCTGTTTGCACATTGAATTATTTCTAATTTGTCTTTGGTTTGCACCTTTTACTTTTACTCTTCTTAGAGCATTGTTGTAATAGTTTTGACAGCCAACCTTCCTTATTATTAATGGTAATCTTCATATCTAGTGATTATGTGTTTCAAGTAGTTTGAGGTGGCTGGTCAAGGTGTAGCTTAGATAGTTCCCTTTGAGCTTGACAATATTGTCTTGGATGCAGGTGTTGGCCCCTCTGCCCACTTTACATGGCTGCCAAGCGTCGCTGCCGTAGATCATCACAACAGTATCCCGGACTCTGTCAGACTGACACAGTTGTCATATCGAGGAAGCCCACAATTAGATGGAAGTCACCCAAGTCATAGTCAAGATGTGCATAATATTAATGATACGGATGAGTATAGTTTTACATATGGTGCAATGGATGAAGTTGTCTGGGATATACCTGGAGGACCTGTTAACTTGGTCGATGGCCGCAGAGCTCGCATTAGTAAATTTCATTCAGAAGCTGAAAAACGAGAAAGGAAGCTCGTATTAGCACGACTTCGTCAAAAACGTTTCAGAGAAAAAATGAAAATGTTAAGAGTTATCAATTCTGAGCCAAATTTGCCTCCATCAGACTCCTCTGATGTCAATTAACTTCGCAAATTTCTACTGATTGCATAAACTGCATAAACTGATGTTAAATTTTCAATACACTTGCTCATTCATTCATAAGAAATGAAATGTATCACATTTCATTCTGTTTGTTGAAATATAGTATGGTAGAAAGTTGCATTGATTGGATTGCGTTTTATGGGGTTTTCATGCCTGTGCACCTTGGTACATGTGGTCTTAAAATTTGCTAAGTCAACAGATGTTTATCTGACCAATTTGTGTGTGTTTGTCTGTGAGTGTTCAGCGTGGAAAGTTAAAATTAATTTCTCAAGTGTCATTAAATTCGTAATGTGTTAATCATTCTATCAAGTGAACTTCATCTTAAACACTTGTCTCTTAAGCTACTTGTTTCATTATCATTATATTGAAATGGTGTTGTTTCTATCATACACTTCAGTAATAGTTCTGTGATACTAGTTTTAGGGCCGATTAAACTTAAGGAATAGCAAGAGTTGAATTCAGAATGCCATCATTAGCATTCATCCACAATTAGACTGTACATAACATTAAGTAAATTCATAATATAAGTCTTCTATTTTCTCTTTGTTAATGTAGAGACTTATTTCTGCTTTGTATTTTGTATAAAATTAAATCTCATCTTGCCCCAAGGTGAAATCCTTCATATTTCTTGTTTATTGATCCTTAATGAGGTATGCCTTCACCGGACAGGAGTGATGACTAGAAATCCATAGGCGGCAAGAAAACAAATGATCTGTTGTTGTTATTGCCTGTTTTCAAGTTCTTGTTTCGTGTTTTGTGATCATTTCTTTTTAAAACAATTAATTGCCATACAGCTTTTCTTTTGGCATATATTATCTTCTTGGTTGAAAACCCTAAAAGTTTTATCTTAGTTAAAAAATTACCACACTTTTCTATTTCTCGCCCTCCCCCCCTTTCTTTTAAACTCAAATGTGGGTTGGTGCTGCCAGTTTGTTACATCCAAGTGGAAGACCCTGCCTGTGCCCCGTTTTTATTTTGTTAAAATCTGGTGACTTCCGTTCTACGTGTTTGGCCAAGTTCAGATGCATGTCTATGGATGTAAGTTGGTCTGTGTCTAGCATGAAATTGCACATCACCTTATAGCTTATTTTTGCACATTTGCCTGTTTTGGACCAAAGTTCTAGGTGTCTGGTTGTAGGTTTTCTGTAGTTTTATTTTGACTTAATTTTTTAACACAATTAAATAAACATGGAATTTTTGCTTATGTAAATATGTGATGCTTAAATTTTTTAGTTTTGAAGGTGAAAGTGCAATCTGTTCTGGTCCCACCTGTGCTTACTCCACTTGTGCATGTTTGCTGCAGGGTATGGAGTCAGCAGTCTCAATTTGTCACCACTTTCTAAGTTTCCCTAATGGAAAGAACCTACTTTAGTATTCCCTGCAGTGAATTCATTTCGTCTTCTTTTTTTTTTTTTTTTACATAATCCATGGAACATCGATAACCATTAAAGGAGACATGATCTACGACTTGTCATATGGCAACTTTAACTTGGGCAGCGATGTGAGCATGATTACTTCAGGCAGGATGATGTCCAATGCTGACATGCAGCATTACTTACGAATGCTCAATGTTCGCCAAGTTCGCCAGTATTCTCAGGAAAATCTTGATCAAGCTGTGGCAGATATGATGGCTGGAAGATTCAAATCTGTGAGAGCATGTGCACGTCATTATGGAGTTCCATTGACCACTCTCCATTACCGAATCAAGAATCGCGCCAAAGGAACAGCTCTTGCTGAATCCTCTTCCTCACCACTTGCTCGTGGAGCCTTTTAGCTACATAACTGTGATTTTAATGATGAGGAACGCATGACAGGATTATTTGGTTTGATCTTCTATCATGCAATGTCCGTAAACTCTTTCATGAGTTTGGGAGGCTGGTTCACTCATTAGTTAGTGTGCATTTAACATTTTAGTTCACTTCCTGTTTATGATAAATGACTGTTGGATTAGTAGCCTGAAAAGTTTTACCACTGATTATGTACTTCTAATGTTGGACCTATTTCCCATCAAGTTTATTTATTGTACTTTGTAAATACAAGTTGCACATGTGAACATACCGTTAAAATATTATATTCTTTTAGTCACATTCCTCGCTTGTGTAGCTTAAAACCCCAGTCATTGTTAATTGTTTCTCTAGGCTGTATTACCATTTAATCAGTTTTCTTTTTTTACTTGCTGTATTTTTAAGTAGTAGTCGAGTGTAAGTTTATCACATTATTCAACTTTTGTGCAGGCTGCATGATTTGGTTACTTACACAAGACTAGTCATAGTGATTGTCCTTGAAATCTTTCTACAGGGTACCCATTCTCCCTTGAGTCATTTTTATACACATGCTGTACAAGTCCTTATAATTGTCTATGATTCTTCAGCTGTTGACTTAAGTGAAAACTACAAGAAAATTGAGATGAAATTAGGTTAATTTTATGTTTTGAGGCATGCATTTTTTCTCTTGTTCTTTTTTTTGGCTTAATATTGTTTGTATCATGTTTCCTTATACTCACGTACTTGCCTCGGGTGTTTCTCAAAAAGTTGCTGTAAAGTAATTATCGTGGAGCACATTTTTGGATGGTTTCACGATAACTGACTTCAGGCAACATGCAAATACTACATCACCTCTTTTGTACCCTCCATCATCAGTCTAACCCAACCTTCCCATGTCTTTAAGATAGGGTCGTTATTGGAGGCCCAAAACTTCCCCAACCCCCTTAAGTGATGATGTAACATTTGCACATTGCCTGAGAAATCTGATATGATTCTGACAAGTTATTTATTACTTTTCCTCTTTAATACCAAAGACATATGATATTGATCACAGGTTTTAAATTTGTGACTTAATTTGTTATTTACAGGGTTTGAAAATGCCAATACCAGATTCTCTCAAAAGTGTGGAGGGCACCTTTTTTTTTTTTTTTTTTTTTTTTTTTTGAACTAACAGTCTATTGGCAGTGAATAGCTTCATTGTTCTGAAGCAGGGTGGAGCATATACTGATAATTTTTTTTTTTTTTTGCCTTGTTTCTGTTCCTCTGCACAATGTCCTGTTTGGTGCCGCCTCTGCAGTCATTAAGTCTGATGTTGAAAACAAGTGTCTAAAGACTGAACCATTTCAAATATGATGTGCATAACTAACTTCTTTCTTAATGTAGACTTTTGGAATGTTATGAATTATTGGGACAGCAGACAAAGCAAAGCTGTCTGATTCTATCTTTTTTTTAAGTGTTGACCAATGGAAACAATAGATCTAAGCCCCAAGAACTCACCTTTGTGGCACTGAGTATTAAGGCTTCTTGTGCATTAGCATGAAACATTGTATAAAATTCCTAGTGTTTTCATAATAAAGATTTTTTTTTGTAATCTTGCCCCATTTTTTTTAAAGTGAAGACTTTATGCTTTAACATCAAAGCCCTTTCCTTTGTATCACTTGAGGTAATGAAATTCTCATTAGTTCAGTTCTGTTCAGGGAATTTCCCCGAGTAACACAATCCACACATGTATGAGAACTAGCTCTTACTGTTGCAGCTCTCAACTACATCTAAAATAATCTGTTAATAAATCCTGTGGCATGGCAGACGACTTTTCACGTATTGTTAGGAAACACAAATTTTCCACATTAGAACCCTTCGTCTTGTGTTCATTTGAGGCCAGGTAACAGGCTCATCTGTTTCTGCACTCAAACAGTAAATCAAAACTCCTGCAGAAGGGAAGGGGGCGGCCGATAGTATTTCGAACATATGCCACTGTTTGCTTGTAAAATTGGTGTCTCTTCAAAAGACAGCTCCTTGAAATATGTTTTGCATAAGATATACCTCATGGACTTGTGCAACCAGAATGAGTCAGTATTATATTTGTGTCTTTCCCATTGCATGCTTTCAGCCCAGGATGACATATTTTTATCAAAACATCATTAAATTGTTCTTGTTAATTTGTCAAAGAGGAAACAGTTTTTTATTTTTTTAAATTTCTCTTTCCCACTCTTGCTATTTTCTGGTTTGATTTGGTATACTATTTGTCATATTTATGTCTTCATTTTGCAGTAATATTTGCATGAGGTGAAGAAGAACATTTGTCTCTTTAGTATTGTAATGGATTGGTGTGCATGTGGTTGTAATGCATGATAAATTATGGATTGATAAGGGAATGCATTTGAAACATTGGGAGTTTGGTTCACAGTAGGGCTGATACTTACTCGTTCCTGTGTCCTTTTTTATTATCCACCCAATGTTTGGATTGGATGTGTCTGTAGTTCCTAAACAGTTGTAGTGTTTAAGCCCTAGCTGTATCTCAATTCTTAGCTAGTTAGATCTAAGGGTTTTCTCACATTGAACCCATGTAATTTTCAACTTCCTAGTTTTGCTTGTTGTTATTAACTGAATCACTGATTTTGCTGCTAATTTTTATGTATCTTATATCTTAACTTAGTAGCATATGATCTGAATTTGAAAGAATGGTTATTCCTCAACAGAACTATCGATGCTGATGCGCCCCAGTTGGGTACCTCGCGCCCGCTTCTATCGTCAATACTCAGAGGCATCATTATGGGCTGCAATCATGGAAGTTAGTAGTGGTGAAAGTGTCTACAAAGCATCACGGAAGCATGGAGTGCCTGAAAAAACTGTTCGCGATTGGATGAAAAGGCTCAATATTCAGAGCCAGTTCAGTGCACCGTACTTAAGACGCGCAGCTGCCAGAGCTGCACAGCAGTCCCCAAATACTTCCTCAGACTTGATCCTTCCGGTCCCTTTAGCGGCTGATTCTAAGGACGACTGTTCTGACAGCTGATTCTAACAAAGCTTTGAAGCATGTGCTTGTCTTTAATAGACGAGTAGTTGTATCTGTTATGCTTCTACTAAACTTTACATTCGTTTTCTTTCCCATTGTGTTTATTTTGAATGTCCCTCATTCAAAGTTGTCAAGCCAAATAAAGTAAAATGATTCTTCTTCATTTGCCCTTTTTATTATTTAGGTCCTGCAGAAGCAGATTGTTAACCTTAATCAGGGTATAAAGTGATTCTTGTTAATTTTTTAAAAATCTCTGTGTACTTTGAGAAAAAGATTAGAGTAAAAAATATTGCTAAAGTAAAATTGGGTTTCAAGTCTTAAGCCATTTCAGAAGGATCTATGCTAAACATCACGGAGCAGTATTATCGGGTTAAGGTGTGAGTGAGCAAGACAAGACTGGCTTTGTATCAGTATTTTATTTAATTACTATTTTCCTGCTGTGACTGATGCTTTTATGTCAAACTTTCAAAAGACCAATTACACTAACTACAATATTCCATGTCAGGTTATTTTCTGGAAAGATTTAACCATGGGATATTAAATTTACTTTTAAGTGGTTTGCACTGGATTGTTTTCTGTTAAGGTATTGCATAGAGTAGTATGTAGTATGTACTTTCAGATATGGGAACTCTGATGGCATCATAAAGAAAGAAGCGCATTTATACTGTATGTCATATACTATCTGCACTTCTTAATGCTTTAGATAAATTTTATCATAGGCCAACAACAACACTAATTTGTGTTCTTCTTTTTCTTTTTGCATGAAAATTGCCAAGTGTGCCTTAGAGAGTTGCTGTGAAATGTCACTCCGCCATCTGAGTTATAGTTTTTGATTATCTGGTCTTTAGGTTTTAGATAATAATATTTTGCGTAGTTAGAAAGCTAAGGTAGGATTTGGAACAAACCATACATATTTCAGTGCATTCAGAGCAGCTCATTCTGTTTTTTTATCTCTGGAAATTAGTGAGCTGGTAATTAATGCCTTCCTGTTAAAACATGTTTTTTGTTTTCTTTCTGTGTTTTTTTTAGTGGCCTCAATCCTGTAGGTTTATTTATTTTTTGGAGCATATGTTTGTTTTGTACCTTTTTGCTTTTCAACACAAGTTAGAGATAAATAATGACTGAATGTTGACTTTGTGCCTTCAATTCAAATCTGCTGGTTTTTATTAATAGTTCTACTGAACTGGGAGGATGAATTAATAAATGTGTTAATTCTTGTAACTACTTGGTTTCATGATCTTAAGAACTATTTCCTGCTTCCTCTTGGTAACCTTTTGCCTTTTAATTTTGACTCATAACAAAATATCTGAACTCTACTTTATGTGTGTGGGTGTGTGTTTGTGGGTGGGTGGGTGTGTCGTGGAGGGGAGATATTCAATGAGCAGAGGGAGCAATAAAGGAAACACTTCTTTCACATCTCAAACTGCCAACATGCTAGTCAAACCAAAGACAACTTTCAGTCAAGATGTTCACAAAGGTTCTCTTGGGGCAGCTCAAATTAGCAGCACATACAAATTCTATGAATGGTAAAGCTGTACCTCTGTTTTACTGATGTATTATTCATCTAGTTCATTGAAGTAGCCCCCTTCCTACATCTCTTAGTAAGTAGTTTGTTTGAGGGTCAGATTATGTTTTCACTGGTTGCCACCTATAGGAAAATTTTGATTTCAATTTAACTATAGGAAAATTTTGATTTCAATTTAACGCTATTGAAACTCTTTTCAACAATACTTCTAATGAAGTTAATTTTGTTTTATTGATATTGTGGTTTTTCCTTACAAAACACTATTCTTCCTCTCTATGTGTTTTAAATTTCACATTACTGTTTTCACTTGGAAGTCCTTGAACCTTCTCTCTCCTCTGCAGACCCATTTTTAGCACCTGTTAGTTATCTTTCTTGGGTTACCTTAACTTTCTCTATTTTGTTGAGAAGTACTAATTTGTTACTTTATCTTCTTCAATTTCTGTTTTTTTTTTTTTCTTGTCCTAGTCCCAGTAAGTTGCTAACCATGTGCTCTTTGTTAAGTACAGTAGTTGAGTGGTCACTTTTCTAATTTCACACGTTTTTTTTTTAGCTTGGCAACACTTGGAATATCTCCTGGGCTCAACTGCTCGGAGAGGACGTCCTAAACGAGATGATCCAAGCTTGAAAGCGGCTGCTCATCTGGTCATAGATCGAAGTTACACTCTGAGACAGGCTGCTCTTCAATTCCAAATTCCACCAACCACCTTGAGAAACTATATGAAGCGAACTGGAATGCTGCGTTTGCCTCTTAAGAGGGGGCGGCCTGTTTCATCTGGATCATCGTAAGTGTTCTCAGTGGTTATAACCAACCTATGTTCCAAAGCAATTTTGTTATTGCTATTGCTCTAAAAGCCTAATCTTTTGATACATTTTCTAACATTTTGGGTTTTTATTCTTTTACTTTGTCACTAATTTACTGAAAAAGTTGTTATTCATCTTCTCTGCTTAGCCTATCATGTTCATATTATACCTTGGTATCTTTTTCTTTGTGCAGGTATCATTTCTACTCTGAACCATTCAGAATGCCTGGAAATTTCATGAACCCCTCATCATTTCCCCGACCAAATCCACCACAGTACTCTGTGCACCAACAACAGCAGTATCAACAACAGTATCAACAGCAGCAACAGCAGCAACATCAGCAGCAGCAGCAACAACAGCAGCAACAGCTTCAACACCAGCAGCAGCAGCAGATGCAGCAGATGCAGCAACATGCTTCTCATCACCATTTACAACAGGGTCATCTTCAGCAGCAGCAGCAGTTTCAGCTTCAGAACCCTCAGTCTTCTCAGCACCATGCTCAGCAGAGCAGCCACTCTGTTTCTCAGCAGCAATACGGTTTTAACAATGAATTTAGTGCTGGCTTCGGTAGTGAGTTTGGAAGTGAGTTTTGTGATATTCAAGAGTTGAGGCCTCCAAAAGTTGAAGCCTCCAGAACACCCCCTGTTGAAATAGATTTAGATTCTGAACCTGACCAGGAAGCTCTTAGTAGTAGAAAGATAAGTGAGAAGAGTGATACACAGCCTGCCAATGATGAGGGAGATGTAGAAGATGAGGATGAAGAAGTGGAGGAGGAAGATGAGGAGGAAGAAGAAGAAGCAGTAAGTGGTGTTGGTGTGAGTGCTAAAAGCAGTGGTGAGGATGTTACCGGAGTAGCGACAGAAATGGATGATGAGTCGGATTCAGAGAGTGCTTCGGACGAATCAGATGTAGAACAAACAGAACAAAGTATTCACCCGAATAGTAAATTTAATATTACATAAACACATGTACTTAATTTTTAGTAGTTATTGATGGTGGAATGGTTGTGGAATTTATTTTCTAATGAATGACTGATTGTTTTGCTTGAACTGAATTAAATATTAAGGTTTAGCTTAATCAGTTTGTGGTGCCTTGTAGGAGAATGGCAAGTCTTATTTAAATTAGTAGGGAAGGAAGTCATTCCACCAAAGTTCTGCAAACTGAAATGAACCTTAGTATGTGTGTATTTTTGGTTCACTCCCTGCATCTTACAGAATACAATTTGAATCAATTTTTCTTGATTTATCATTTTACTGTCAGACAATTCTGCCATTTTTCAGCCGTATCGGTTTCTAAGCTTAACATATCCTTGCTCAATAGGTCCAAAGAAATCTGTGTGTAAAATAAAAAGAAACTTCACTTATACTATTCATATTTTTTTTTCCTTAAAATGTGGAATAAATTTCAACAGCTTCAAGTTTTTTCTTATGTACCTAAAACTGCTATATTAAATTGTATTGACCCCTAGAATTGCTACTATCTTATTGTCTTTAGGACAGTACTTACTACACGTTATGCACTTGTGTAAGATTTACAACTTGGGCTATTCACCTTGTACATAAATAAGCTTTAACCATGGTATTTACTCTTAATCATTTTTGTAGCCTTTGCTGTTGTATTTGTGAGTTGACTCAAAATGAGTAGTAGTCATATTAAAGTTATTGTGGAGATTTTCTCTTGTACTTATTATTATTTTGTCGTGATCACATTGTGGTTATATTGTAGACTAGACTGGCAAATGTGATAACTAACTCAGCTTTTGTTCCTTTAAAAAAATAAAAAATATTTTGCTGTTGATTTTGCCCTGTTGCATCACATCTATAACAACTTCTTCCAAACAATTATTTGGAAGTTATTGGTATCATGTATTGTTAGTGATCTCGTTATCTCAGTTGCTTTGTGCCCTGGAAAAAATAATGTACGTGTATGCTCAGGATCCAGCACAAAGACTGTGACTTGGCCACACGGATCCACACTAAAACTACGATGTCAAATAGAAATACTGTGCATGCAATACGCATGCGCAAATCTCCCTACAAATATCCAAAACTTTCAGTACTGATGGAGACAGTTAACAGTGTATTATGTCAAATCTTGATTCATTAGATTCAGATTTCTTATGCCAAAGATTTCTCTTTGTTCTGTTATGAAGAGGTCCCAGAAGTTGATGTAGGATATGTGATTCTTAGAATTTAGTTCAGCTACTGCATCACATAAGATCTGTGTTTTCATTTCTTTCTGTCAACTTAATTTCTTTCCTCAATATTTCATTGGAGATTAAAATTCAGTTGCATTGCATACCAACTTTATGTGTGTTGGTTGTTGGCTAAAACTTTTTACATTTAGATCAGCTCACATTTCTTTGTGCCTTGTGTTAGCCTTGTGGAACAAAGAGAGAGTGAATGGTTGTTAACTGTATAGTGTATTATGGTCTTGTAACATAATTTTGCAATCATTTCTTCTCATTCTAACTAAAGCTACTATATTTTATACATTATTTTAAAAGTTTTTGAGGCAATATATCTGGTAATTGTTGTACAGAGAGCTGCTGACCTCTTGCAGGGCACACTGTGATTTTTAGCAATATTTTTAATGAATGCTAACATCTGATTTAATTTTGTCTGTGAATTAGATCTTATTAGCTTCTACTGAATTTGCATATTGTAGAAGAGAGACACTGTTGTAGTCAAATGCTTGTTTTCAATCAACTTTTGTAGCTCTTGCTTTCCACTTTATGCAATCAGTGTAGGAACAAATTTGAATTCTGTACAGTAATCTAAATAGTTTAGCCATTAAACCGATACTCCTTAATTACTTCTGTCAAAGACAGAGAAACAATAAGCGACATATTCAAATGAATCCTTACCTGGCAAACTCATTTCATGAACTTTTAGTTTGGAGGGTTTGTCATGAAGACTGATTTCTAGTTTTGACTGATGCAAGTTCTTACTGCTTACCATATTTTCTTTGTATTAAATGTACATATTTAAATGTAAATAACTAAACTGTGAAGATGTAAGTACTTGTATGTGATCATTTACTATCTGTCAAGCTAGTGCAATGTTTAGAGGTTGCTTCCGTTTGTAAATATCCACTCCACATCTACCTTTCACATTTGTCTAAAGAATGTGTGACCGCCTACATTTTCAGCCTAACTGATTTTTTAAAAAAATCCTTTCAAAGAATCTATTTTAGCAAATATAAAAATATATGCGCCATGATTAAAGTCAGCCTGTGTTATTAATGTCAAGCCAGTATTTTTCTCAAATAGACCAGGCCTCGATACAAGTGCCATTATTTGACCCTGAACATTACGTTCAGAGAATGAGTTTGTTAGCAGCAACTGGGCTTACTGAGGGTCCTAGATGGGAAAGTTACGTCTAGTATTCTAGCCCTATCCTGTGTAATTTTCAGCTATGGTCTATTATTGTGAATTATTTGAATTGTAAAATTTGTGTTATGAGGACAAAGCACCAAACTGATAAGGGAGACATAGTTCTCCACTATTGGTTCCCCTCTCAGAAATAAATGTTTATCATTATTGCATATTTTCTGTTTCTCAACTCCAAGTGCCCCTTATTACATACTTTTGTCTTCGTTGATTGAACCATTCTATGGTAAGTAATTATGTGAGTTGTTAAAAATGTGAGTTGTTTAAAATTCATGGTTCTAACACTGGTTTCTTCCTTCAGGTTCAGTGATGTGGACAGGAGGCGTTCCCAGACTGAAACGACGTCTTCATGATCTGTCTCTCATTCAACAATGCCTGGAAGAAGTTGCCAATGGAATGTCTGTGAATGCAGTTGCTAAGAACTTTGATATCCCTCGTACCACTTTGCTCTACCACATGAAGAGGCGGGGTATAGTGTCCCCTGTTGATCGATACGGTGTTCGAAGGAACACCTCTCAGTTGTCTCCATTTTGAGTGCTTTCTCTAGAAACTTGTGAATGAATTTGTCAAGATTTCAGCAAATTCAGAATTTGTCAACTAAATCCATGACTTCTTTTCCATTTTGCTGAACTTTTAAAATATCTGTTGATTCTCTCTTCCTTGTTTGTATTGCTACCTGTTGATTTTTTGCGTTCCTTTTTGAAGACTATAGTAAATTGTAAGTGTATTAAATTCATTGATGAAGTATTCTTTGCGACAATTCATTTAACCAGATTCCTTTCTGTCCATGGGTTTAACACTAGTCAGTGACTATTCTGGAACATCAACACAAACATTATTTATCTCAATTACAATTTTCTGTTTTTCAGCATGTCATTTCCTTTCTTCTGTAGTATGTGTAAGGCTTAAAAAAACTGTAGGGATCAGCCACTTGTAGTCAGGAACAATCGCATAACACAGTCCGTGATAAGCTAAAACATTGACAGGCACTTACATGAACAGCAGACGCATTTTCTTGTCGTCAACTCATTTCACACTTTCTACACGAGAGAGAGGGAGAGACGGGACAGAGAGTGCATTCTACACCAGTGCTCTCAACTGTCGACCCATTGATCAGGAAAGTGTTTGAAACGGCATTGAAGCATGTTTAGTCTAAACCCTGTTATGCCCCTGTGGGCCTGTGTTAAATTGCAGTAGCTTGACTCAGGACTTGTCTCTTTGCAGTGTCGGGACGTCACGGTCAGCCTCAGCACGGGGCCATGGGGCCTATGCACCAGCAGCTGCACCCACACCCTCACGCCATGGGTATGGGGCAGGGCATGGGGCCCGGCATGGGACCTGTGCCCGTCGAGAGCCTTCTCTCGACGCCTACCTTCTCAGCCTGCGACTTCGACCAGGACCAGGGCCCCGCCATGAACCTGCTGGGCATGGGCGGCATGGCGGCCATGGGCGGCGTGGGGGCCATGGGTATGGGGCAGGGCCAGAGCCCCGGCAAGGCGCGCATCCGGCGCTCGGAGGACGAACTGCAGAAGGCGGCAGACTGCGTGGTCAAGGGCTCCACCTTCCAGACCGTGTCGGACCGCTTCGGCATCCCTATTTCCACCATCCGGTTCTACATGGCGAGAAGGGGCATCTTGCCGCAGCGGAGGCGCGGCCGCTCTTCTGCCAACAGCTCGCTCAACCCGTTCCACTAGTGCGCCAGGGCGCCAAGGGCGGCAAGCAGCAGGGCCTTCCCTCGGCCGTCGGCGGGAAGCTGCAGGGATTCGAACCGTTTCCAGGAAACGTGTGGTCCCCGGCCAAAGGGTGTTACGGGAGGGGTCCGGTACGCTCGCTCTAGGAAGTTAATTTAAAAAGGGGAGGGCAAGGGCGTCATGTCACTTTTAGCTCTGTTACTGATCGGCCGTAGCGACTCCAGGCTGGTGTCGCGCCAGGCTGTAATCCCGGACCGCTAATGCTTTCGCACCCATAGCCGACTAGTAGTATGATTTGCCACTACTTCGCGTTTCAGGTGGGCTACTTTTCCAACTCTTCATTCTCAAATGAGTGCCATCAGGTTTAGCGACGATTGCTTCTTCAGCTGACTGCCCTAGTTCATTTACAATAACTCTGTACTTTTCCCTCGGCAGCTCATTGCTTTGCTACTTGCCATTTCCCCTCTAACCGTCCACCAGGTCAATTCCTTCCATGCCAATAGTTGCCTTTCTAATCGCCAAATTGTGTAAATTTTACTGGGAGGTATTTCTATATTTTATCATATTTTGCTGTTAGATAAAAGCTGGTTGGCATTATTTACTCAACCCTCAACTATAATTTCCGCCAGACGCTTTTCTTTTTGTTTTTAAGAAAATATATGAGAAAGACAATGGCAGCAGTCATCATAACATGAAGCAATATTTTAGCTTCAACTTTGCAAGTTCCTTTGACTAATGAATTAACACAGGGATGAAATATTGTTTGTGTTAGACTGCCCTATGCTGAAAGTAGTTACCGTCATTTTAATGAAAATAAATCATGTCAATCGGTACTTAGCTTTGTGTTAAATTGAGATTGGAGTACTATTTTGACATATGGGTATTTATAGCTGTATTAAACTGTAAATTTGCACCATATGCTAATCATATTGATTGTATTTGTCTTGTCAGTATGTACTTTTATTTATAGTCATTCTGTACCAAATGTAGTACCTAAATAGAAATGTTGATTTATTATTATGTGTCTTCTGCTGTCATTGAGTTTTGTGTGCTCTCAACTAGGTTTAGAAACTTGTATTATTTTGCTGGATTTAAACATTATCTCGGAGTTGTTGAGGATGAAGGAGGTCCAGATACACTATTTTTTCACAGTTGTTAAATGTATTTTTTCACAGTTGTTAAATGTGAGTACTTATGATAAATTGATAAAAGTAGGACAAAATTATTGGTGGCGATTTTCTGGATAATGGTTAAGGAGTCAGCTGAATAAGTGCATCAATAGTATTACATCTGAGAGAAAAAGCGGTGAGTTCCCATGAAGCTTTTCTGCAAATTGATTTTCCTTTCGTTTTTGTGTAGCTTGCTGTGTAATAAAATGCCATGATACTTCATTGTCGGTAATTTTACTAATAGTATGGTGTGAAAAAAAATACGAGCAAGTAACAAATTAAAGTCATCATAATTATTTACCAGCAAAATTAGGTTAAATTAAGGTAATTATTCTAAGTTTTTTAAAACCCAATTTACTTGCTATTTTTTCTACATGAAAGTGTTGGACCACTGCTAGAGTTGCTGCATGTGGATTGTATGATGATCAATAATTACACTGGTCAGTGGACAGTTCGTTAAAGTCAGTTCACTGTACCAGTCCATTTGTGCATTAGTTGTAGGTATATGTAAGACTGTGCCTTAGGCTACTGTTCATTATGTAGATGAATTATAAATCTTGTTTCATAGTATTATTCCATTTTGTTTGCCATATCTGATGTAATGTTTTGACAAAGGCTTTGAAACATATGATGTAAATATGGTTCTTTCAAATATATATATTTGTCATTTGCGCTTTAACTTTCAGTTTCAAGGGCCATATTTCTTCCTTTCCCATTTAGTATTTTTGGGGGATGCAATAGGGGCAATGAAACACTTTATTTAAGAATTTAACAATATTCTGTATTTAAAGGTCCTCTAAAGCAATGTTCGTTTCTACTCAGTCAGTGTTATAATTTGGTGAGATTGTTTGCGACAGATACAATGAAAAAGAGTGAGAATCCACTCTTGAGCTTTGTTTTTTGTTTGAAATTATGATGCTGTTAGGATTGTTGAAATGTGATGAATTTTAAATAAAACAAGTAAGCAAAGTTGTTAACCATTAAAAATTATCCTGTGAGAATGTGATGCAGTTGTACACATCAGTGCCCTTAATGACAATGTTCTGTCATATCAACAGCTTTCTCCTTCTTCCATCCAAACACAAAGAAACCGAAAGTGGCGCCAAGCAGGACTGCTAGGCACAACCACACATTGTAAGTCATGAAGACCAACATGAGGAGATAGGAGAGCAAGAACTGCACGGCATGAAGTCCTGTCTGCACCAGATGCAACGGCCGCAGCATACCGCGGATCCAGCTGGATAAAAAATATATATTTTTTTTTTAGTCTTTGCTTTGTTACAATATATATTTTGCTATTTTTTAAAAATGTTGCCTCATCTTACCTGGTCTCTTGGTGATGCCCGTTGAGCTCTACCGAACTGGTTTGTGAGTTGCCGTGCTTGTGGTTGTGTTTCACGTACAAACTCTCCCTGGACATCAGAGTGCGAAGCCACATTATTTCAAAGTCAATTTCACACCTAGTTTTCAGCCGAGCACTTCGTTCTCTTCTTACAAGGTGAGGCGCTTAGCAGCGCGCAGTTATCAGGGGAAATCCCCTTTCCAATCTCGCGTCACTTTCATAGCCTCGGTCGAGGCCTCGGTCCCTCGGTCATTCCCCCTGCCCCGCGCTCCCCGCGCGCCTCGGATTCGCGACCGCCCCTTTGAGAGTTGGCCAGTGGTCAGCGGCATGAGACTAGTCCCATGTCAGCGGCCTACGCTAGCCGTCCGGCGACCACTGCGTTGTTACTTGCCTCGTGTACTTGAGCCCCTCGTACAAGAAGGCTGCGAGGAAGAGGATGACCATGCTGTAGGCGAGGCTGGCGCCGTCCTTCACCCTCCAGAAGTCGAACAGGACGTACTCATTCATGCCCGCGTGGAACCACATAATCTGGAAACGGGGGCATTTAGGCGGTGCATGGATTCGACCCCTGGCGTCGGCCAAGAGCACCAGGACAGCCAGCCTTTGATTTGATCTAGATCTACGTACTGCATCGCATAGCTCACCATCATGTACATGTCTCCGCCACCGCCACCCATGTCCATACCGCCGCCGCCCATGTCCATGGTGGTGCCGCCCATGTCCATGCCGCCGCCGCCCATGTCCATAGCCTTGGTGACGCCCGTGTCCATCTTGGCGTTGCAGACGTTCTGTGGAAAACAGCGGTGGAGTTCAGAGCCTGTGCAACATTTATCAGTCCGGATTTCTGAAGATCGCGTGCCCCTGTCCGCTGTTGCCTCACCGATGTGCAGGTGTAGTTATCTGCTGACCCGCAGGACGGTCGCCACCGGCTAGGCTGCCACGGAGCGACTGGCTCGAGGACTCCGAGACAAGGGTGCCTCTGATAGCGGCCTCACCACCACAATGCGGCATGAGGCCAGTACGCAGAACTGCGCGCACCGCGCGCTCAGGTGGAGTGGAGACGATACCCTGCGTCATCCTCGGCCGCCTTGCCTTGGGGAAGGAGGATAAAAAGTGGTGGTTGGTTGGGGAGGGGGGGGGGCTTGTCATCTTCATTCTCCACAAGAGCATTCATAAGATGTAGTCATTTTACGGCCACAGAGCACACAAGGACTTTTTCCTTGTTTTCACACCTGAATGTACAAAATTGTTCGTTGAATGTTCTGAAATTAAGAACAGGTCAATTCAGCAAATACTATGAAGTACAGCCTGTGCAAACACGAAGAGGGAAGGAGCGGGGAGAGAAATTGAGGGTTTGATTAGTGCATTTTTGACTTCTTAGTCAGAGGCGTCGAATGGGTGGCCTACCCACCGGGCGCCAGAGAGGCCTCTAGCCAAACGGCTGTCGCTGGGGACACACATGAACATGATAGGCTGGAAAGGAAGTCCCTCGTTTCGGCGTTGAGTTGGATCGCCTACGGCTGCCTTCTCTGTACCTTCAGTATAGTGACGAGGCCTTTACAAGCTGACATGTGGGATGAAGGTTTCAATCACAGTAAGAACCTTCGCCTCGTAATCGTTGCCGATCGGACCATGCTGGCCGCGGAGGATCAACGAAGATGAATGCACTGACTTGTGAGCTGGTACTGATAAGGCAACGATAAGGCCTTGGGTTTGCCAGCCTGGCCTCCCCTGAGAGCCAGGGAATAAATAAAAATGTCGAAAAATATTCTGAGATTTAAAGTGGTGTGTCGTGTCCTTAATTAAATTCAGTGCATGTGGCTCTTTTTATTCTTTCCGGTCTCCCTAAAAAAGAAAAACGTGAGTGATGTATGGGTTACGTCACTACCTACTCAGCTGAGCGGCACCTTCGGAGCCTCGGAGGTAGGCAACCCAACAGACTCACGTCTCTTGCGCGCTGAGAATGCAGAATACCCCCACCTTCACTAGTCATCGCGGTCCGTTGGTCTAGGGGTATGATTCTCGCTTAGGGTGCGAGAGGTCCCGGGTTCAAATCCCGGACGGACCCTCGTTTTTACGAGAGGTGCTCAAGGTCAATAATAAAACACTCACTTTCAGGGAGAAAATATTTCTATTGAGCAACTTAACCCTTGCTTAGAGTAAATGAGATGAGCAAGGGAGTAGTTCTTGATAAGATACAAAAAGAAAAAAAACAAACTATGTCCTCTAACAGCTTACTTTGAACATATCACAATACAAAATTAAATCAATTAAATTAAAGCTCAGTGTAGAAAATGTTAAATACAACAAAGTGAATGCCACTTAAAACTAAGATTCAAAATAAATAAGTTAAGACATAAATTAGCTATTGAAGGTACAAAATAAATAAACCACTCCACTTCAACAGGAAAAATACTACACAACTATTGGAAGCAGTCCTTCACGGTCAGATTCATACTAAATGATGTTTAGTACTGGCACATATATGCACCGGTGAGTTTTTCAATTGTTATCCCTAACAAAACGATCCTCTAACAAGAATATTATGGCAAAATGGAGAACAAATACAATTTATAGAACAATTATGACAACAAAGGCAAGACTATTAAATGCCAACAAGAATTATTAATTTAACAAGGAAACGTAACAAATTCTAGGTTTCAACAGAATCATAAAGCAATTTAAGTTTCAATATTGTAAAGCACACAAGATATTTTTAAAATTGAATATTGTTACAAAATGGTCTGAGACAGTGCAAAATACAGCTTTTTGGTTAGGATATGTGGAAGATATCACAAGTGAAGTCATATGTATTTTAAAAATGCTAGCTTTAACATTAGTTTCTCAAAATGGACGGTTTTGAAAAATTTGTGTCAATATACTTATTAAAACTTACATAGAAAGTGATTGATTACTTGTGTCATCTAGTAAAACTTCAAAAATATGAGAGTGTTATGCTTAATTACCTAAGATGGTTTGCAAAAGCAATTCAGTCTAGCTTCTGTGGTAGTTCTAGCTAAAATTTAAAGGCACTTTTTCTGTATGAAACATTAATGGACATTCCATTAACTGAAACTCTCACAAAGAAGAGAATAAACACTTCTCAGCTGTTCAAAAGAACAATAGTAAGATATTTCTGGAGAAAAGAGACGATTGCCACACAAAATTGAAGTAAAAAGGAAGAAGCTGCACATACACACACATACTGTGTTATCAATGAATCTAGCTGAATGGCGCCCAGTCTTTGAAGCGGTCTCCTGCAACAGAAATCAAAATTTATAGTGGATGATCAATGATGTGAAAGGCATTGACATGACTATTCAAGAACATACCAAGTGTTTTTACTTTCTTGTTGATACCCTTGTAGTTTTTCAGGTACAGTAAAGTATTTTTTTCCCTCTCTTCATGATGTTCCATCACACGCTGTTCAAACATTCCTAGAAAAAAAAAAAACATCACACACAAATAAAACAATAATGTCTGTTAATACAAAGAGTAGAACACAAGACATGATAAAGGTAAGAAATGCTGTACCTTTGGTATCATTTAACTTATCTACACGAGAATCAATGAATGCAGAGAACATAGCTGTCTCTGTAAACCACTCCAAAAACAACTGAATGCTCCGAGAACGTACAGCTTTAATAAATGATTCCCTCTGAGAATGAAAAAAGAAAGAAAGAAATGTTAGAACACTGTAATTCTTTAAAACCATGTGACATATTTTTCTTCTTCTGATTTTGATGAACAGAACTTACTTCAAAAACTTTTTTTCCATCCTGCTGGACAACTATGTGGGTTTGATAGTGCCCACACACTTCAACGAAAGTACGTAGGAATGCTTCTGATACCAGAACGTTTCTTAATGGATCATCAGGAGGAGTACTACTCTGTGCCAGCTGCAAGGCCACTTTTAAAGATCTGCTAATTCCAACAGGAAGTATAGTGGTTTCATCTTGCTGGCTTTGAAGTATAAGAGAATTGTCCACATCAACAACAATGCCCTGAAAAAAATGAAACATCAGATTTAGCAGTTTTCAGTAGAAGTAGAGAGGTAACAAGAGCCAATGACAGACAAAGCCCACTCACATCATCAATTGAAACAGGTGGTAAAATGGGATGTTTGCCTTTTAGGACTCCAATTATATAAGGAGTAGGGGCTTGACAAATATCCAACATGTTTGCTGGAAGAACTGGGATAAATGTATGTTGCCATACAAAGGGGAACAAAATAGACTGGAGAGCATCAACGCAGGCCGACAATTTGCTGATAGATTTGCTCAAAAGAAGAACCTTGCGCTCCAGGAGCAAAGAACTAAACACTTGAAGAAAGATAGGTATTTGGAGGCAGTTGAATAATCTTGTAAGGTCGCGTTCTTCTAGTCTGGTATCATAAGGCCGCTTAAGGACAACAGGGCCTCTTGATCCAGTGCCAGAGCTGTTTGTACCACTAGAGCTGCTAGAGCTGCTAGAACCAGCACAACCAACAGAAATATTTTCCCCCGAGCCATGGACTCTTAAACCTTGCCCAGGACTAGGGAGCCCGCAATCATATAACTGTTGAATGAATTCAGCTTGAAGTAACTCTGGTTCTCCATGTCGTGATTCCAGCTCAGCCAAAACCTGATAAAAATTTTGATTGAGATATTAACTTAAAAAAAAAAATACAACAGTGTTATCAAAATTATGAATGAATATAACACCTTGAAGTAGAATCCTGATGCACGATGTTGTGTAAGGATACAATAAGCCAGTGGAAGACAAATTGGAGCTCCCTCTGGTTGAACGCGTCGGCAATATCCATATTTTCGCTCTCCTACCTCGCTTGTGACAACAAGGGAATAGCACTGTTCTTCTCCAGGCAATGAATCAGAGGCACCTTTAACGGAGGTGATTGGTGGGGGCCATTCCCCAGCATCAGGGAAGCATAGATTTTCGATATGGGAAGGAACAATAGCCTGAAATATACATTAAAAAAGGATAAGCACAACAAAAATTCAGTAAACTAAATTAAAAATGTCTTGTTTATCCCAAGGTTGGTTACAGAAAAATAAGAGGGCAATGGGTTTACCTCGGGAGGAAATTTACTCTTAATGTAAGGCACTTTGCATTTAGGGCGATCTGGATCCAAATTCAGACCCACAAGTAAAAGGCATTCAAACAAATGATTGGAAGGTGTGTTTGCAGTTTTGTGGGCAAGGCGCAGTGTACGCTGACCCATCACATGGCTTGACACTCGGCGGACATAAGTTTGCCTTTCTGCTGTAAGTTGTTGAAGAGACTCTTTGGTTGGTGATGCAGATTCTGGTACATCAGGTGGTGGACAATTTGGACCTAAATTAAAACACATTTGTAGTAACCAGTAACATAAAAGAAAATTGAAAATTGATTAAAGATTGCTGGATTACTTACGAGTAATCTCCTTGTGATGACTTTGAATAGGAGGTGATGGAATCCCAGGAAACGGTGCACATGAAACTCCTTCATCTGGAGTTGAAGCCAATGAATCTGAGTCACTGTTGCTATCCAGTGGAGTGGCAGGTAAGCATTGTAGTGGAGAGCCAAATGCTTGATTCATCAAAAATTTAATCTGAAATTGACACATATTATTTGTTACTGGAACAGGAAGAAATGGGATGAGTGGGGAAAAACAATGTTTGAATACAATACCTTGGTACTGGTAAGATTTGTATCCATTACGTCTTTAGCCATCTTGTCTTTCTCAGCTGGACTCCTTTTAAGAATCATCTTTGATGATGATGGGGTCGTCACACGTGGCATCTCTAAAGACAAACAACCTCGACCAGCATTCTTCAACAACTCTGAATTAGTGGCTTCAACTGGTGGAGGTGACAGGCGTAAAGGAAGGGATGACATTTGTAATTCGCAAGAGGAAAGTGGTGAGTCTTCTTGAATCGGAGTGCACTGCAATAAAAGAAAAACAAACAGTGAGAATACAGGGAGAAAAAGAAAAGAAACATTCATTTGTCAAGATGCAAGTGAACATATTTTAACTGGTTGGATAAGAATGTCTTTACCAAGTAGTGCAACCCTTCCGAGTTTGTTTCAGTGGGACTGCCCAAACGAGTTCGTAAAATCTGTTCAGGAGATGTTGACAAAATTCTTTTGGGCTGAAATCTTGGCTGTGGTTTGGGAATCTCTCTTCCAAATGATGTACTTCTAAAATTTGCTTCACAATCTTTTGATTTGCAGATCTGGTTTCCATCTCCAATGAATTGAAATGGCTCAGCATAAATGTGCTCAACGCTGTGGGACTTATGCAAACTTCCAGGAATATTCTTCTGCACATTTGACGTATTATCTTGTAGACTTGACTTCCGTTTCGTGTGGGGGTCTGGAATAAATTCTGGCTGCTTTGCTTTGACTTCATAAACACTGTCTCGGGGCTGTGAACACAATGTGGGACCCACAGCACAGTTTAAGGAGGTCAGACAACCACTCCGGGCGGCATGAGTCGGAGTACATATCTTGTTTTGGCTGTTTGAGCAAATAGGATATCCAGATGTTGCCCCATTCCCTGGAGGACTCAAGCTGCCTTGCCTAATACCTTTGTTGACAGGTGATGTTGGGGACTGAGCTCCTCTTGGTGAGGGCTTGTGATTCATAAGGGCATCTTCTAGTTTTCTCAGCATTATTTGAGATTCAGTTTTGGAACGTACAGGTTTAATAACAGGAGGTGGGGACACACTAATATGGCAAGACGACTCTTGACTTCTGATGGCACCTGGGTTGCATTTCAAATTGTTAAGCCTCTCCGAGGGACTTTTAACTTTTGGAGAGTTGTGGGCAAAAGTCCTTGGGGGTTTCTTGGGAGGAGGACCACAGGGAAGAGGAGCCTTGAGTGCTGCTTTAAGGGTGGCACTCAATCCCTGCTGATATGTTTGGCTATTGCCATTGGAGGGTATGACAGTCAGACTCACAGCTTTAGGGGCAGGTCCTGCTTGGTTAATGTGATTCTTCAATGATGCATCAGTTTTTTCTTCATTGAAGCCGTTGACAGTTCTCTTTAACTTGATTTCAGACAGCAAATTCTTGACAGGGAAACTATCTTGATTAGAAAATGGTGTCTTGACTTTATTGTCATTTAAAATATCTGGCTTGCCAAGACCACGACTAAGCAACCAACTACTTGGTGAGTTGATAGGCAAACCATTCTTGCCACCTGTTGAGCCTCCCTGATAATCAAGTCGATTGCGCTTCGCCTCACATGGACCAGAAGAATTGCTATCCAATGTATCTTTTGGACTTCGGCTCAAATTGTCAGGTGAAGTAAAAGCTCTAGCACGCTCGTTTACTCCATCTGCTGATAATTTAACTTGGAATTGGTGAGGCTGCTCATCACCAATCACATTGCAAATTTTAGCAGAAACTAGATCAGGGGTGGAGTCAAACTGCTTGACTCGTTTTCCTACGACAGACCTTGGGGCTCCAGGTGAGGGCGCCAAAACATTTTTACCCCTGACGATTCTGTCACAGCGGAAGGCTGGGCTCCTCTTTATATGGCCTCTTGATGTGGGACTGCTCAACTGCCTCTCCAAAACGGGGTGGCCCTTGGATGGGGTTTGGTTGTTGAGGAAATGGCCTCCACTGTTGGAGGCGCTAATGTCCGTCGTGAGGGCGAGCTTCTGCTTTTTGGGCGTGTCAGTCTGACACCTCGAATCTGCATTCCCATTGTTTTCATCCTCCTGTCGAGCTGCTCGGCTCTTGGCAGCGACGTTGTTGAGGTTATCCGAAATGGGCACAAACTTGTTGCTGCCTTCAAACTTCTTCTTAATATTCTCGACACGATTCTTATTGTTGTCGCCGATGTGAGGGGGTGGCATCATATAAATCACAGTCTCTAGATGAAGCAAAACTACGTACGGTGGACACTGCACACTGACACAGCACTGACGTCATAGGTAAAATAGCACTTTTCATTGGTGGATTACAGTTCTGAATGATGCACTACGGTGGCGCAAAGTCAAATCCAAAGTCGGGCTTTGAAATTAATGCTTATTGAGTCATATTTACACTGTCTTCCGGAGTCCTACATTGAAGTCAAACAACCCAACGGTTTCTTTCTGCCATTTTGTACACTCGTTTTGTTTTGACCGTCACACCGTACTGGGCACAGGCAACTTGACACCCGTTGTCCACACATTTGGAAGCCCCCGGCTGTCTTCACGAAGCACAAAATTTTTCCATTTTCCAGGACTCGCAGCGCCGCAGAAGCGAAGCAAGGGTGATCTGGGCGTCCGCCGGTAGAGCTACTCCAAGACCGTGGGCGTCGTCCCCACCAACAGGTTGGCAGCGCCGGCAATGGAAGTCCTGGCGGTGAGCGGTAGCCGCTTGGCGGGGCGTTCGAATCCGCGACCGCGACGCGCCGTGGGGAAGGGGACGGGGACGAGTCGAGGGACGCACTGGGCGTAAGCGCGGGGCTCGCTGCTCGCACCTGGCACTGCAAATGAAGGAGAGAGTTCGCCCTGCGCCATGCCGACGCGGCGCGGCACGGCGTGCCCTAGTCGTTAATGCCTACCTGTCCCGAAGAGTCCGGAGAGCGGTCGGGCGGCGAGGCTCGCGCAGAGACCCTCCCTCGCGGCACGGACAGACAGGGCCCCATCAGGACGCGGCCACAGCATCGGCCTCGCGGCGCCTCGCGGTCCACTCGGATCGGACGGCAGTGATCAGCGCAATCAGCGCCGACGCAGTGTAGGAGCCGCGGCGAGCTGCGGGGTGCGGACACATTAGACACGTCCGACTCACGCGGCGCCAAAATGAGTGCCCGCGGCAGCAACAGGCTCTCGGGTACTCCAGTTGGAAATTTGAGGTTAACCTCGTCTGTCGAGATTGCTGGTCGGGGGAGCAGCGATGGCTGGGCGGGCGTTGGGCACCACTACTCCATTCGCAAGGCACGGCGACGGGGCGTCGCTGCACTGCCGCCTCGCTGTGACGGACGGACGGCAGCGCGAGGACGTTGGAGGCAGGACCGAGCTTTGGCGTAGACACTTGAAGATCGGGCAGCTGAGCGCGCTTCGTGCAACACTGACTGCGGGCACCGCAGGCACGGGCACGGGCGTGTCGGCTCGCGCTTCCCAGCCTCGCGCACGCCACGCCACGCCCAGTTTGATTCAGCACGATGGCGTAATCCTTCCCAGTCATCCGTTCTCGCCGGAATAAGTACTTGGCGTCCTCTCCCCCGCCCCCTCCCACCGCCGCCGGCGTACCCGGCACAAGGAGGCTCTGTGCTCTGTCGTGGATTGTGGATTTCATAGACGTCAAGAATTTGTGTCCCTACCGCCGTTTCGTGGAGTCTGTTCTTTTCTGACAACTTTTCAGACGAAAATTTTAAGCCAGCTAGACCGTAAAGTGGAAAGCCTGGGAAACATCCATCGCGGTGAGTGCATGCATGATGGCGATGCATCGGATTTATGCATCGGAACCTGTGTTGTGGGGGGCTGGAATCGTCTGGCATGCTCCCCGAGTCTGAACCGGGAACCGGGCCGCCTCCTTCACAATGCAAAACAGGAAGACAGGCGTACGCCGCCGGCCCCGCCGCAGCACAGCACACGGCGCCGCGCATCCGGCCGTACCGTCCCCCCGATGGCGTCTGCGCCGAGCACTCCAAGAACGCCGTCACGGGCGTAGTGGCGCAGTGGCGGCGGCCATTGCCGAGGCCGTAATGCGGGCTGCGTCCGGACCGGCCGGCCAGGACCGCGGGGAAGGGGGGAGGGGGGCAAACAATGCTGGGGCCGCCGAAGAGCGCCTCGCACGCAGCCCCGCGGTGTGAATCACTGCAGGATGCGGCGCCACGCAGCGCGGCGCGGGACGCACCTGTCCGGATCCTGCATCAAGTGAAGTAAAGGGCGGCCGCGGCGCACTCCGGCCGACGCCAATGCATCACCCCGCGGTGCGTGTGAGTGTGTGCGTGCCCCGCGCGTGTGTGAGCGTTTCTCTGCGAGGCGCGATCGGCCGTCGGCGGCGCCTCCATTGGCCGCGGGTACGCGTACACAGCGTACGTGCATCGTACGCCGCGGACCGCGCGCGACGCGTCGGCAGCCTGGCGTCAGCGTCGCCAGCACGCCCCACTGGAGAGTGCGGTGCACCATGTCGGCTTTCACCAGCCACTCCCCGCCGCCCCGCCCCGCCCCGCCCCGCCCCGCCAGCAATGCATTGATCGGCGCCGCATTTGCATCCGAATCGGACCGGGGTCCGAGTCAGGGGCCGGCCGGGCCGGCAGGACGCGGAGCACCAGGGCCGCGTCCAGGCCGTTATCGGGATTGGGGGTATTATTTCGGAGTCGCGGCCCTCGCGGTTGGAAGGGGAGGGGGGTCCCCGCTGGTCCCCACGGGGCGCGGCCTCGAATAGCAATAATCTATTCGTGGAAAGTGTGGAACTGGGCGTCGGATGGAAGGAGCGAACCAGCGGCGACGCTCCGCCGCGCGAGGCTGTCGCCTTGCCGTTGTCAAAGGAAAGGGCGTTGCCCCGGCCCCGGCGGCCCCCCCTTGGGCCCCCCTGGCCGGCCTGCGGCTACGCCCCTGGCTGTGCTGCCGCGCCGCCGCGCTGCCGCCTGGGTCCGCTGGGCACTGGAGGTGGAGGTACTGGGTGTGGTGGCGCTACGCACGCTGCCCGTGCTGCCCGCACTGCGCGGCGTCACTTGAGCCAAGCGTCGCCGTGGCGCGTCGCGACGCGGTTTGGCGTGTGGCGTGCCGTGCCGTGCCCTGGCCGTGCCCCACTCGGTCACGGAGTAGCACTCACTGCTCCCTTCCCTCGGCCGGCCGCCTCATTCCGAAGAATCATTTTCGTCGCTCCGTCTCTCTCGCCGTTTTACACGACGCCCTGTGGGTGCGACGGAGACGGCGACGAAACGACCCTACGGAGTGAGGCGGCAGGCGCGCTTCGTGCGTACACCGCGCGCGTTGGCACTCCACCTGCAGCGGGGCACCGCGCCAAGCGCCAATGAGGCCGGCAACAGCAACGGCAGGCTACAGCCGATTTCCAGGCGTGCCGCTGCCGAGCGATTCAGAAGAGCGGTTTGTCGCTCTGTCTCTCTCGCACTCATACGGGGCGTTCCGTACAGGTGCGAGAGAGACAGAGCGACGAAAACGGCTCTCGGAATCAGTCTGCTGGCGCTCCAGCGCGTGATCCAGCCGGCGCGTGGTCCAGCCGGGCGGCATCGGCCGCATCGACGTGGACCTCATCCTCATCAACTTCCTCGCTACGCCACGCCACGCCTCGCCGCCGCGCGGCCCGTATGGAGGCCACCGGAAGAGTAGTAGTGGGCATGGGAGTGAGTGTCGGGATCGGGGGAGAGAGGAAAGGGGGGGAGCTGTACGCACGGCGCCAGGCCCTACCTGCAGTATGGCGCGTAGCGGTACGCGTGCCTGTCCGGAAACGAGACCAGAGGGAGAGAAAGGGGAGGGCTGAGAGAGAGGCATCGACAGAGATGTATCCGTTGTATCCGTGTCCTGCTTGTCCTGCTACACAAGCTGCGACGACCGGCACGCGGCTCGGACCAGCCCACTGTCCAGCTCGCCGAGTACCAGGGCACCAGCATCTCACTCTGTCTCTCTCGCACCTCGTCGGAACGCCCCATGAGTGCGAGAGAGACTGGGCATCGAGCTGCAGGGCCGGTAGGGCCCGTGGAGGAGAGCCCGTGGGTCCGCCACGGCGAACACGGGGCGTTAGAGCCCTAGCTGCTCTCCGCTCTCTGCTGCCGGGGCGGGCCGGGGCGGTTACAGCGGGCCAAGTGGGCCAAGAGGCTGAGGTGGTGGCAGCACAGCAGCGGCGGCCCCCGAGGCGGCCGTGGGAAACGCAGCGTGTTTGGGGGTTGTTGGGCTCATCGTTTATTATCTCGTAATGGATTTGTAGGTGTGATAAATGCGATCGTCTCCGCGCGAGGGAGAGGGGAGGAGGGGTGGGGGAAATGCTCGGGCAGGTGAGAGGGGGAGGCGGCCTGCCGCACGTTCCGTACGCAGCGCTCTCGTATAAATAACGTAAGAAAGTCCATTCCACACGCACACGCGTGAATGAGTGAATGCATGCATGCACGAAAGAATGAAAAATCACAAACCCGCGCGGTGGCCGATTCTGGAGTCCAGCCCGCCGCCTCATTCCGAAACGGTTTCGTCGCTTTGTCTCTGTCGCACCCATGACGCGTCCCGTGGGAGAGCGAGAGAGACAGGGTGACGACACTGCCTTTCGAAATCGGGTGGTTGTCTCCCTGCCAGTGTCCCTGCCAGGCCCGGGCAGGCAACCTATTAGTCATATCGCTGCTAAGTGGACTCCCGCGGGCTGCGCAGTGCTGCGCAGGCGAGGCGGCCACAGCCACCCTTTGGCCATTGTGTCACTTCACTGCATTGTGGCGCCACCGCAACTCGCCGCTGGGTGCCGCGGGCCGCGCCGAGGGGTGGGCGCTCGGCGGGGACTGCGGACCAGCAGGAGCAGCTCGATTCCGTACAGTGTCCCCGTCGCTCTCTCTCGCTCTTATGGGGCGTGCGAGAGAGACAGCGAGGACGACACTGTTCGGATCGGAATCGAGCTGCTGCCTCCGCTAGCCCCGCGTGAGGCTGGAGAGCAGACCGTCGTGACAGTGACGTCACGCGGGCCACAGATAAACAAACTGGAGGAACGGTGCGCGCCGTGTCCGAGCCCTCCGAACCCGGCGCCAGGCGCCGCCGCCTGCGTGCCCTCCTTGATGTCCCCCCTGGCCGCGGCCAAGCCCGGCACGGGCCGCGCGCACGCCGCAGCCGTGACAGCTTCCCGTTGGTCGGCCATAACCCCGCGCCGTGCCGTGTCGTGTCCTGTGGCGTCAGATTTCGACTGTTTCATTGTGGCCGGGTTTTGGTCACCAATTCATACCATTTTCTTATTTCTCTCATAGTTGCTCCTCCCTATTCTAATGCGGTTTTCAGGAGTCATTACATGCAGCAGGCGAGGTAGCAGGACCAGACATCATCGTTACCGTCATCATCACCGCTGACCGATCATCGCTCTGTCTCTTTCGCACTCCTACAGGTGCGAGAGAGGCGGAGCATGGAAACACTGAAACACTGTGCGGAGCGGAATCAGTTTGCTGTGCTCGGTGGTCGCGGAGCAGCACGAGTCCATCTCCGTCCCCGCGCCGCGGTGCCCCCGTTACGCGGGGGGCTTCCATTTGACGTCGGCCAGTGCGTAGCAGGGCAGGGCAAAGCCAGGGCAGGGCGGCCAAATGAGATGCACGCTCCGGGACCCGCGCAGTGCCCGCCACAGTGTCACGGGCTTCCTGACCAGCGACACTCCGTAGCGATTCTGCTCAAGTGTCTCCTCGCTTTGCCTCCCTCGCACCAGCGCCCCATCGGTGCGAGAGAGACGGAGAATCGACGGCGGAACCAGCGACACCGCTGGAGATGGAAACAAAGTAAAAACTCGAAATGAAGGGCTGCTGCGGGATAGGGCGTCTGGTCCGGGTGCCGCTGTTGACACATGGCAGCGCCTGGCAGCTCGGCGCGTGGCGGTCATGTCACGCCGGCCGCCTCCGCGCCGCCTCCACCGCCTCCACGGTCACGGCCAAAGCGTGACGCCTGGCGCGTGACGTGGCGTGACTGCAGAGACGCCTCCGGCCCGGCCGGCAGTCGGGCCGCGGAGGTGTCACCGTGGTGGACCAGCTTGCCGCACTCCGAGGAGGCGGCGATTCTGTGCGACGGTGAAGCGAGTGGACTGACCGAACGGGCTTCCGGGTCATTCTTGCGTTTTCGCGTGGATTGTGCGACGACTGTGCTGTGTGTTGAGTGGTGCTGCCGCGAGCCTCGCGTAGGCAAGCCTCCTAGAGAGCTGAGGTGGACGATGTGAAGGGACTCTGCGCGGCGACGGACGCAGAGAGCGTTGTCCAGCCCGATGCCGATATGAGCCGCATAGCTATGGAGCCGGCGCCGGGCGGATAGCATGTCCTGCCGGAGACGCTACCCAAGGCCCCGCCCCCGACCGCCCCTCCTGGTGCCGCCCCCGCCGCCACCCCCGGGCCGCGCCGCCCCCGGACGGTCGCGATGGTCGCGGAGGCTGGCTCTGGCGGCAGCCCTGGCCCTGCTCGGCCCGGGGCTGGCCATCGGCGCGCTGCTGCACGTCAACGACATCCTGAGCGCGGACTTGCTGCCCGGGACGCTGTTCCTGCAGGAGGGACCCACCAACCAGACAGATGCCATGGCGCTTGCCGCCGCGGCGCCCCTCGCCAACCAGGACCTCAAGACCTACGGGGGCAACTGGAGCGACGCGTTCGTGACAATGAACTTCCACAGGTGAGACACCGAACCTCTCGCAGCGCGTGTTGACCGCCTACCGCTAGTGATTCACAATTCGAATCGAACCCCGCAGACGCATGATGAACGAGTACCTCTGCCGCGGCTTCGTGGCGGAGCAGATCCTGGGCGACATGACGGGGGTGGGCCTCGCGTCCGACCTAACCGACACGGACGTGGAGGCGAGCCCGGACCCGGCCAACGCCGCGGCGCTCACCGCCTCTCCGCCCGCGCCGCGGCGACGCATCAGTAGCACCCTGCTTGTGGGGCACCGCCGCGACGACCAGGACGAGGGCGGCGTCGACGATACCGCGCCAGGCCTCGCGGACGCCGAGGACGAGCACAGGTATAATGCGAGTTTATCGGGAAAACGTGTTCCTCGCTATGCAGGGCCTTTGTGCGTGTGTGTGCTCTCACGCCGCGCGCCTCTTTACAATGGCGCTGCGCCGCGCGGTGCCTTCCACTCCACATATCCGTGTCGTTTCCCACAGGAGCGGCGCCTCGGCCAACGGCACCACCGGCTTGGCCGACGCCGACGCTGACGCCGGGCTGCCGCTTCCCGTGCCGCCCGCGGCCGCGCCACCGTCCAGCGACACCCGGCGCCGCGCCGTCGACGAGCCGCGCAGCAACCTGCCGGCGTTCCGGCGGAAGGCCGTCGTGGCCGCGACGGCGGTCGATGCTGACGGCAAGCGGCGGAGACGTCGCCGTCGGCGACGGAGGAAGCGGCCGGGGTCCGGACCGCGACGGACGGACGCTAAGGACAGCTTGCTCGCGGACGAGGGCTCGTCGGCGTACAAGGACTGGCTGGCCAGGACCACCCTGCTCGAGGACATTTACCGGCACTATGACAACATCGCGTCCGCCTCGGACAACGCCGCGGCCACGCTGCCGCACACCTCGCAGGCTGACACGGCCACCTTCGAGGGGGGCGAGGTGAGCGCGTCGCGGGTTCGACTACCCACAACGACCGGTCGCATTTTCTTCTCCTACATGAGATTGGGGTGATGCAGGTGACGGGGTTTGCCATGACGCACGCCGCGGTCCCGCCGGCCCCCGCGCTCGGCGCCAGCACCTTCAACGTGCCGGGGCAGCACGTCGCCCTGCCCGGCCTGCCCCAAGGCCTACCCTCGCTGGGGATGCACTCGCACGGCCTCAACCTGGCCTCTTCCATCAACAGCTTTGCTGCGCCCGTCTCGTCCGTGCACGCACTCGGCGTCGGAGGTGAGTACGTTGGGTGGCCTGCCTCCACGGCGCGGCGGCCGCCGCGCTGCCCGGCCCGTCCATTAAACTGAGTGGGTTCGGCAGAGGACAGGAACCCGTTCGAGTACGGCGGCGGCGAGTACCTGGACGAGCATCACGAACACCACGAGCACCACGAACACCACGAGCCCGAGTACGAGCACCACGAGCACCTGGAGAAAGGCCACCACAGCAAGATGCTGTCTCTCAAGGATCTCTTCGACCTGGTGCTCACCGCCATCGCATTCCTGGCCTTCGGGGCCTTCGCAGTCCAGCTCATCATGTACCTCATAATATTACCGGTACATCTAAAGCTTTAATGTATTGTGTATCATGCTTAGCTTTCATTTCAGCGTAAAATACGAAATAAAAACTTTGCAGCAAAACAACAACAACATGATGATGATGGAGGTGCCTGCCACACCTGGTGGCGGAGATGGCGACGGCGGAGACAACGGTGCAGGGGAGGGCGAAGGCGGGCGCCGGCGACGTCGGAGAGCGGCGCGCGGGCCGGGGGCCGCGACGCCTCTACTGCCGGCTGTGTCCCCCGAGATGCTGAACCGCGCCGCGCAGAGGGTGCTCGCCTCCATCGACGCCGCCATGCTCGTCTACCGGGCACCGCGACGGCGAGCTGCAGGTACGAGGGCCTGAAGTCATAGTTTCTGGACGCAAAAAAAAACCGAGTGATTACCCCGTTGCGCAGGTGCTTGACCCGCCCTATGTCACCACCACTATCTTACAGTTGAAGGGTTAAAGCTTGTGCCTCTGCCGCCAGGTCGCTCGCTCGGGCCGGACGCTTGGGCCGACAAGGCGCCGGACAACAGGGACTGCCTGCACCGGGCGCTCTGCAAGCACAACCGCTTCTCCAGGACCATCGAGGGCCCCTTTCGTCTGTGGATGCCGATCTGGAGGTGGAACTGAAAACAACTTTTTGGTGGATTTTCTAACTGGAAGCGGGCATTCTGGAACCCTTTTCTCTTGCTCGCAGTGTGGGGATGAGTTGGGTGGCTGGCCGCCTTTCCCCCGGGACCGCCGCGCCGGCCGTGGCCACCCTGGACAACCTGAGGGCCTCGTTGTTGGGGCTGGGGAACGCGCGCTGCAGCGCCGTGTTCCCGCGGTGCGACGCCGCGCGTCCGGCCGGCCCCACCCCTAGCGTGCCTGGCGCAGGCGCCCCCGATGCAGCCGGGCCCGGCGGGGCTGGCGATCCTGGCGTCAGGGACGTCACCTCGACCGGGAGTACGGCCCCGGCCCCGGAGCCCACCACCACGGTGAGCTACTCCAGCGAGGCCCCTCCGCCAGCCTCCGCAGCACCACCACCGGCAGGGCCAGCAGGGCCGCCCGTCGGCATCATCCACCCGGCCTTCAGCGACCTGCCGAAGATCATCACGATGCGGCCCTCGGGAGGCGCGCCCGCGGCCCGGCCGCACCACGGCGAGCCGGCCCACTTCACCGCCATCGGCGTCAAGACGAACAAGGGCAACCGGCGGCGGCGACCCGGGCCGCACGCGGCGGCGAGGAAGGCTTCGCGGCGACGGGCCGCGGACACGGCCTAGCGCACCAAGACCACCAAGACGTCGCGGCGCGGGTTCGAGTGGCTCGAGAATCGAGTCCCGGCGCCGCGTCATGCCATATCCTTTGCACCGGTGTCGGGGGGTTTAAGCTTTAAACCGAGGGGCGGGGGTGGCGGGGGTGTTCCCGGTGGCTGGGGACTCGGGTGCTTCTCGCACGGCGTCAGCGGGGGCGGGAACGAAACGCTGCATCGAGCTGTTCTTGTCCCCATTGATCCTCTACGCGTAGGTTAAGTGCTCATTTGTGATGATTGCTTCTTTGATCCTTCTTCGAACGTGCGGAGAGCGTGCAGTGTAAATAATGTATCCTAACTCTCTTACTTTTGTAACCGTGGCAACGTTTTGTAATAAACCATCCTTTCTGTGTTTTTTTTTCATAAAACTTTCTCAACTGTTCTGAAACTGCCGTACAAAAGCCCCGAATAATTCCTTGAATGAAAGCCATGCGGCCTGCCAGTGTCTCGGACTCGGTGGGCCGAAGACTCCTCTTTAGGTTTGGCGGTAAAGCCTTACAGGGCGCGAGGGCGCTGAGCCCCAAGCACGCCAGGCACGCGACGCCTCATGGCTCTGGCGTGGCGCGGCGTGGCGGGCCAATTTCTCGCACCTTGCTCTTTGTGCGTCGGCCGGAGAGGTGGCCGCCATCGCGTGACCCAGCACCGCTAATCATCCCAGCCTCCGAATCGACCTCGCACATTAGGGGCTGGGAAAGGGGGAGGGGGTAGAGGGGGAGGAAACCGACGCTGGAAAGGAAGGGCACAGTGAGACGGGGGAAGGAACGGGTTGAGAATGGTCCAGGCAAGGAGATTTACATATTTGTTACTGTTTTGACCAACTTCGCGGCAACACTGCTCTCAAGCTCTAGCGGGAAATCGCACTCCGTAACAAAGGCGTGCTAAGGGACAGTCCAAAGGCCTTCTCCGTTGAGGGAGCTTTTCTCGCCTTTGATTGGACGCAGTGGCAGTCTGAACTCAGCCCGAACATGACGTGAATCAGTTGGGTCTAATCGAGGCTCGATTCACGTTGAAACGAATGTCACATAATAATCGCGCCGTTCGTAACAAAAGACGGTCGCTTTGGGTCCTCGCCGTGGCGCACGCCTTTGCATGCCCTCCGCGCCCTGCCTGCTTCGCATTGCTTCGCATCGCCGCCCCGCCGCCTCCCCATTGGCGGGCCCGGGGCGTAAGCGCGGCGCGGCGAGCCAATCACAGCGCAGCGCCCTCCCGCCACCCTCTGCTGGCACTTCTTGTGCTTCGTGGGAACGGCCGCGTGGCGCCGCGTGCCGCCTGTCTGGACTCCATTACCAGCAGCACCCTCACTGCGCACCGCCAGTACCGGCCGGCTCAAAAGCTGGCGCTGGGCGAAGCGAAACGAGCAAAACGCGCCCCCAGATTTCCGCAGGCCGGCCAGACGCTTTGTCATTTTCTCGGGGGAAGGAGAGGCGACACTCGCCGGTACTCGAACCCTTGGCGGCTTGGTGAGGAGCGGAGGCTCGGCCGGGCCGCGCTGCGCTGCGTCTGGCCGTGTGTGTCGAGGCGGTTCACGTTAAAGCAGCGCTAAAGAGGGGCGAGCAAACACGCAGACGCAAGCGGGGGCGAAGGCGGACGCCCGGACGCAGCGACGCACGACGCACCGCGGCCGCCGTGGCCAGGCGCTACGAATCGCCTCGCTCCAGGTTTTAGGCTGGAGGCTCCAGCGAGGCTCCGGCGAGGCTCCAGCAGCACGCGAAACGGCAATCGACGCGCAAAGTGGCCTCTGCCACTGCCTCTGCTTTTGCCACGCCACTGCATTGCATTCATTGCCGCGCGTCTTCGCGCCGCACAGCATAGCCAAATTTCCCTCAGGAGGCGATCGAGGCTGGGACAAAGGCAGGCAGGCGTGGGGCACTCACGTCTTAACTGTGGACGGGCAAACCAAGTGCTAACACTACTTCCAACCGCAAAAAAAGCAAACAAAAAACTGTAAAAGCTTTCCCCTCTTTCAACGTGACATGAGAGAAAAATGTGTATGTTATTAGTATATTTTTTCAACCACACCAAAAAAAAAAAGGTTTGCAGCAGATTAAAAACGGCCAGTTCCAATCTTAACCTCAGCGGGCATTCTCCGGCCTGTTCCGCCCGGTCGCTTCCCTCTTACCAACCCCGCGCCCTCGCCCGCCCCGCCCGCCCCCTCCCCTCCGTCGCGGAGGGATGGATAAAGTACCACTAACACGCAGCATCTTCCTGCCATAATTCATTTTGCGGGGGAGGAGCGGCAGCGCGGGGGACGGGAGGAAAGAGGGAGGGAGAGAGAGGGAGCGAGAGTGAGAGGACCACGGGGGAGAGGGGAGGATGGGAGATAAAGGAGCAACGCGAAGGTGTGAAGTTTAGCACCTGATCGGTTCCCATTGGTCCAGGCGGGCCCGCGCCCCCTCCCACTCGTTCCCCGCCCCGGCCCACTCCACCCCCGCACCCCGGGACCGCTCAGTCTGGCCAACAAACCGGGTAATGTGGCCGTGCTTTCGCCCTTAAAAACTATCAGCGCGGTAGTCCGAGGGCTGCGCGGGGCGGCGGGGGCGGCGGGGGCGGGGCGGCCCGGGCGGCAGGACAGTGCTCCGGCGGGGCGGCTGGCGGTTCCAGTCCACGACGCGAAGGCATGTCCTCAGGATGTCAGTGAGCATCGCCGCCCAGGTGCTAGCCGAGGCGGCCGAGGCCATGGGTTCGTAGCGGTTCGTAGTCCCGCCGGGCCCGAGTTGCGTCGTAGTGGATGTGGTACTAGTCAGTGTCCGTGAAGCATGCGTGGGTCTTGCTGGAGCCAGGCGGCCTCGCCATGATTACGTCCGTGACGGCGGCCGAGCGCCTCCTGCTGGCCGACGACGTCCACCGCGGCCACCGCGATGTGGGTGAGGACGCCGCCCTGGAGTGCGACCGCCGGTCAGCCTTGTCGCCGCCGCCGTCCGACGACGATGACGTCACTGTGGACGAGGACGACGACGCGAAGGTGTGGTGCTCGCCGTCACCGAGACACTGCGGGAACCTGCAGGTGACCTCCACGACGACGGAGCTCGGCGGCCGCGACGGCAGCGCCAGCGCGGCGTGCCCAGGAAGCCCCGAGGACCTGCGTCGCGACCGGAGAGACGTGCGCGAGCGCAGGAGTAAGGGCAGACTCTCGCCGTCGGCGTCCGGCGTCATCTCCAGCACCAGCCCCAAGAACAACCACTTCTCCATCGACAGCATCCTGGGAAGGTGAGTGCGCTCGTTTTGACGTCCTGCTTAGTGAAGAGGAAACCAAAGCCGGACTGACTGTGTTTGAATGAAACCAGGCGGGTGCTCAGCCCGAGTCGTGGCTGCTCTGACGGCTCCGAGGCCTCGGAAGCGTCCGCGGCAGACGTGGAGCCCTTCGGCGACTCCGGGGACGAGGCCGAGCTGGATGCGGAGCTGGACGCGGAGCCTTTGCCGCGGCCTCGGACGCCGGCCGGACTCGCGCCGTCACCGCCGCCCACCCCTGGCGACGAGCAGCGGGGCGAGCTGTGGAGGGCCTTCCACGGCGCGGACGACGGGGAGCAGCAGGTTGGCCGTTAACTCGTTCTCGTCTAAAATGCGCGAAGGGCCCTGGCTAACCGTCTGCATTCGCAGCGCTTCGTGCGCCCCTCCCCGGTGCACGGGCTGCCCGCCCTGCCGGTGCCCGCCCTGCTGCGCATGCACGGCATGCAGCACCTCCACGGCCTCGGCCTGTCCGCCGGGCTGCCGCCGGGGTTGTCCGCGCTCGCCGACCTCAACAGCCTGGGGCTGGGGCTGTCGGCTGGGCTGCCCGCGGGGCTGTCCATCCACGGCCTCGGAGCCCTGGGCGTGCACATACGGGGACCGAGCCTGCCGCCCGACTCGGCCAGGCAGCTCTCGGACGCGGGTACGTCTGCGTAAACGCGATGAATGGACCGCCAAGGCACGCTCGCCATTGCCATGTGGTTGTTGCCATGAGTGAATAACCTCCCGATTGAACGCAGGCCCCGCCCCTTCACGGCAGCACGACGCCCGCGGGAGCCCCGCCCTCGCCGCCCCCACGACGACGCCGCCCGCCCCGCGGCCCCCGCGCCCCAACGCCCTGCCGCCGGCCTACCACTACCCCGCCTCCCTCCTGTACGGGGGGTGGCTGGCCGGGGGACTCGGCGGGCCCAAGGGGACGCCACTGTTCACACTTCAAGGTAAGCCCGTCTTCCACGAACGAGAATGGGCGACCCGGAACACCCACAAGCAGCGCGTCGTGCCGGCGAGGAGCTGCCCGTTCGGCCGTTCGCGGAAGGCTGGTCTCGCACCCACGCCCTGCCGAGCAGGCCAAGAGACGCGACACCCATAACGACATAATAACCCCATGTTGTCCGAGCACACCGAGCGCGGCGTGTTCCCGAGTCGTTATCGCGCAGGTGCGAAACGGCCGGGCCGGAGCCTTGGTGGCGCGGGTGGCTGGGCGGTATGCCTGTATGTTGTCGCCGAGTTTCTCATCTTTCATCTTTTGTGTGTTTGTGTGTGTCGCAGCGCCCAAGCCCGCGGGCCGGCGGTGCCGCAAGCCGGGCCTGGACCGCAAGCCCCGCCAGGCCTACAGCGCGCGCCAGCTGGAGCGGCTGGAGACCGAGTTCAAGGTATAAAGGACAGCGCTACGTCTAGCCCCGGCGTTTCAGCGTTTTCACGGTATAACTGTAGCCGCGTTCTGTCCGCAGGTCGACAAGTACCTGAGCGTGTCCAAGCGCATGGAGTTGTCCAAGGCGCTGAACCTGACGGAGGTGCAGATCAAGACGTGGTTCCAGAACCGGCGCACGAAGTGGAAGAAGCAGATGACGACGCGCTACAAGCTGCCCGCCCCGCCGCATGTCACGGCCCCCCGTCCTCCGGGGCTGTTCGGCTCCGCCACCAACGCCGTGGCAGTGGCGCCCGCCGGCGGCCTGGCCGGGGGCTTCTTCCAGCCGCCTGCCCCGTCGGGGCTGCCGCCGCCGCCGCCCTCACTGCACCTCACGGCGTCGTACTACAGCAGCATGGCGGCCGCCATGGCCAACTCGTTCGCGCTGACGCCCCTGGAGGGCGGCACCGCGGCGTCCACCGACGCGTCCTCCAGCGCGACCGTCGCGGCGGACGAGGAGGCGTCCTCCTCGACGGACATCGTGACCGTGTAGGACTTGACTGGTGTACAAAGGAAGTGATATTATTTTATTCCTGAAACAAGATGGCGACAGTCGTTCTTTTTTCTAAAATAAAGCATGTAGATGTTCTTGTGGATTTCTCTTCGGTAACCAATGAATCCCAATGACACGAGAAGGTGGCGACACATAGCTCAAGGGAAACCCGGTAGGCGCGGGCATGGCGCGGCGGCCCCCAGGAGGTGGGCATCCCATCCGACACCGGTGGCCGGCCCGCTTCTCACTGACGCCTCTAGCACGCACGTCGGAGAGTCGTGGATACCCCAACGGGGCACGCTAGGGCGCGCCGATACTCCTTGCCATGGCGTCTGCCTAGCCTGGACGGCGATACTCCTCGCTCACAGCTTCCGTGGCAGCCGCACCAGCGGTCTCCGATGGCGGGATGCAGCCCAGCTATTTGGAATATTTGTTTCGTCGCTCTGTCACCGTCACGCTCATGGGGCTGTGGACTCTCGGCAAGGGTGCGAGAGAGACCGCGCTTTTCCTGCCCCTTTCAGCCGCTTTGTTTGACGAGAGGAGTGCGGGTTGCACCACGGACGGCGTCACACCGTCGCACCGTCGCACCCTCCCCGCCGACGGCGGAGCGGCGCGGCTCGGCGCGGCACGGCGTGCTGTTATGGGGTACGGGAACTGCTGCTCCTTCTCCGTCGCGCCCCTGCGGACCGCTCCGCGACGACGAAAGCAGTGTGTTGGTTGGTGCGGTACCGCGGCGCTCGACAAGTAACCCTGTCCACACGCGGCGAAAGTATTTGCTCGCGGATTCCCTGTCCGCGCTCGTCGCCGCGCTGCTGCCGGCTGATCCCGAGTGTGAGGTCTCTCTCTCTCTCGCACTCATGGGCCGTTGCGTGTGCGTGCGAGAGAGACAGACCGACGAGAGCGCCCGCTCGGAATGAGCCTGCTGCTGCGCTGCTGCGCACCTCGGTGGAGGCGACGGAGGACCCGTCCCACTTAGCGCCCGACGACGCGCTGAGCGAAGTTCAGCCAGCGAGCCTGGACGTCCACGTCCAGGGACAGGCACTGCAGGGAGAGGAGCTGCGGCCACTTTCACCTGCACCGCGGGCCAAAGTCCGGCGCAGCAGAGCGGCCCGGCGGGGCGCGACGCCGGGTCGTCCTCGGCCTTCCTTCGCCGTCGCAGCCGGAATGTGATGTTGAGTTGAGAGCCGAAGGATCGTTCCGTTGCTCTGTCTCTCTCCCTCGCCAACGGAACGCTTCACAAGTGCAACAGAGACAGGGCGAAGGAACGGTCCTTCGGAATAGTTGGCTGGGCCCTGCTGGTCCAGGAGACAGAAACACATCGCCGCCCAGCCATGTTGCCATGTGGGTCAGGCCAGTCAGGCCGCGGCGCCGCGGAAGGAACGCATCCTCCTTCGCACGCCACATCCGGGTATCGAACAGTCGCGGTTCCGGTATTCCGGTTTGCCTGGCTGGCTATCACGACCCGGAAAAATTAAAGTAAATATGAATAAAAATAACAAAGTCACCGCCTTGACAACATCACACGCAATCCCACAATACGGTTACAGACCGCAAGTTGAACCCGCGACTGCCGCAGCAGTTTCGCAGAAACTTACAGAAATGTCTCAATTCAGCTGGCCGCGGCCCCGGGCGTGCCCCCTTTCGAGGGTGCAGTGTGCCACATGCGGCCAGGTGGAGTGGGAAGAAGAGGAAAAGGAGGGGGGGGAGGTGCGGAGCGGGCGGGTGCGGGGCCTCGCCGGCCGGGGACCGTACCGCATTGCACAAGAGTAGATCCACGGAACTCGTTTGCACGTAATCGGTTACCGCCGGGGCTGCTCTGTCCTGACACGCGTCCACGACGGGCACGTCGCGACGCACGACGCACCGGCACCGTTTTGTTGTTTCCTACACGGCAACTGGGTCAGGCGCCGCGCAGCGCCGCACCGGCTCATCTAGAGCTGGAAGGTCCGGGCTTGTTAGTGCCGTTCCGAAGGGGAGATGCGGCTGCCCTGCTGTGGCTGTGCCCTTCGCCCCCGGTGGGGAATTCCGTGAGGGTGCGAGGGAGACAGAGCGGACGCTCTACGTTAGCGGTGGCACCCTTTTAGTACAATCACGCCCGCCGCGCGCACCCCTCGCCAACTATATGGCTCAAAACTGGCGCTTCTCATATTTGCCGACTTACGAGACCTTCAAAAGCCGTTGACTTTTCCTGGAGCCCGTTTAGATGGCTGGATTGATTTGTTTCTCAGTAAGCAACCGCAGTCACGGAAGTGTCCGACAAGTGCCACTAAATCGATTTGCCTCAAAACGAGAAGCAGTTCTCAGTGTAGTGCCCCGCAGCGCACCGGCCCGACGCTCTTCCGAGAAGACGTCTCTCGTGGCTCGGCTCTCACGCTGCAGCCCGACATTTGCCAAGTTTGCCAGACCGACGGATCGCGTTGCCGGCATGGCGGTGGTCAGTCGCGCGCGATTGGGCGCGGGCCGAAGAACGTCGCAACATGCACGCATGTTACACTCAAGCAGGACCAGGGGCCAGGGCGTCCACTGCGTTGGTCCGTGCGAGGCGCGAAGCTGAACCTCGGACCCCGCGCGCCTCACGCCGCCCCCGCCGCGACGGCCCGGCGGCCCGGCGGCCCGACTGGAGGCCGGACGGGCCGGACGGGCCGGACGCACGCCCCAGTTGCATTTCTCAATCGGTGTTAAGGTCGCCGCACCGGAATCGCCCCTTGCCTCCCAAGGCTACCCGTCCAGCGACTCAAGGCTCCCCTCCCCCGGGCCGCCGAGCCGCCGGGCCGCCGGGCCTCCAGGACCGGGGTGGGGGCCGACATGCCAGCCTCCAGAAGGTGCCGGGCGGTACCCGGCCGGGGCCTGGAAGGACTGGAAGGATGCCGGCGCAATACATAACGCCTCCCGATTATGTCATGCCGGGCACCGGGGCACCGCCGCCCGCCCCGCTTCACCGCGTCGCCCCGCCCCGCGCCCCGCCCCGCCCCGCTGCATCGCCCTGCTCTGGGAAGGCCCTCCGAACCACGTGGGTATACACAACTTTCCCTCGGCCCTTCCCCTCCCCCCCTGGCCCGCCCCTCCCACACAGAGGCCCTTGCTCTCGTGACGCGGGGAGGGGCGGGAGGGGCGGGAGGGGAGGCGGCCGGCGGGGAGTGGAAGGGGTGTAAGGAGGCCACCCAGTGATGGCTGTGACTCAGTTTTCCGTGCTTCCGTATTGGACCGCCCTTCTGACCCCCTCCCTCTGCCGCCCCTCCCGTCCCCCGTCCACCCTCTCCTCCGGTACCCTGCTTCTCTGCAGCTGCAGGGGTCCAGCAGGCCGTGCCCGCCGTGCCCGCCGTGCCTCCGTGCTCCAGCAGGCACTCTGCAGTGCCGAGCACGAATCGAGAGTGACCAGTCGCCCGGAGCATGTGAGCGCAGTGCCATCGTTTTGCGCGTGTGTTGGTGACACCTGTGCGACAGACAGTGCTACAGTGTGGGTGCGTGTCTGTGTGTGTGCGTGTGCAAGACAGTGCCCGTGTGCGAGTGACAGCGGCTACGCCGACAGGATAACGGCGCTCTTCTAGTCGGATCGCAAGGTAAGCCGTGATTAAGGGTCCATCCAGAAGCTATCTCTCTGGCACTCGAACTTGGAACCTCTCGATCTCGACGAGGCGGCGAGGCGAAGCCACGCGCATCTGTCTGAGCCGGGCTCTTAGCGGCGTGTAGGGTTACCGAGGGTTACGCTACGCCGTGGTTGCACAGGGTGACGCGCTCAAACAAACCCCCGCCACCCCGCAGCCCTCGTTACCCCCGGCGGCAGAGGCAGGCAGAGGGTTGTGTCGTGGGGTCGTCCCGCTCCCCGCTGTCGCTTTGACAGACGTCGTTCGAACCGAGCCGCGGTGCCTTCAAGTGCCGTCGCCGCGCGGCCCGGGAGGACAGGATCAATAGGGCCTTGCACGGAGGCGACGCCGGGGACGCTCGCAGTGCTGTCGTCACGTCGTCCACATGCACCTGTTCCTGGACAACCTCTGCAGGTGCCCGACGGCGACGTGCAGCCAGTGCCGCCAGTGCCGGCTAGTGCAGAGCGAGGACCATGACGGCGTGGGTGTTTGCAGGAGGACCGAGCCAAGCGCCATGGGAGTGGAGACTGGCCCCGCCGGGCCCAGCGAGGGCCTGGACGCCGGCTTGGCGGCGCCCTGGACGGCGGAGGGCGTGCCGGTGGGAGCGGCGCCCGTGCCCGTGCAGCAGGCCGCCCCCGAGGACGGCGCCAGCGCCACCCTCTCCTCGCCGGTGCAGGAGTTCTTCGCCGGCGCCACCGTCATGGTGACCGGAGCCACCGGGTTCGTCGGCAAGGCCCTGGTCGAGAAGCTGCTGCGCTGCTGCCCCGACCTCAACGTCATCTACATCCTCATCCGGCCCAAGAAGGGCATGGACGTGGAGGGGCGGTACCAGGAGCTGCTCCAGCACCCGGTCGGTACCCCCAACAACAAACCAACCAGACAAACAGCGTCGAGTTTGCTTGAAACGACACTGCACGGCACTACTGGAAATGCGGAAGCATGACGTCACGTTCGTCCGATTCACGTTTGGAACAAATGTGACATAATATTTAAACGATCGTTGCACAGTTTGCGTTCAAACGAACGTGACGTCACAGTCCTGGATTTCCAGTGGCGTTGGCACATCGGGCCCGCGCTCTGACCGTTCCCGTCCTGTGCAGGTGTTCGAGCGGCTGCGCTCCGAGCAGGGCCCCGCCGTGTTCGGCAAGGTGCGGCCCGTGGCCGGGGACGTGTCGCTGCCCCACCTGGGGCTCAGCGAGGGTGACCGGCGTCGCCTGCAGGCGGAGGTCAACATCGTGTTCCACTCGGCGGCCACCGTCCGCTTCAACGAGGGCCTGGCCGCCGCCGTGTCCCTCAACACCGTGGGCACGCAGAGGGTCATGCGCCTGTGCAAGGAGATGATCAACATCAAGGTGCGTACCGCCAGACCGTCGCCTCCGCCCTCTCGCCGCCAGACTCTGACCACGACAATGACGCTCTGCTCGCAGTCCCTGGTGCACGTCTCCACAGCCTACTCCAACGCCGACAAGCGCGAGGTGCGCGAGATGGTGTACCCGCCGCCGGCCGACCCGGAGGCCGTCATCAAGCTCGTCAAGTCCCTGCCCGAGGACGCCATGCCCGGCCTGGCCAACGCGCTCATGGGCAAGCGGCACCCCAACACGTACACGCTCACCAAGGCCATGGCGGAGTGGATCGTGCAAGAAGAAGCGGACGACATCCCCTGCGCCATCGTGCGCCCGTCCATCGGTAAGCTTGTTGCCGCCTGCGATCAGCGCCTGCGATCTGGAGGGTAGGCCATCCCGCGGTGCAGGCGTGTGTAACGGGACGTCCTACCCACTAGGCGCCTGCTAGCGCCTGCGAACTGGAGGGTAGGCCGTCCCGCGGTGCATGCGTGTGCAACGGGACACAAGTGACGTCACGCTGTTGACGGTCACCGCGGTTGCGCAACGTGTTGCAGTGACGGCGGCGCTGCGCGACCCCGTGCCCGGCTGGGTGGACAACGTGTGCGGCATCACGGGCATCATGATGGAGATCGGGCGCGGCACGATCCGCTCCATCATCTGCGAGGAGGACTACATCGTGGACCTGATCCCCGTCGACCTGGTGGTCAACACGCTCATCACCGCCGCCTGGAGGACGGGCACGCACCTCGCCAACAACGTGCAGGTGCGCGACGGCGTCTCCTCCGCGCGGAGTGCTTCCGAATATTTCTTTTCTGACCCGACCCCGACGCCCTGCTGCAGGTGTACAACTGCACGAGCGGGCAGCTCAACCCGGTGCACTGGCACGAGTTCGGGCGGCTGACGCAGAACCAGGCCGTCGACACGCCCACCAAACACGTGCAGTGGTACCCCGGCTTCTCCTTCCGCACCAACCGCTACATCCACAAGTTCTGCGAGATCTTCTTCCACTTCTTCCCCGCCCACGTCGTGGACCTCCTCATCCGCGCCCAGGGCGGCAAACCCATGTGAGTGCAAGCCTGTTTCGCGGCGCATTTGTACCTCCAACCTTTCGAACATTGACGACGCCGTCTCGGCTGCTTCCAGCATGGTGAAGATCGCCCAGCGCTTCAAGCTGGCCGCCAAGACAGGCGAGTTCTTCTCGCTGCACGAGTGGGACTTCGAGAGCTCCAACATGAAGGCCCTGATGAAGGAGATGGACTGCATCACCGACCGCCAGACCTTCGACGTGGACGTGTCGCATATGTCGTGGAAGCCGTACGTCACCGACTACATGATGGGCATCCGGAAGTACATCCTCAAGGACGGCTCCGAGTCCCTCCCCTCCGCCCGCAGCAAGCTGCAGAAGTACGTGATGGCGGTAACCTGGTTTTACAGTGGGTTTCCTTCAAGCTCCTCTAATGTTCAAAATCGGGTTTTGTGCGCAGGTTGTGGTGGGCACATCGGGTGACGCAGGGCCTCACCCTGCTCTTCCTCTGCCGGGTCTTCTTCTTGGCCGGCTCCTTCCTCTTCAACGACGTCCTCGGCCTGGCCAGATGACTGCCTCGCGGCCGCTCGCGGCGGACCGAGATCTCCGACTGAGCCCAGCCCCGAAGAACGACCTGAGTTACCTACGTTAGATTAAGCCATTTGTACATAGCGCCACTCATTGTTGATTATGTGTTATTATCCTAAGTGAGGATTAAGTATTATTATTTTATTTTTTTGTTTCCATGAATTTTAGCGGGTTATGTTGTCTTTTAAAAGACGGATGTGTGAGTTGCTTTGAAAATTACTTCAGAGGCTTTTGTCATGTTTCATTCTTCATTGAAATATACCAAACCGCAAAAAAATCTCAGTTTTCATTTATATAAAAATATATTTACAAAACATACAAGACGTTCAATCATGAATTGGCTCGCATAAGGACATTCACATTTTGGTAACTGACAGAGGTTAACACCAACACGCGAAATACTGCAGGCATAACGCGCTCCGCGCATCACAGATAGGTCTCGTCCACTCCCGGAGATAGTACAACCGGTTCAGTCCACCGCACTTTTTTCAGCGGCGACCAGCGGCAATGTCCGCTTGCTGTATTTGCCTTCAAAATAGTCTTAAAGTCTTCAAAATTCAAACAAAGACGAAACTTTTTAACGTTTTCAAGCAGCACAGCGTGACCGCTTGGAGGTCGTCGTTTCGGCGTTCCAGCCGATGCCCTACCGCCGGGCGAACAGGGTGGCGAGGCACAGCGCGAGCGCTAGCGAGGGGGCCGCGGCCGCCGCCGAGTTGGACGTGTTGCCGTTGTCAGCCCTGGAGGTCTTGGAGCTGGTGTTGCTCTGTGAGGCCGTGGAGGCCGCCGTAGAGGCCGCCGTAGAGGCCGCCGTAGAGGCCGCCGTAGAGGCCGCGGTGGGGGCCGCCGTGGGGGCCACTGTGGGGGCCGTGGAGGTGCCGAAGCCCTCGTTGAACTGGTCGCGCCGCGCCACCGTCAGCTCGTTCTGGAACCACTGCTTCTGCGTCGGGGGCCACACCAGCTCCATGTAGTCCTCGTGGTCGCGCTGGAACGTCTTCCACGTCGGGCTGTGCTCCACGGGGGACTCGTCCGGCGTGGGGTTCCTGGGGGACAGACGGAGTGTCAAACCGGCGCTCCCTCGAGTACCTCGCTGAGTACCACGCACATAAGCACGGCCAAGCTTACTGGTAGATGACGAAGTTGGTGACGTATTTGCGGAGGGCCAGAGACACCTCCAGGTCGTTGCCCACGAGCGTGGGGTACTTGGGCATGGGGAAGATGTACGGCTGATCTGCCCCGTGGAAAATACCTGAGAATGCCAGAGAACTCACAGCTAGTAAAAATGGCTTGTCGTTTTGGGTTTTCGTTTGCAGTTTTGCTGGTTTGCGGTGTACTAACCCTCGGGGGACTTGCGAGTGAGTTCGCCGTTGTGGTTGAAGGCGTAGAGGTACGACGGCTGCCCGAGCTCCGAGTTACGCTGGACGATTCGGCGGGCCGCGCTCTTGAACCCGAAGGCCCCCAGCATCTGCAACACCACCAGCACACTGTTGTCTGGGTGACTTCGTCTTGGAGCGCGCAGCGGCACGGGTAGCGGTCTTGGTTGACAAGGGCGCGACCATCCCTCCGGAAAGCGGGATACTTTCAAGTGCACTCGAACCGACGTTTCCAAAGGGACTTACGTCGATCAGCCCGTCCCGCATGCTCTGGTAGTCGCCCAGCGTGGTCGGGTCGAAGTAGGCCTGCACCGAGGTGTCCGACACGTAGCCGGCGGGGTCGTCATTTCCTGCAAAAAGAAAATTTCCGGGGTTCGAATCCTGTCCCTATTCTCTCCGCAGCAGCAACTCTTGTCGGTCATGAGTCAGTCTTCGCCCCGGCAGCGTATCTCCCGCCCGGGACTTAAGTTGTAAGTCGCACTTGAAACGTCGAGCCGCCCGCTCCGCCCCGCTCGCACTCACCGATCACGGCGAGCAGCACGTGGACCACATCGTTGCGGAGGAACGAGGCGTTGCTCTCGAGGTGGTTCAGCTCCAGGTAGAACTTCTCCGCCACTGCAACACACCAAGGCGCACCCTGCCATGACACGGGCCTCACTCCACGACACTCTCAAGCGGCGTTCCGAACAGGGCGGCGAGCTTACGTTCCAGCGGGTAGGTGCCCTCGTGCTTGGTGACGCCCGTCATGTAGGGCAGCGCCTTGAGGTCGTCAGACGAGAGGATGTTCTCGGGCAGGTCCAGGAGCACCTTCTTGTCGTCCGGGATGGCCGCCCTCTGCAGGGACGGGATGGAGCCCGACATGCCGAGGTGGCCGTGCAGCAACGAAATTCCCTGGAGCGAGAACAAACGCCGTCAGGTTTGGTGGCTCATTCGGTAAAGGGGAGTATACCAACCCCCGCCACTCACCGCGTACATCAAGTAGGCACGGATCAGGTCCTTGGGCGGCACAGCCCGCAGGCAGGCCACGCGGTCAGCGATGGCCGTCTTCCCCAGGCACGCCACGTTGGTGATGGAGTTGCCCGCCGCCTCGGGGGTGCGGTCCCACGCCCAGAAGCCCAGGGCGGACCCGGACATGGGCAGCACGCCGTGGATCAAGTCTGCGCAGCAAGTCGCGGTAATCGGAGACCGTTCGAAACGCTCTTCAAGACGGACCAGAAACCGGGTTACCTTTTGTGAGGTGGCTGAGGTACAGTACGCTGGCCGAGGCCGCGCCCGCACTGTGCCCGGCGATCGTCACCCGGGAGGGGTCTCCGCCGAAGTACTGGATGTTCTTGTTGACCCAGCGGAGCGCCTCCACCAGGTCGAGCAGCCCCGCGTTGCCGGGCACCTCTTCGGTCTGCAGGTTGAGGAATCCTGCGCAGGCAAGAGCAGGGTGACGACCTCATCCAGCGCGGCTCATTCCGAATGAATGGAGTTCCCGGATTAACATTGTTGGGGTTGGGAACCGAGGCGCGGTGTCCCTGTGCAGGAAGTACCTCTCGAGAGGCTTGACTGATTACTCGCTAGCGCACTCATAGAACCAATTATTATGCGTGGCCCCTGTTCACGGCGTGGGGGTTCGCGCGTCGCTATCGTTCACCCAATTAAGCTAATCTCTTGTTGAACGCGAGTGCTTGCGAAGATAACCTCGTTTTGAGCAGCTGGCGAGCGGGGCCGAGAGCAAGCCTAGAGCCTGCACCGGCACGGACGCGCCGCTCGCGCCGGCCTTCACCGTGACACTGGCAGTCCACTTGCACGACGCGCTTCGGCCGTTCGCACCCGGCGACGTTGTCTAGCTCTGCTAAACGGCCCGTCGCTCTGCCTCTCTCGCACTCAAGGCGCACCCCGCTCGGGCGCGACAGAGATAGAGAGACAGAGACCTGTGCGCCCCTTGAGGGGCTTCGCACTACTGCACGCCGCCGCCCACTTGAGGTCGGCGCGGGCCTCACCGCGGCCTTACCCAGAGGCCCCAGCCGGTACTGCGGAGACACCAGCACGATGTCGGCGGAGTCCAGCAGCGCCGTGGGCGGCTTCTGGCCGGCATAGCCCGTGTAGAAGTTGCCGCCGTGGATGAACACCAGCACGGGCAGCTTAGCGTTCGGGTCCACCTGCAGCAGAGCGCCAAATTAGAAAAGTGCGACACGATTCAATGGGGAGTGTGCCAGTCGAAAGCTCTGTTCGGGCAGTGCGGCCGCGCTGAATGTCACGGTCACTCGGCCAGGTTGCGCAATGGGCTTCGAACACCGCACCCCCGCGGCCCGGCCGAGTCCGACCTGGCGGTCACGATGTCACGCTCTGCGGGCCATAGCCAAAAGCAGTGCTTTGGTCGACGGTCGTCGCGTGTTGTCACGCACTAGCAGTGACAGCGGGGCAGAGGCTGCGCGGCGGACTCGCCTCCCAGTGTCCCAGTGCCGGTCCCTGACCTCGCCGCCCGCTTCTCGCCCACGCACCTTGGGGGTGTGCACGTCCAGCACGAGGCAGTCCTCGCTCTGCTGGCCGTCGTCCACCGGCCAGGCGGCCGTGCCGAGTTCCACCTGGAAGCACGTCTTGCCGGGCACGGTGGAGTCGTGCACGCCCTCCCACGGCTTCTTGGGCACCGGGGCCTGCCGGAGGGAGAGGACAGAATCAGTGAGTGCACTCGAAAACCACCGCGGTCGCTCTATCGTACTCTCACACAGTGTGTCAGACTTACCACGAACCGAAGCTCGCCGACGGGGGCCTCCCCGAAGGGCACGCCCAGGTACGAGAACACGGTCCGCTTGGCCTGGTCCGTGACGGAGGTGGTGCCCTGCACCTGGCCCAGGCCGGGGAGAGTCACCACGGGGACGGCGTCGGCCTGCAAGCACAGTCCCTTAGTTGAGCCGGGCCGCGGACCGGAGGAAGACCGCCCTCCCCGTCAGGCAGGCCGCAGCGCTTCCACACCAACCTGCACGTTGTAGCGCGCGGCGTCCATCTGCGACGCGGAGTGCCCCGCGACGTGCACGTCGAACTCCATCGGCTGCTGCTGCACCGAGCGGGCGTGCACGGCCACGGCCAGCAGCAGGGCCACCGGCACGCTCGCCACCATGGCCTTGATCCTCATGACGGCGTCAGCTTCTTGTCAACTGTGGCACCAAAGCGAGGCGGAACCCTTATAAGCGGATAGGACGGAGGCGTCGGCGTGCGAACCTCGCGAGGCACTGCCACTGCCGGGCGCCGCGGCCGCCGGGAGCAGACAGCACGGCCCAGCCAAGCCTGTACAGCAGGACTGTACCACTGTACAGGGAGGCGTCGCGTGGCCGCGTGGCCGGCGTGGACGCGCACCCCTGGCTGGCTTTACCGACTCGAGGCATAAATCCATCTCAAAATGACGACCCCCGAAAATAATGAAACGGCGGGCTTTGCGAGTCAACACCGCCATGCGAGGTGGAGCCCCCCCCCTCCCTTAAAATCACAGTGGTTCCCGATTTTTGTGACGCTTGCCGTTGAGAGGCGCATAGGTTCCCTAGGCTCACCTATCTGTGCCATCCGAATGCAAAGGAGAATTTCCTCAGTCTGCTCCTATATGGCGTTAGGACTTGCTCTCAATGAAAAACTAACAACTCGTATGACTGACAGCAACCGCGTGTCCCAAAACAATACGCACAGCCGCAGAGTCACGGGGCCACGAGGTGAGCTGATTGCGAGAAGACTCGCGGCGAGGCCCAGCCGGCGAACATTTGGCGAAGGATTTGAAGCGCGGCGTTTGAAGATAAGGGGCGGGGCCTTGGGGAAGGGTGCCAGTGTGGTGGCAGCGGTGCCAGGCAGGCCGCGAGGTACAGCGGAGCGTGGAGGAGGAGGGAGTCGGAGTGTTCGCGAATCCGCAGTGCTAGCTCAGACGGCTAGGTCTCTCAGCCAGCACGCAGCGACGGAGCCCAGTCGGCTTACCTGCGGCGTTGCGCGGGGGTCCGTGGGCCCGCTCGTCACCTCGTCCACCTCGTCACCGCCAGCGGGCAGCGCCGGTCTCACACTCGCCCCCGACACCGCCGACGCCGTGCCCGCGGCGTGGCCATGGCACCCCGTGGCGCTGCGCGCCGCTGCAGACTGCGACGGTGGCGGTGGCGTGGCGGTGGCGGGGCGGGACAGGCCGTGTCGCGCTGCCGCCGCCAAACGACTGGCGACTAGGTCGGGGTCGCGTTTTCGTAGGGCTGCTTTGGCCCTGCAGTGGTATCCGTACAGTCAGAGAGCCACGCCCCGCCGCGCCCCTCCCCCTTGCAGGTCGAACGTTCCGCCGCAGAGTTTTCTCGGGGGCGCGGAACTCAGCGCCCCAGCGCCCCCGCGCAACCTTGGCATTGACGCTTCCGATCCCCGCCCCGCCCCGCCCCGCCCCGCCCCGCCTTTGGGACTTCCCCCTTCTGACGCGCGGTGCGATGGACGGATGGACACAAGGATGGATCAGCTAATCGGCTCGCTCTAGAGGGCCCGTTCGCTAGATAGCGGCGGGTAATAACTCGCTAAGCTGGTCGTGAGGCAGCCTGCATGGCTTCACTTGGCAACTGCAACAGCTAATGCTACTTTTCTTCTTATTTTTTTTTGCGAAGATACTCTGTAGTAATATTATTATTAAAGGACAAAACGGAATCATATTTCATAAAAATAATAGGGAAAAATAAAAAGTTAATGGGGCTAAATAATTTTAAGCCCTTCTTTTTTTACAGTTGAGCATTAAACTTCGTTGTTTGCAATTCGCACATCCCTCGGTGGCTTTGACATTCCCGGCATGACCGAAACGTAGTAAGGACCGGACCGAGAAATCCGGTGGCATCCACAGTGTGGCGTCCCGGGTCCACGACTTACCTGCGCTTGCCGCCCAGTGTTCGTCAGTCGGTTCCTTCGACTGCGGCAGGGCGGTGCTGGGCGGTGCTGGGCGGTGCTGGGCTCGCTCTGGGGCTGCTCGGTCTCGACTGGGCCAGGATCTGCCGGCACATATTCATACCTCGCGGCCTGGCGGCGCCACGTGCGGCCCGGTGCCGCCGCCACGACGGGGTCCTCGCCGTCGCCGTGCTCGTCCGTCCTCGTCGCACTCGCGGCGCGGCGGGGGCGGGCGGCCCGGGCGCGGGTGCGGGACGAGGACGGCGATGTCCGCGTGTCCGGGCGCGTGGGCCCGTCCGCCTTGTGTACGCCGCGGTATCGGCCGCACGTCGCCCTTCCCTCCGTCCGCTAATCTGGCCGTAATAGAGTCCCTTTCGAGAAGCACGCCGCAATGGGTTGGTGATTTGCGGCCCACCTGACAATTTGGCGACCGCGACGTGTAATCAGGGCCCGGGCCACCGCAAAAAGGGGGAAACGCGAGCAGGCTGGGCCGCCGAGGTCCAGCCGTCTCGTTCCGCACGTCGCTGTTCTCTGTCTCTCTCGCACTCACGCGGCGTCTCAGATCAGCGAGGACACGCTCTTCGGAATCGGACAAACACACACTTGTTGTTCCAGGCGGCCTGGACACGAAACGACACCCCCTCGGCGACACCCCCTTAGCGGCCGCCACCGCCCCGCCCCCGACGACGCCGTTGTGCAACAGTGCGAAGTCCACCCCGTCGCTAATGCCCCATTGCCAAGGCCGAGACCGCAACCACCCCGCTGCTATAAAGATAGCGCTGCTGTTTGTTGCCGATGGAAATTGGCGCTCAAGCCGATGGCCTCCCGGGGCTTAGCCAGCGCTTCCTGATAGGGCCAGGGCCGCACCTACACCATCAAAGCCCCCCGCAGTGCCCGCAGTGGTTCGTGGCTCTGTGACTCACACCCTTGCGCAGCGCGCGCTGAGTGGAAGGGAGACGGAGCGACGAAACGCACTGATCGGACTCGGTCTTAAAGGCCCTGAAGCCCGAGGCCCGCGGGGGCAGCTGGGGGCTCGCCTCGCCCTGGCCTCCACATCACCGCTCAAAACCGAGCGGAAGGAATATGAGCATGTGTACAAACTGTTTAGTTACGAAGTATTAGTTTGCAAGTTCTGAATTAAGCTTATGTACGCTCAGAATACTACAGAAGTAGTTTGTAGGGTTTTGAGGGTATCATCATCAGCGCCAGGTGTGACACAGTGTACTTACTCACACGCCAGCGTCTTGTCGCCATTCCCACTCGATGCCAGGCGCACACACTTGATCCTCGGAAGTGCCTTGATAAATTTGTTAATGTCTATCTCTTACGCAGGCCACCAGAGAGAAAGAGACATGTGATGGGGAAAGATGGGGAAAGACTGTTTAATTACAGCCGGCACCTCTGGAAAAGCTTGATTCAAACTAAAAAAAAAAAAACTGATGCTTATCTTACTGTTCTCTCGAAGAAAATCTTGTTTTGCTGTTGAAAATTGGTGCCCAATCAGGGTAACATCGACAACAGGGCGTTCCTCTCCATCAACCACGTATGAATTTTCTTCGGGCAGGTAAATAACACTCTTGAATACGAACTGGTGAACTAGAGCCAATTTAGACATGGAGAGAAATGCTGGCACTCAAACCCTCAAACCCAGTCCTCTGTGACATACGACCGGTGTCTGAAGTGACGGGCGTTTGTCGATAGGTTTTGAATCGCAAGCCAGCTTGGTGCACGTTGGGCTGCCTGTCCGCCCGGCGCGCTGACTGAGCAGCCGGGCAGCCCGGCAAGCAGGCAGCCCATTCGACGCCAAGGAAACAGATGGTCGATCTCATCCAAGAACCCGTCGTCCATCTGCAATCTACTCCATCAAAATTATTGTTGCCCCACGTTTTGTATGGATGATCGATCATCCTTCCGCCGCCAATTTTCGATCCGTCCTCTCAACGTCTCTTGGACCTATGGTAAGAATTCTAGTCGCGTTCCCTCATCTCAAAACACCAATCACAAACTGTTGTCCGGTTTGGTGGGGCGGAGAATGGGGACAGGCTACATCGTGGGTTCCGTTACCCGGGAGGAAGACGATGGTCCTGCCGACCCTGCCCGGCCCGGCCCGGCCCTGCTTGGCCCTGCTACCGCCTGCTACCCTCGGCGCGCCGCGCTGGCGTTCCCTGGCGTTCACTAGCGTTCCTCCTCGTCAGTCAGTGGGGCGTTATATAAGGGGCTCGTAGAAGACAACAGCCGAGCAACCGGTCCTGTCTCGGACCGGGTAGGCCGGGCGTCGCTACTGGGGGCCCAGGCCCAGGCAGGCCCAGGCCCACCGAGCCCGCCGTAGACTGGCGGAGTCACGCTAGATGGGCCGCTGGAGGCTGGGTGCTGGAGCTGCTGGAGCTAAAGGCTGAGCTACGGCCTGCCTGGGCCCAAGTTCAAGACCACGGCCGCCGCCCGCCCCTGGAAGCACCGCGCACCTCGCGGCACGGCGCGGCACCTCGCGGCACCACGCCCCTCCGTGACGTAACGCCAGCGGCGACCACTGCGTGGTGAAGACGGTGGTCTTGCTGGCCGCGCCGCGGGTCACGTCCATGGATGTCCCCAATCACCATACAGTCGTCGGGAGGCTATTAATGGGCAATCAGATTTCAAGTGACATTTCAAATAAAATATCGATGATCACATTTGATGTGGTCTCGCCGCGCCAAGATCGACGGTGCAAGCCGTTACGTAAATGAACATCTTTATGCAATTACTCTATTTCTATGCGTCTGTGAGAGAAAACTGGAAGGTGTCGGCAGGCCAGGTGTACAGGACTCCTGTCCCCCTGTCAAAAAGTGAGCCGTTACGGTGTAAAGAACGACAGAACAACAGAGTTGCGGGCCTGGCTGCAAGTTTTGTGCAAATAAACAAACGCCAAAACAAACCAAATGTTTTACTGCTGGTTTCTGATGATCCAGGTAGCCTATCCCGGACGGACAGCTGGCGGATCGCCCGCGACTTCCTCGTGGCGTTGTCCGCCTCGATGACGCCTGTCAGCGTGCACGCCGCCACGCCGCCACGCCGACCCGCGATGGGGTGTTGCACCGAGTCCCGCGCCGCCGCGCGCCGCGTCCGCGCCGGGAGGGTGCACTGACACTCCAAAGGGAGGGGGCGTCCTTGGCGATCCAGTGTCACTTCCGTGCATTGCAAGTGGCTTGAGTGCACCACTGCACCTCCCCGCCGAGCGCCGCCGAGCGCCGCCGAGCCGCGCCGAGCCGCGCCGAAGTCGAGCCTAGGAAGCTTCCGAGCGCCGGTCGCCGGCCGCCTGCTGCTGCAGCGTGGTCCACTATCACTACCTGCTTTAAGCGGACTCCGGTCCGTGTCCATCACTCGCTTTATGCCTTCCTGATGACTCGGGCGGCGAGGCGCGGCCGGCGCGGATGCACCCACTCGCCGGGAACGCGATCCAGAGCCTTATCCCCGACCACGGTATCTTTTTCCGGCCGCGGTCTGTCGTGTCTCCGAAACGGTTTCGGTTTCTGCTTCGCACAAACACTCGTCGGCCGTGACGTCAGGACCGTCGTCGGGATGCAGTTCCTTTTCCGCGAGAGGTCCGGGCCCGGTTCGGCGCGGAGGCGCGTTCGAGCTGCGAATTGCAATATATAAAGACAGAAAACAGACTGGTGTGTTTTGATGCGCTTGGCTTGACGTCACCGTTCGAAGTGGAGTCCAGGACTACGCTCATTGGCCCTGGCAGGAGCGGACTTTGACAGATATAACGGGAAGCAAGCAAAAATCCCAAGTTTGTTATCAGCACAAATGTCTCACGAGTTCTCCACGAAAACCTGTCTGTTTCGGTAGCAAATAGGATGTTTGTTTCACTCTAAAAAAAACCCAACCGAGTGTTTTAAAGCTGATGTAAGATACAAAATACTTTTTTTCGTTCGAAGAATTGCATCGTAAATGACGAGGCATTGTTGTCTAACTTAGCGACGCTAAAATTACTGCATGAAGTTTTCTTCGTAAGGTCTGTAAGCTGAAAACTGTAAGTCTTATGGCGATTTGTTTTTGTGAGATGGTCGCATGGCAGTGCAGTATCGGGCGCTGCCGGCCGGTTAACCGACCACTGTGACGCCGGCGTCCGGCGAGCGAAACCGGGTACACGCCGCTCCCACCGGGTACCGAGTACCGGGTACCGGGTACCGGGTACCGAGTCGCCTGGGGCTGGCGAGCGATCTAAACGACTTTTATCGGTTCCATTCACCGCGATATCGGCACACGGAAACAGTGTGCCATTTTTACGGTGCCGAAACTGACTTCTTTGTGGCCGGAGCGCGCCGGGTCTTCCACCCGGGGGCTGCGTCCGAACAGTGCCTTCGTCGCTCTCTCTCTCGCACTACTCCGGGACGCCCCAGTGGGTGCGAGAGAGACAGAACGACGAAAGCACTGGTAGGAGCGGCCTGCCGGCCTGCCTTCCAGACTCACGGTGCATCTATACAGTGGCGCGGCGAATCCGCGGCAAGTAATTTATTTATCGAGTTGTCTCGCATTAGATTCCGCGGCGCGCTCACTGCGCTCACTGCACTGTGCGACACTGCGCTGTTAACGCTCTGATGCAACTCGCCGCGAGGGTTGGATCATGGGTTGGATTATCCCTGCCGACTGCGTTCTGCGCGCGAAAAGTGCAAGCCGCGCGGCCGGGACTCGAACCCGGGCCCGCCGCGGCGCTTCGCTGAAATCACGTGTCGCGGCCGTTCGCCGCAAAAGCGCATCTCGATGCAAATCAGAGGAAAACTTTTTTCTCCGACATGTGCTTTTGCAACTAGCTACTGTCGATCGCAATTGGACGAATAATTACATAAAGGCGCTTCGCCGTGGAGAATCGCGCACCGCGTTACATAAACGCTTTTCCCGAACAGTGTCCACGGATTGGTCCATTGGCGCTTAGTGGTGGAGCCCCGCCCCGCCCCGCCGCGCCGCGCCTCGCCACCCGAGCCTTGTTTTCAGCCCCTTGTTTTTGCCGGTTTGAATTCCGGTATCCGCTTTCCTCTTTCCCGCCGCGGACCCTGTTCGGAAACCTATTTTCGCCGCGTACACTCACACATCACACACTCCGGCCGGCCGGCCGATGGAATACGTGTTTACCGCGCAGAAGTGGCGCCGACCGCGCCGCGCTAGCCGCGCCCACCCAGAGAACCACAAACGTCTAGGAAAAGTACCACATTTGGAGCGTATTTGGCGGTCGGTTCATTTTGGCGCTGCGTTACGCAACGGAAAAGAGGATTTGGGGAGGGGGGCGTTGGTATTCCTCTGCTGGTCCTCATCTCCCTCGTCTTCCAGTCACGTCCGCGTCGGCCATCGTCGGCATGCAGCGCGCCGATGCTCGCGGAATGCACGCGTTTTGTCACGAAAGCGGCCAATGCGCCATGAAAATTGTTCACTATTATGTTCAGGAAGTGAGGAGATTTGCCACGTCGGCAACGGAGCCGCTTAGCAGTCAACGTACTTATAAATAAACAAATAAATTCGGTTCGCGCTTTTCTGGTTTGCCATAAAGAACCGATTGTACTCGGTTGTCCGAAGATCGCCCCGCCGGACCTGGAGATTAGGTGCCTCCGATGTGCCGCTCTGGCCCGCACTGGCCCGCACTGGCACGGCTCCAAAACCTGTGGTTTTCTCTCGAAATCACACCGCCGATCTTCTCTCTTTTCTGTTTTTTATTTTTTTCGCGCATCTTTTTCCTTCTGCCTTTTCCACACCTGACGAAATCAAAACACGGCGTTACTTGATGGGGAAGCGCCAAGCGCCTCGCCGGCCGGCCGGTCGAGTGGGGAATGGGCAGGAGCATCTCACAGAGGCCCTGTCCCACGCCGATGTCCACCACTCAGCCCGAGCAATGCCGCCATGGCTGCGTGCGCTGCTATGCCGACACTTGATACTCTCTTCTGCCTGTGTGGGGTCAAGGTTCAAGTCCCGACTAATGTTTCATTTTTCTCGCCCGATGAAAAGGCATTGCTGGATTTGCAGTACCCACCCCGATAGTCTTCTTCGGAGGCGTGGCCGTGCAGCGACGAGCCTCACGGCGAGCAATTGCCATGTCCGTCGCTCATGGCGAAGTAATCCATCAACCCATGGACACAACAGCCTTCGATCGGCCCAGAAACTCGATTCGAACAGATTAAATTAAGACACACGACTTGCACGCACACGCACACACACACACCCTTGCGCTTCTGAGCTTTCATTGCGTAAGTTGCTCGCGGTGTAGCGCCAGAGCCATGTTGCCTCCTTATTATGGAAATGCCTGCCGGGGACCGTCCCGCACTTGTCGGCCTGGCCGGTGCAGCACTCGTCGGGCGGACGGCAGTCCGGCGACATTGTGTGGACGGCCTGGACGGCCTGGACGGCCGGGCGGGGCGCCCCGTCGGCACTGACCTCGGCCAACCGCCACGGCACGGTGGATCCTCCGGGAGAGGGGAGAGGGGGCGGGGTGGGATAGAGCAGGCGGAGGCGGCCACATAATCGCCTGCACATTGCCGTTTATTTTTCGTTGTTGTTGTTTGTTGCTTTTTGTTTACCAAGCGTTTTCTCAGCGGCTTCTCGACCGCCAATCCCACAAAACAAAACAAAAAAAACGCGGGGGTGATTAAGCGTGCAAGTGTCTGTGCAGTTGTCAACCAGTGCATCTGATTGCCCACATTGATGCACTGGTTTCTCGAGCCCTCCCCGCCCCCTCTCTCGTTTTAACTACCGTCTTATCCACGCCGTCAATACATTTACTGCAATGTTTACTCGGTGCAGAGTTCGGCGCGGCGCCCGGCCAGCACGCTTCGCGCTTCGCCGATGCAGCAGCCATGCGAGAAGGAGGGGGGGGGGGGGGGGGACACGCCAGACACGCACACCGAGGAAACGGCGCTGCTACTTTTCTTTCACAGGGGAAGAAAGGGGGAGAGGGAGGGAGGGGGGCGGCGGCTCACTCCAAGTGTGATTGTGTTGTCCCCACCTTTTTTGTCGCGTATCAGTGTGAGCACCGTCCGACAACGAGGAAAACCCCACCCGAAGAAAGCGCGCGCTGATGTGGGCCAATCTGTGGGCCGCGATAGCATTGTCTGGCCTTTTCTCCGACCCACTCGCCTCACCGGTGCAGATCGCTACGAATTGTGCCTCAAGTTCCTTGCCGAAATGGGTCAAAAATGCACTTTTCTATTTGTTTTAAGGCTAAAATATCCTTTTTTGTGCAAAGCCTTACATTAGGGGGACGGTGTGCAACACCAGGTCCAGGATATGATTTGGAGCATGGGCCCGGTGTCAGCGGCCTCGGAGGCGTGGGGGGTGCGCAGTGCGCCACTGGCGCCACTGCGGTCTGACAGTCTGCCCTCCGCCCCCCGCGACGCTCCCCATGGGTTATCAGCAGCCGGCTGCGAAGTGGAGAGACCGCCAAGGATGCGAATTCGAGCAAGCGAGAGCCTCGCCTGACGACGCGGCCGCGTTCGCTTCGTCCGTGCTCCTCGCGGACACTCCATCCTCCTACCTTCGGACCGAAGGCTTCGGTCCGGCATGCTGTTGCTAACTGCACTCGGTTTGAAACCTTTTACGTAACCAGGCGTGCGTCCTATTCAAAACACACACGGCGTGGCCGCCGTGGCCGCCGTGGCCACGCCGACTGCTGTGCCGGCCGCTAATGGGCCAATCGACGCTGTCCGCCGGGCGGGACGGGATGGGACGGACGCCGCTCCGAAATGCCGACAGGACAGGGCGAAGACGCGAAGCCAGGCACAGCAGTGCAAGGCGCCGCGACCCCCGCTGGCGCTAGGTACCCGAAGAATGCGGCGCGCTTCTGTCGAGCGCCTCCTCCATCCTCTCGGCCTGCTCGGCCTGCTCGGCGCGCCGTTTGTTTGGACTCGGGTTCACCTGGCAGTGGCAGCGCTCGCACGTGACGACACCCGGCGCCGGCTTGCATCAAGTGCAGTGTACACTTGCTTTGTTTTGCCGGAGGACGTAATGCTTATGCGTCGCTCGGCGTCGGTATGGCGGTATTTGTCCGCGTTTTAACGAGTTTTGACGTGTTTTAAAGGAACCTGGCAGGACTCTCCGAAGCGCCAGGGATTCGTGGTGCATGCTGTTCGCGGCCGGCGGCCGGCATGGCTGCCTTGAGCATAGCGCCAAAAATACTCGACGCCTCTGCAATCCTGCAGGCAGTGTCGGGTCGACGGGGTGGAGGTGCAAGGCCGTTGGCTAGGCCGTTGGGGGTGCGTGCTGGTAGGGCTGGTCGGGATGGCCAGGATAGCCATGCCGTGGCGCTGCGCTCCGCCGGAACGGCTAGGCTCCTTCGGCCAGCTTTCGGGCGTTCTTCGGCCGTACAGTTTGTTGTGGGAGGTGTGGCGTGGCGTGGCGTGGTGCCGTATAAATAGTCGCGCGGCGCTGGCGACGCTCACTGCCCACCGCGTCGTCGCAGTGCTCATCTCCGCCGTCCTCGCGACACGACCGCTCCGCTCCGCCTTTCGCGCTTTCGCCCGCCGCGTCCTCGAACACGTCCAAATGGTGGACACCGCCATCGGCGTCCTGGACCTCCGGTGCCGCAGCCTGGCCTTCTACACCTGGCTCATCCTCTTCGTGTTCGGCTCGGCCCTATGAGAAATCGAGCAGCGCGCACCCCCGCCGCACCCCCTTCGTTACGCAAGCAGCGCAAGCACCACCGCACGGCCGGCGCCCCTCCCCGCCCCCTCCACCGCTCCCTCCGCCGCCACTGTACAGGCTGAGGCCTTCCTTCGGCCCAAAGGCGACCGCCAGAAACACACGCTGCCTGGCCGCGACGCAGAGCAGACGTGCCGACGTGCCCTCGAATCTAGTAGGCTGCTCGCCGGCCGCCACGCCGCCACGTCGCAGGGCGCTCCTTCCACTCCGTGCCGTTCGCGATCATGTGTCAGTGAGTGCGCCGTGACGCCGTGACATCGTGCTGCACCACCACCGCGATGGCCAACACCACGATGAGCCGGCACGCCCTGGGCGCCGCGCTGGGCCTCGGCCCCGACGCCAGCCTCCTGCACGGCCTCGGACGCATGTTTTACATGGTGGAGCCCGCCGACACCACCTTCGAGACGCCCCAGGAGGTGCCCTTCTACTGGAGACAGGTACGTCATGGCGTCCAAGTAATGATTTGTTCCTGGGGCCGACTTTGTCCAAACTGTGAACACGGTGAGAAACTTAGAAGTGCTGGTTGTATTCCGCTCGCGGCTAGGCAATGCACAGTGCTCCGGCACATCGACAGCCTAGCCGGGGGCAGGGGGCTTCGCCCCCCCTTCGGGTCGACACCACAAACGGGTCTTGTTAATCAATCGTCAAGTTGCATTCCAAAGAGGGGTCCACGCCGTGACCCTACTCCCCCCCCCCTAAAAAAATCGCCGGGCCGGATCGATCGAAACCTCTGCCACCGCAGTGTGTCGGTGTGTCGCTCGGACCGCCGCCGTCCATGCACCTGTCTTTATCTAGCGGCCTCGGCCCCAATCTGCCTTATCCTAGCCGGTGCATGTCGAGTCTCGATCGTCTTGCTTCGTGCGGGTGCGACCCCGCCCGACCCGCGCGACCCGCCGCCCAAAGGGCCGAAGACTGGCCGGGCGCTGTCTCTGTCGCACAGCCGGTCAAGCCGAGCGCTGAGCTCTGGCGCGAAAGCTCAAATGAGAACCGTGATTCACGACCAGGGCCGTCGCGGGGGCTCGCCGCGGTTCGGTGACCCCCCTCTCCATCTCCGCGTGCAGCACGTGTGTTCGGCGCACGTGCGATCCGGGCACGTGCACGTGCATGCGCACGGGGAAGTCCAGGATGCGGACCTGGCGCGCGCCTCCGCCAGGATTCGAACCCGAGGCACTGCGCATCGTCGCGAAGACGATGAACGGGGCGAGGCGCGCAAATGCACGCGCGGGCTGGGCGTCGACGCGGCGGCCAGCGTCAGCTGCGTAACTGTCACGTGGCATTTGTTTACGGCGCGCCGCCGCGAGCCGAGCCGAGCCGAGCCGAGCCGAGTCGGGCCGAGCCGAGCCGAGTCGGGTCCTCAATTAGCTGACGGGTGAGCTTCGTACAGCCGTACTGTTAGGCGAATGCCATCGGACGCAGCCGAGGACACGGCGCGGACTTCGCCGGCCGAAAGCGGCCAAGGAGTCACCCAGAAAACCAAACAGTCATGCATCTGCATTGCCGTCCTAAATCACCCACGCCGTCCCACGCCGTCCCGCGCCACACCACCCCCTTGCCGGGGCACCTCGCCGTCCAGCCGCGCAGCCCGGCGCAGCCCCCTTCTCGCTTCGCGTGTTGCCCCACGGCGGCGGCACTCGTTTCATTTCGGCCAATTTCCCAGGCGTATCGCTGTCACGAAGGGCGCCCCCTCCCCGGGCCCTGGGCCGCCCTGGGCCGCCCTGTGCGACCCTTCTCACCGTGTTTCTGTTTCTCCAGGCCTGGCCCTACTTCCTGGCCTTCCTGCTGCTGGAGAACCTGGTGCTGTGGCTGGAGCACAAGCCCCTGGCCCGCCTCAACGACTCGCTCACGTCCATCTCGCACGGCATCTTCCAGGAGTGCGGCAGGTAAGGGTCTCCACCCCACCGCAAAATCGGGTTTGGAGCGCGTCCGCTTTTATTTCTATTCAGGGTTTGCTTATTATTCGGGATTATTTCATTTTTTGGAGAAAAGCGTGGTAGAATTATATGGGCTGGTTTTGGGAAATGATCAGACGCCTTTCATATTTTATGCAAAGTTGTGTCATTTGCTGGGAGGAGGGCTGAGGGGAGGGGGTCTCGAGTATAGTCTGTACAGCACGTTACTGGGCTCGTGCCAAACCCGGACACCTTTATTTGTACAAACGACTCGCGCGAGTTATAGCGAGTCGTCATCGCAGCAATTTCCAACTTAGCAACACAAACGATGTCAAAAAGCGTACACACGCGCACGCACACGCACACGCACACACACACGCGTTTTTTGACATCGTTTGTGTTGCTAAGTTGGAAATTGTTGCGCACGGTACACTATTGGCCAAGAACGATCCGAGGCGCTCCTTGCTGTACTGGAACAAAGGGGGGGTTGGATGGGTTGCCGCCAGAGACTGCCAGACCACTTCAAGAACAAGACCGCCACCGGTGGCTTATCTGTCATTTGAAGGATCCGACTTATCGCCGTGCTCGTCTTGTTTCGCAGGTTGGTGTTCCGAGGCGCGGAGCACTGGATGTACCTGTACATCTACGACAACTGGCGCCTGGCCGACCTGCCCTGGGACTCGGCCATCACCTGGTACCTGGCCCTGCTCGGCGTGGACTTCTGCTACTACTGGGTGCACCGCGCCAGCCACGGTACGTCAGCTCGCCTGTGCCCGCATGGCGCGTCCCCCGCCAAGGACGAAGGATCCGCGGCCTCCCCGAGCCGCTCCACGGCCTCCAGGGGCCTCAAGGGGTCTGACACGCGGCCCGGCTAGAAAGAGGCACACTTTGGCGGAGCCGTGAGAGCGAGCGAGAGGTTGCGGTCCCGTCGTCGTCGCCGTCCCCAGTCTGAGGCGGCATAAGGCTTCTGAGGAAACTCGAAGCGCGGCGTGGCGCGCGGCCGCAGTGGCGATGCCATGTGACTCGAGGATTCAAGGATTCAAGGATTCGAGGCGGACCAATGACAGCGAGAACGCCTTGCTTTTCCGTTGCAGAGGTGCACATCCTGTGGGCGCAGCATCAGGTGCACCACAGCTCCGAGGACTACAACCTGTCCGTGGGGCTGCGGCAGTCCGTGCTGCAGGGCTGGTGCGGCTTCGTAAGTAGTGGCACTCGAGGAGAGTGGCAGAGCGAGGCAGAGCGAGGCAGAGCAAGTGACACGTGCGGATTCGAGTTCTAGTTCTCTCCCCGGCGTCGCTCCGCCTGAGAGGCCGAACTCTCCGATCGCGGAACGGCCGATGGCCGAATGGGTTGATCAGGTTGATTTATCTCCACCTTTTGCTGCTGCCGCGCAGGTCTTCTACCTGCCCATGGCGCTGCTCGTGCCGCCGGCACACTTCTTGACCCACCAACAGTTCAACCTGCTGTACCAGTTCTGGATCCACACCGAGACCATCAGCACGCTGGGGCCGCTGGAGTGGGTCTTCAACACCCCCAAGCACCACCGGGTGCACCACGGTGAGTCGCGAGCCCTTTCCTCAACAGAGTGGCGGCATCGCGTCGAGTTGAGCTCATTCCGTCGTGTTGTTCGCGCAGGGTGCAACCTGTACTGCTTGGACAAAAACTACGGCGGCTTCCTCATCATCTGGGACCGCCTGTTCGGCACCTTCGCCGACGAGCGCCCCAAGGAGGAGACCATCTACGGCCTCGTCTTCAACCAGCCCTCCTTCAACCCCTTCTTCCTCCAGGTACTGCTTGGCGGCCTTGCGCGGCTCCGTCGCCAGCCCTGTGCCCTGGCCGAGCGAGCAGGGCTTGCAGCAGGGGTGGCGCAGACCCAGGCCGGCCGCCCGGAGTGGCCGATTGGGGACAGGGACGGTGTCGGCAGCGCGCGGCAGCGACCAGGATATTTATAGAGAACGGAGAGAACGCCTCGGCGCCGCGCCGCGCCTTGTCCCGATTGGCTGATTTCGGATCACTAATGAGGCCGCGCTGGAGTTGAATTTATTGGACCACTTTGAGAAGGCAGCCAAATTCACCCAGCACGTTGCGTGTCCCCAGATCTTCTACAACAAGAACGTCGTCAACAAGGTGCGCGCCATGACGGGCTGGAGGAACAAGGTGTCGGCCGTCATCAAGGGCCCGAGCTGGCTGCCGGGACGGCCGTGGACGGGCGCCGACGAGGACAAGATCGATGTGAGTAGTACAGCCGAAACCGGCAGAAGCGGCGAAGCGGCCGGCAGCTTAAGGCCGGACCGCGTGGACCGCGCGGCCCACGTCGAGTGTGCCGACTGTGCCGCGGCTGGCAACGCTGGAGCTTTATGTAACACAGCCCGGGGACAAATGAGTCGTATGCATAAAGCGTTCAAGTTCAAGGACGCCCCCAAGGCAGCCAAGGCGGCCCGGACAGCCGTGGCGGCAGTGTCGCGCGACTTGCTGGCTGTGGTCGCCGTCCTGGCCGTCCTGGCCGTGCTGGCTCTGGGTATCCCTGCGAGGACAGGCTGAGGACACTGGATATGGCCGGCGCGACTGGCCGGATCAGCTGGCGGTCGCGTCCGAGGCAGTCCGAGGCGGCCTGAGTCCTCGCGCCCCGCACGCGGCACGCACGCGGCACGCGGCCCCCACCTGCCCGGCGCTGCCCGGCGCTGCCCGTGCCCACGTCCTGCGCCGCGCCATGGCTAGCCGTGGCTGCGCCCTGAGCCCTGTGTTACGCACACCGCTGCCGGGCTGCCGGGGCAGCGACTCCGATTGCAAGTTCCGATCGGGTTTCCCTCGGGTAGGCCACCCTCGCAGCGCCGAGGCTCATCCCGTGCGTGTCGTTTCTCGCTGCAGGTGAAGCCGCGGGACAAGTACGAGGTCCGCCTGCCGCTCTGGGTCAACGTGTACCTGTCCATGCACTTCGTCCTCGTCGTGCTGGGCTTCCAGGAGCTGGCGCTGCGCTACATGGTGAGCCCGGGTTCGAACCCCTCCGACCCTGTTCTTTTGTGCGTGGGTGCACCAGTGTGTGACAACGGCGTGGTCCTTCCGCAGAGCATGAGCCCGCTGGTGGTGCTGGGCTTCGTGGCGTACATCCTGGCGTCCCTCACCACCATCGGCATGATGTTCGACGGCCGGCCCGGCGTGTGCCTCATGGAGCTGGTGCGCTGCGCCGTCTTCGTGGCGGGCGCCCCGCGGTACTGCGGGCTGCTGGCCGGCGCGCCCTGCACCATGCTGGTGCCCGTGCTGCAGGCCGCCTTCGCCCTGTCCGGCCTCTTCTGGACGCTGCAGGCGCTGCGAGTGCTCCAGATCAAGATCAAGAAGACCAAGTAGAAGGTCCGACAGCGGGAATCGAACCCGCGTCGTCGTGCCCGAGGTGTGGTCCCCCTAACCCCTCGGCTGTGCCGCCGTCCATCACGACGAGGCGCTGGACCCGTTGCCACTCGGGTGGACGCACACGTGCCGCCTCCAGGCCGCCAGGCCGCCGGGCCGCCTCGAGAAAGCTCTTCCTCAGGAGACTGACCGCCACAAGGCGGAAAATTCCGTTTCTCCGGTTTCCGCGCGTTTTGTTGTTTTAATTTATTTCGGAAGCCGGAGCCGGATCCCGAACCCGAGTTCACAGTGCCATAACGCGAGTGTGATACACATACGCCATGCCTAGTGTGCAGTTTGGGCTCGGCGAGGTGCTCAGACACTCAGGCCCCAGGGTGGCAGTCTGCAGCCAGTCTGCAGGCAGTCCTGCCACCCCTCCGGCCGCCGCTCCGCTTGCACCGAGTCCAAGCCAAACCCGTCGTCGGCCGCCTCTTGGCGCCCGTGTTCGCACTAACGTCTCACACACTAATCTCATTAGTCTTAGTCTCGTACTTAAGAAGCGTCTATGTGTTCGTAGTGTGCCATTCTCCCCATTGTGATAGCGTAGTACTTCGAAATGGTATTCGGTTCAACAAAAAGGTTTGTGCTACAATCATGCGAATTTGTGTTCACAACATCGATGCCATCTACGTAGACTGGTTTATTACTTTTACTATAATATTCACTTTATTTTTTTATTTATGACTCATTAGCTCATAGCCGAATAACATTTCGCACTCTATTTATAAATCGTGATTTTGTGTTCTTTTTTGTCATGTAAGTTGAGGTACAAAGAGACTGGGATTTCCTGGTCGTGAAACATGTGCAATAAAAGAGAGGTGGGTGTTTTAATGAACAAGTGTTTTTCAAGCGTTTTTTTCTTCTTGTCATTTCCTGTTTTCCTTTTCCTCACGCTGACTTCTTGTTCACATCCGTAAACATCTTGGTCACATCCCTCCACATCGCCATCGCAGGCGACTTCTGAATACTGAAAGACAAGAAAAGACATGAACCCGCGGAAACAGCCCCGATCCCCGCCAGCTGAGTGCGCCCTCCGCTCCCCTCACCTGTCCCTGTTCCTGTGGTACATGATCTCGGCGCCCAGCATGCTGGTGCTGACGAGGAGGCCGGCGATGAGGAAGCCCAGCAGGGGGATGACCTGGCGAATGCCCACGAAGTCGAGCTGCGTGACGTCACTGAGGGCGCAGCGCGGCCGCAGCACGGACCAGCGGATGCGTTCGCGCGCCAGGACGCCTCGCTCCACCAGGGCGAGGATGCTGCGGGCAGCGAGGAGCCCCGCGTTGAACGCCACAATGCGCCAGGAACCTCCTCTCCCACAGCACTGCAAGTCTTACGCCTGGTTCAGGATCTCCCGGAAGGGCGAGCGCTTGGCCAGGGCGATGGCGAGCAGCCCGGGCGGCTTCAGGGGGATCTCCTGCATGCGGCAGATGTCGGACGGCGACCAGGCGCGCGCGGCGTGCTCGTAGATGGGGAACGGGGAGCCGACGAACGCGAAGCGCCCCTGGCGGCAGTCCTCGGCGCCCACCTCGAGCGGCAGGAAGCCGCCGCCGCCGTTCTGGTCGTCGATCTTCTTGTAGTACAGCTCGCGCATCAAGGGGTCCTTGGACTCCTGCGGCGGTGCGGGCCGGGCGTGAGCGCGGCAGGGCGGGCGGGGAGGGAGCGCCCGCGGAGGGGAGGGCGGGCCGCCACGCCGAGCACGAGTGCCTCGCGGTGCTGCCTACCCTCTCCACCGCAGGCGCTCCCCCGGACCGCCGCCGCCCCACTGTTAGTCTGATTAAAAGCACGCGCTCGATGGGCTCGATGGCGGTGCTGACCGTGAAGTTGGCGCGGCTGAAGACGCCGCGGTCCGCGGCCACGGTGAAGGGGCTGTCCACCATCTCACGCACCGAGTGCGCGAAGGGCGGCGGGAAGGTGAGCAGGAAGGTGACGATGCCGCTGGTGTAGAACAGGTTGAGGAACAAGCTGAAGAACTCGAACATGAGCAGCAGCGTTCGGCTCGACGTCCAGCTCGTGGTCGTGGTGAAGCCCTGCGCAACGTCGGAAAGGATGAGGCTCTCGGAGGACTCTGGCGGTGCCGGGTGGGCGTGGCGGGCGTACCTGAGCGCAGACCATGCTGATGGCCGTGGTGACGGCCGAGGCCCACGAGTCCTCCTCCTCGACGTGGCCGCGGTCGAACTTGACCTCCCAGTAGCCGACGACGCGCAGCACGATGGCGGTGCACACGATGAGCACCAGCATGATGATCCACACCTTGGACTCCAGCGGCCGCAGCCAGCCGTCGTACGACCACAGCGCGCTGGGGTTCTTGAGCACCATCACCCGCCTGCCGACAGTGCCGCCATGCCGCGCCGGCGCGACGGCGATACCCAGCGTGTCAGAAAGTCCGGAGCCGCTCAGACCTCGGCGATACTCCGAGAGCCAGGCTCACCTTTCGGCCCACAGCGGCACGGTGGTGTAGTCCAGCAAGTCCCAGTAGCGCGCCTCCATGTCGGACACCGTGCTCAGCAAGTGCAGTTCGTTGTCGTTGAGGCGCTGCAGCAGTCCGAAGTACGTGCCGGCCTGCAGGACGAGTCTGGAAGCAGCAGCCCGTGCAACTCTGGGTCCCCTCCTCCCATTTTACCGAACCAAGTGAGCCTCACGTTGCGTTGAGCATGTCGCGGAGGTGCATGGTGAGCGTGTGGCTGAACGCAGCCACGGGAGACACCAGGGGGTTGTTGTCCTTGGGCTTCTCCAGCACCCGCTGCAAGTCGCGGTCCTGGAACCCGCTCACCTGTCAGCAGAGCCAGAGTGAGGGGTATTCACTCACAGGATTCTGTGTACCGGCCCGGGTATTCATAATCATAAGTAAACGTCTATACCAGCGGTTCTCAACCTTTCTCGGCTCGCGACCCCAAATTTGTAGCCAAAAATTTCCGCGACCCCCAGGAAAAGTTTCGCGACCCCACGGGACCCCTCCTTTAGCATGCCACTGCGTCTGATCCGAGGCGGGCATTTTGCTCCCTCAACGGGCAATTGGTCTTTGGACCTTCCTTTAGCATGCCTCTGTTACGGAGTGCGATTATCAGTCTTAGTTTGGGAGCAGTATTGTCTCAAAGTTGGCCAAAACGCTCAGAAATGTCTTTAAAAAATCATGTTTTGGGTCGATTTTAAGCAGCCACTGCGTCTGATCCAAGGCGGGCATTTTGCTCCCTCAACGGGCAATTGGTCTTTGGACCTTCCTTTAGCATGCCTCTGTTACGGAGTGCGATTATCAGTCTTAGTTTGGGAGCAGTATTGTCTCAAAGTTGGCCAAAACGCTCAGAAATGTCTTTAAAAAATCATGTTTTGGGTCGATTTTAAGCAGCCACTGCGTCTGATCCAAGGCGGGCATTTTGCTCCCTCAACGGGCAATTGTTCCTTGGACCTTCCTTTAGCATGCCTCTGTTACGGAATGCGATTATCAGTCTTAGTTTGGGAGCAGTATTGTCTCAAAGTTGACCAAAACAGGCACAACGATTTTTCAAAGACATTTCTGAGCGTTTCGGCCAACTTTGAGACAATACTGCTCCCAAACTAAGACCGATAATCACACTCCGTAACAAAGGCATGCTAAAAGAAGGTCCAAAGACCAATTGCCTGTTGAAGGAGGACGAAATACCGCCTCGGATCAGACGCAGTGGCTGCTTAAAATCGGCCCAAAACACGATTTTTCAAAGACATTTCTGACCGTTTTGGTAAACTTTGAGACAATACTGCTCCCAAACTAAGACTGATAATCACACTCCGTAACAAATGAATGCTAAAGGAAGGTTCAAAGACCAATTGCCGGTTGAGGGAGCAAAATGCCCGCCTCGGATCAGACGCAGTGGCTGCTTAAAATCGGCCCAAAACACGACCCCAGCTACCTCGCCGTGACCCCTTAAAATTTTTTCGCGACCCCACTTGGGGTCGCGACCCTAATGTTGAGAACCACTGGTCTATACTCCAACATCCACAAATATTCGCAAATACTCGCCAGCACGCCAGCCTTCAGGACCGTCTCCCGGAGGTTCCTCCTGCGCACCGCGGCGGTGCCCGTCAGGAAGTGCCTCAGTCCCACCCGCTCCTTCCACGTCCCCGTCAGCACGGTGTGCAGCGGCCGCCCCGGCCCCGGCGGCCCCGGCGACGACCGGTACGCGTCCACGAGGTGCACCGAGAGCCCATCGGCCCCCATGTACGCCATCGACAACTACGTCAACAGAAGGGCTGTGGATGGAGGCGCTACCCGAGGCGTTTGTTCGTTGCAGTGCACCGTGCGTTGCCGGTACTATACCTCGCTGTCGGGGCCGAGGTTCAGAGACTCGACCAGGCTGAAGAGGGCGAAGCGAGACGTGGAGGAGTTGCCCGCCACTACCCACAGCCGGTTGCCGCCCATCAGGCCCGCCGCGGAGCTCTGCAACCCACACGGCGTGGCGGTAGAAAGGGTTGCCCACCTCGCGGGCGGCCTGCCACCAACGCGTACCTTCTGCAGGACCTCGACGGCGTCCGGGCAGCTGGCGTGGAGGTACACGGCCACCGGCTCCCTGGCGGACTGCAGGACCTGCAGGGCGCCCGGAGCCGCGCGCGGCCTCTCCGACTCCCCAGGCCGCGGCGTGGCGACGTAGGTCGAGCCCTTCTGCGCGAAGGCGCGCTCCCAGGCCCAGCCGTCTGCCCGACACTTAAAAGTTAACTTTTAGTCGACTGGATGATCGAACTCGACTAGATGGGCGACGCTACCTTCCTTGCTGCAGAACACGCCGACGACGTGGTTCAAGCCCTTGTACTCCAACACGCTTTTCATGACCGGCACGCTGAGCTCCAGCTTGAGCGAGTGGCAGGCGACCACCCAGAGCGCCACCGCCAGCCCACATGAGGTGCCCACTTTCTAGTCCACGGTACACGTAAAGAACGTAACAAATGAAGAAAATCGAGCCGTGTAAAACAAAACCAATCACTGAAAAGGCGTAGAAAAACGCAGGATACATACCATGGCTGAACGCTGACACTTGGACCGTTCACCGTTTCTGCGGATGGCATTCCCCGTAACGTAAAACGTCCTTAGAATCGGTGCCTTGGACCGGCGGCCGAACGCGCCCCTCGCCCCGCCACTGGGGCCTCGTGGCGTGCATCCCGCGGCGCGTGGCGGCCTGGGCGAGAGGCGCTCTACTCGGCGTGTCCGCGCAGAAAGGACTCCGAGCAGGCCGTCGGCTCGGCGTCCGGGTGCCGCTTTCAGACACAGCCTCGTTCAATTTTTCAGCGGCGGCGCCAAGCGGTGCGGCCCCAGCCCGCGTTTCCCAAACGGCGCAGAGAGACCGCAACGCGTTGCCGTGCCACGGCCGCGTCGTGTTGTCACGATTGCGGCTTGTGCCTCATGCATATTGCAGCGCACCGCAGCAAAAAGGCATCAAGCCGAATACTGCCGCATGGAACGGGGCTTCGATCTGGGGGAGAGTTAGCCGGCGCACCGGTGGCCTTCCCTGGCAGTCAAGCTTGTGTTAAGTGAAATCAAAGCCTCCCATCTCTTTTTCTCCCGCTGCTTATTGTTTGCTAGTTCACTTCATCGTAGAACCAGTTTCTTTTTTCAAGGGTCGGGGATTTCAGGAAGGAAAACTACAGCTTTGTCATACTTATGCATTTAATTATAACCAAACAGGAAGTGGAAATAGTGGAGAAAAGACAATAGCTTTGCCCTATTAGCCTACTAAATATCATAAGCATGTAACAGACTGTTACTGAAAGATTAAAATTTAACAATATTAAAATGAATGCACCAAGATAAAAACCCGGCTCAATTACCACTAGGTTTGTGCACACCTCCATAGGACCAACTACTAATTGATGAAATTAAAACCCAGCACATTTGTGTTAAAAATAACCAGTCTATCATCTCTCAGCCATTGGGACTAATGCAACACACTGGGTTCATTGAGTAGCCTGACTTTAAAGCAGACCAACATAAAATTAATAGTACTGTTTCAAATCACAAAAACCAAATGTAACATGGGATTCATTTACATGCCAACATATAAAAATATATGAACAATAAATAAAACTAGCTTTAAAAGTTTTACAGGAGATTGAAAAGGAAGTACAAAATGGGGTAAAGCCAAATGGTGGACGCCATAGACATTCCCACGAATCTTGAGAATCCAAACCAGATTGTAGACAAGAAGGCAATTTGTACAAGGATGTTCAGCACGTAGAGACTGTAAAAAGAAAAAAGAATTAATTAAAAAAATTGTCTTAAACTTTTTAAAGGTATCACATAAAGCACCTACATAATTTTTTTTTTTTTTAAGATAAATGAAACAAACAACTCAGTAACTTTAGAGAGTAAAGTGTGGACTTACATTTTGTTTTTCTTCCTAGCAGCAGGAAGAGTCTTAAGCTCCTCATTGTTCAAATAGCGCCGCACTCCAGCTTGCATGTCCTCAAAGTAGTCACCCCATTGGATTGGGCGCACATCCAAACCAAACATTTCTTTGTCTGTAGAGTTCAAGGATTCATGTAAGGCGAGAGTTTTCTTGTTGTCAAAGAACCACTCCTGGAAGATGAACGGTGCGAGTCGTACAAGTGACTTGCTAACATTGGTGTGAAGTCGGACAAGGCTGGACATGTGACAAGACACAACAAAATAATTAACCAAAAGAAACATAAATATTAAAAGACCGTTTAGGTAAAAAATATTTTGAGATGAATCCTTACATAGGCCTTCCTCCCGCAAACATGGTTAGTGTATCAAAGAAGTAGGCTGGCATGAAATGGACAAATAAGGCTGAAAGTCGGAACAATGCGAGAGAGGGAACCAGCTTCAAAGAGGGATACCAAACAGCAGCCTTCAATGGCATAGAATTGAGCTGATTTTGAATTCGGTTTTCAATTGAAGCCCAGCGGAATGGATTGCAGGTACTGGATGTGAGGTGGTACACTGGCATTTCCTTAGGCCTAAGACAACAAAAGAGACAAGTTTGTGAGAGTTAATAATACGTAAATAAGAAAACTGATAGAAACAAGGGAACTTACTTATTTGTTGCTGTGTGCCAAGCAGCAACCAACATTTCATTAACAACAATATCAACTGGTATATAATCATAGACCAAGTGCTTGCCGACTGGGAGACGACGCACAACACCCTTTGCAGCACCCATGAAAAATCCAGATGGACCATTTTTAGAATTTATCCAGCCAGGCACAGGCTCCTTCCAGGCACAAGTAACTGCAGAGTTAGACACAATAATTAGCATTAACATTTAAAAAAAAAATACAGAAGGGTATGTCTAATAAAAAAAAGTTTCATACAGTGAAAGACTTACTCATGCTTGGCCTGACAACCACGGCAGGGAATTTCTGAAATCCTTTAGCAACTTCATGCTCAGCTAACGCTTTAGTAAAGGTGTAAGTATTAGGATGATTGCCTAGAACCCTGTAATCATGAACACATTAATACACACCTCCAATAAATAATTTTTATCACATTAGAAGAATAAATTGAAGACAACTTACTTGGGTGTTAGCTCTTCAAGTGCAGAATCATTCAGTGCTGCCACCATACCAATAATTTTCTCCGCATCATCAGGTACAGGGTAAAGTTTTTCATCAATTTGCACATGCAAATTTGAGTTCACATAAGCACTTGACACATGCACAAGAGCCTGTAAAAATTTTAATACAGATCAGACAAATACTTGCAAAAAAAAAAAACACTAGTTATGAGACAAATTTTACAGACCTTCAGCTTGGACATGCCACTGCACAGTTCAACGATGCGACGTGTTCCCAGCAGGTTGACATCGACAGTTGTCCGAAGGTTGGCTTCGAAATCCAGTGTGGCGGCGCAGTGGAACGCCACCTGCACCTTGTCCTGAAGCAGCTTCCTGTCCTCAGGGCTGAGGCCCAAGTTCTCCTCGCCAATCTCACCCGCGATGGGAATGATCTTCTTGAAAAGGTCCTTGCCATGCTTCTCAATCAGCTTCTCAAAGATCTAAACCACAAAAACAAAAAAAAAAAAAATTTAGTGGAAAGTTGTTGAGTCACATAAAACCGACCACCGTTAAATGCAAACAAGTTCTTAAACAAAACCATCTTGAAACAATAAACTTAAGCTGACCAGGTTCTTGGGGAACTCCTCGGCGCGCGAAGAGATGTCCTTGCCGCGTTTGGGCCGCATCAGGCAGTAAATGTTGCCCACGTCCGGGCAGCAGCGCAGCACCTTCTCCAGCAGGGCCACTCCCACGAAGCCCGTGGCGCCCGTGATGAACAGGTCGGCGCCCCGGTAGAACTCGGCCACCGCGCTGGCCATGGTGGAGCCTGCGGGGGAAAACAAAGGGAGACCGTCAGAGAGGATCACACTTTGATTTTGACACCTGGGCAAGGTGCATTCGTGCGTGCGCAGGCAGCGCAGTGTGGCAACGGCCGGCGCTGTTGCGTTCGGGTGCACTCCCCCTGCCCCTCCCCCTGCCGACATATCAGGTCGGCCCGACGGCCCCGCATGTAAGTACCGTACGTTGCGGGCCGGGCGGGCTAACCGGTGGACGGGCTGCGCGGGCCGGCTGGGCTGGGCTGGCGCAAGTCGCGAGGAGGCAAGGCGGAGGAAAGCGCAGCCCGACGGCAAAAGCGACAATGCAGCAATGCAGCGCCGTTAGCCGGGATCGAACTCGTGGCCCACACAGTGGCGCGCGAGGCGCCGCGCCAAATCCGGCGGAATCTTCCTTCCCCTCCTCGCCTCGTCTCGTCTCGCCTGAGGCGCATCCTGGCGCCGCGGGGCGCGGGCCGGACGGGCCGGAAGCGCGGGCTGCACTCCACCGCGAAGGGCCATGTGCGGGACGAGCCAGGCACTGCGGCACTCATTTCGCGGGAAGGGCACGACACTGGCTATTCCTGGCTTCGGCGCTTCGGCTATTGGCGTCGCTGGTTTCCGGCCGCCGGCCGCCCGTGACGCAAGTCACACCACGCGAAGCTCTCGGAGGCCCCTCGCGCCCCCGCCGTGACTACACTGTGACCACGCTGTGACCGCGGTGTGACCAGCAGCCCCCGGCCAGGCCGAAAAGCTTCACCGACAAGCTCCACTCCACCGCCAGCGCTCGGCGGCGAAGCTCCGCGGCGAATCTCCGCGAAGCGTGACGCCTCTGCAGCGTTGCGTCTGTCTCCGTCCAGCAAAGTGCATGCGCGTGCGGCATGGCCGGCATGGTGGGGTCGTGGCGGTCGTGGCTGGGCGCACCGGGCAACGCCGGCCGGCGCAGCGGGCGCAGCAACGCGCAAAAACAATGTTGGTTCAGACATTCACACCGCGCGGAAGGAGACTCTGGAGACTCCGACGCACGGCAGCAGAAGTGCACTGCACTCTGCACTCGCTCCTGGCCGTCTCGTCTCGACCCAGTGCGTCCGTCGGCCACTCCACTCGCCGGCCGGTTTGCAGGGCCGGGCCGGGCCTCGCCGGAGGCACCTGAGGCAGGCATGCCAGCCGGCTTGGTGCCCGGCCCTGCCCGGCCTCACAAAGACTAACACTCAAAACCGAATTTCCTGGACCGGGGGACGCAGAAATGACGCCACCGCGCGGCCGCCGCCGACCCAGTCTAAAGTTCGCGGTTCGGAGGCCGGGCAGGCGTCCCCGCGGAATGAAGGATGGACGCAGGGAGGGAAGGCCGCGGCCGCGTCGCCTCCTGGATAACCAGGCCGCAATCTTGGACGCAAACCGACGCAAATTATTCCCGCACTCCGGGTAAAATTCAAGCGCACGCGACGCTCTCCGAGGCGGCGTTTAGCACAGTGCAGGAGCAGCTCCGATTCAATCAAACCGGTCCCACCTGTTCAAGGTCGCCAGGGCAGTCCAGAACCTTGATGGCTAGTCCAGTGGCCTGGGTCCACCTCCGCGTGGAAGGACTATCACTATCACGCTAAGGTTCACTAGAGGCCACCGCCTCGCAGTGTCTCAGGGGGCCTCTGCGTCTGGGTTCAAAGTCCCAGACGGTCCCAGACGCGGAGCTCACGCCCCCGCCCACCCCCTGGATGTCTCGAGCCTGACGTCACCGAGTTCGGTCGTTCGGCTTGTTTGACCGCCGCGTTAGAGTCCTCAGCACCGCGCCAGCGAAGCCACAATTATGGCAGAGAGACGCTTGAGTCTCCAAGAGACGCGACAAGACGTCACGCCATCAGATAAAAAAAAAGAAAAAAAATCGAATGAGTGGAAAAAGAATACACACAGCGACGACAGGCATCCATCCTGCCGCTTCCGTTCAGAATAATCACACCGCGCGGCCAACCACCACACAATCAGGATCCAGTGGGGGCGGGAAAAAAATCCTGGCCGCAACGATCTGTGATTGGATAAAGTCTAAATTAAGCCACGTCCCAAGCGAAAGCTCAGAGAGGAACCATCAAATCGCCCAAACGAAAGCGTTACATTTTCCAAAGTACACATATGGGTCGGGCTGGGTCAGGAGGTTGGCGTTTGGCGTTCCCAGTTCAAGGTGGCCACAGCAAGTGGCCGCAGATTCGGCGGGAAAAAGATCCAGGCTCGTTTTGCATATTCCCAGCCGCACAGACCGGCCGGCCGGCCGGCCGGCCACGTGCGACTCGCCTCGACCGAGTGGTCCGAGTGCAGGCCAGGTTCGGCGCCACTTCCTGGTCGAGGCCGAGGTCGTGGCCGAGCCCGAACAGTGGAGTCGTCGCTCTGTCTCTCCCGTCATCATGCGGTGTTCGCAGGGGTGCGAGAGAGACAGAGCGGAACGGCGGAATCCGTCTGCAGCCCGAAAACGCTTTTGGCCCCCAATCACGTCCGCGACTCCACGACGAGACCGCCGTTCCATTCCGAGCCATTCGCAGGACGTCCTTGGCCTGCCGCCACGCCCGCAGCCCGCCCAGCCGACCCAGCGTCAGGACGACCGCGACGGCCCTACTGTGGCGGCCCTACGGTTGACGAGCAGGTGAGGAGGACGACGAGGAGGACGCCGGCACCGCAAGGACGCGGCGGCGCCCCGCAACCACCACAATGAGGCCTCAATGGAGCCGGGTCCCGTCAAAGGCCCCTGTCATCGCCGAGAGTGCGAGAGAGACAGCTGCCAGACTGCCGCCGTCGCCGCTGCGAGTGCGAGAGAGACAGCGCCACAGCCGCCGCCGGCAGCAGCGCCACGGGGGGCGTTCAGCCCGCTTACACGCCCTTAATCCATCACACACGCACACACAGGTGCAGCACAAAGCCGGAGGGGCCCGGGGCGGGTCACGGTCGACGCCAAGAAAGCCACGAGGGAAGTACCTCCGCCGCAGCCCGGGCCGCAGCTACGCCCCGCCGACTATGAGCAGTGCAGCGGGTCGGGCCGGGGGCCGCATGCCGGAATGCGACTCTGCTGAAGCCACGCGATGCGCCGGGACACGACACGGGACAAGCGGCAGCTAGCGGCAGCCCGGCCGCGCTTGCGAGGACTCGCACTCGTCCTCGCACTCAGGTGGCGTCCGGTCCCGCGGGGGAGCGAGAGAGACAGAGCGACAAACCGCTGTGCGGAATCAGCGGCCCGGCGGCCTGGCCAAGCAGTGCGTCGCCCCCGGCCAGTGCCCTGCCGCTGCCCTGGCGCCCTGGTCCTGGACGCAGCCCCGTGCCCAAGTGCCGTCGTGGAAATCTCCCAGACGGCCCTACCTCCGTTATATGGCTACGCGTGGAAATGAATGGCCCCTCATCCCTCGGATCCTGCATTGGGCACGGCGGCGTCGCGGCGAACGAGGGGACTGCGCCTAAGCGGCCTGGCCTGGGCGAGGATAGGCAAGGCTCTCTTCGTCCCGCCGAGCCGCACCATTTACGGACGGCCCCCTCGAGAGCCCCACCGCCAAGTCGCCTCTGTTTGCGCGGCCTGAAAGTTGGCCGGTGCCTGAGTGGCCATGTGCGCGAGTCTCGGCTCTCCTCTGGCGAAATGTTGTTTGAAGATGGACAGACCGAACACACTTAGTCAACAGAATTGCGACAAACTTTGACGCAGAGGTAGGAGGGAAAAGGTATCCGCTACAGTTACGTACTCCTGAGCCTATCATGGTGTACGCTTAATTGATGCAAACCATAAATACTAGAAGGGTAGAAAAGACAAACAAAGAAAAGTAAAGGATGGTTTTACAATATAAAGGAAATACCCGACCAATAATGCTTCTCTTGAATTTCCAGGGTGTGCTAGTGCATGCATTTACTTGTACTTGTAGCCTTCTTGTCAGATTATACTTTTGCAAGTAAGACAGAATACCAACGCTTCACAAATGCAGTCATATTATTGCAATGGAAATTATTGAGTTATGATTTAGATCCAATTACTTTGATCTACAAGAAGTAAATATTAATTGAACCGCATCAATTGAATGAATGACTGAATGAATGAGTTATGAATGAATGAATGGATGGATGGATGGGAACAATAGGCCAGTGACATTTAGTTGAGCGTACATCCAAAAGCAAAATCAAAACAAGTGAACATTGCACAAAGCCTCAGTATGTAATAACTAAAGACTTATGCATATATTTTTACTGCAAGAGACAGAATTCAGTGAAAAAGTACTGAGGGAAACTGAAAGTGCAACTTTCACAATGGCCCCCCCTGACTGTCAAACCTAACCTGCACAAGGTTTTTAAAGTCCAACCAACCGGTTCCTCCCGAATGATGGAATAATCCAGGCAGATAATGTTGAGCGGAAAAGGAGCCAAAATCCGAACCGGTGAAAAACTCACCTCAAAACAAGTCACCGTCACTGGAAAAGAGGGCGTCGGCGAGTTTGACAGAAGGGGCCCCAAACGCCGGACGGAGGATGCAGTGGCGCGAGATGTCCTGAGCCCTGCGAGCTCGGTACTGCGTGCAGCGTGACTACGACCGAATAACCCGTTCTGTCGGTAACCTCACCGTAACCCGTCTGTCTGTGTGGCGGGGCGTCGGCGAAGCTGAGAGGCCCAACCCACGTACCGGCGGGGACCTGGAAAACGACGAAGAAGACGAAGGGAGAGCAGGGAGAGGTCGGATAAAGGGGGAGAAAGAGGGAACCGTTGCCGCGAGCCGCGGTTGTGGTGGGGGAAGAGCCTGGCCAACCAGAGGACGCCGACTTGTAGCTCTCCAAAACGGCAACATGAAAAGATAAAAAAAGATATTTTAAATGTTTCGCTCTAAAAATTTCTGGCAGACATAGGACTAAAGCGTTATACCAATGACCTTGAATGCTTTTCCAATTTGTATAAGCCCATATTCCAAAAGCTTTATGTAGATCGGAGGAACTTAAACGATGAATGAGAAGTGTGTGCAGTGGATAAGCCAAAAAGGCGCTAAACTTTGAATCGACAATTAGAGGCGACACTGCGACACCTAATACCGTGTTTTCTTTAGGAGAATAAACGCTCTGAGACCAAAAGTTTGAACCTAATTTTGAACTGCTTGCACGATTAAAATTCAATTGTGGAATGGAAGTGGGACGTGGGGGTGGGTTTTGTAACGATACTTAAACACAGAAAAAAGTAAACTTCAACAATATAATAAACCAATATGTACAAAAATATAAATTAATAGTGATTCAACAAACAAATGGGTACTGTTTCATAGAAACTACAGGTCAGATTCTCAAATATCATAACAATAAACAACGAAAGCGAAATGCAGGACAGCTGTTTAAATCCAGATGAAGAGCAGCATGAAGACGGCGGCGAAGACGAGTCCGGCGATCCAGCCGAGGAGGGCCGACGCGGGCCAGGCCACGACGACGAACAGCAGCAGGTGGCTGAACCAGTGCACCAGTCGCCAGCTGCAACAGGGACATGTCAGCGGAGGTCCGCGGGGCGGTAAAGGCGATCAAGTGAAGAGGCCACGCCACTGTACTCACATGCGCAGCTCCTTGGCGGCGCGGGGCAGTGTGTCCAGGGTCTCCTTGTGGTAGTGCTCCCGCACGCCCAGCACGCACCGCTCGAAGTACTCGGGCCACGTGTAGTTGGCCGGGTCGAAGTAGAAGCTCTCCCTGTCGGCGGGGCTCAGCCTCGACGCCAGGTCCGCCATGCCCTCGGTCCGGAACCGCCACTCGTTGCCGGTGAACATGCGTACGAGCTGCATGCCCGTCAGGAACTTGCGCTGGATGTCGAACAGCCTGTCGAAGAGAGAGGGTGGCATCGTGAGCATCGTGATCGGAGCTGAGGCGCGGCGCAGGCAACACTCCGCACAGGTGAGCGAGTTGTGTTGCCTACCCGCGGCCCTGCAGGCGCGCGGCGCGCAGCCCATCAGTATTCTAGTCTCCATCAAGAGACTTATTTCCAGTCAGTTTCCGGGTAACATCGGATCTCGCAGCCTCCCGGGGGCGCCGAGGCTGGGCGCCCCGCCGCCAACAATATGGCCCCCATTGTTGCGTTACCGGACGATTCCGCATTCCGCCACTTGTCCCGCCCATCGCGGCAGGGGTTTTTAGATTTTTATTGTCATGCTGTTTTGTTTCGGGTTTTAGTTCTAAGAGAGTGCAGCGGGCCACCAGCGCGGCGCGCATCGGGTGGGAGTCGCACGGGCGGAGGGCTGTCCGACGAGACCTCAGTCAACAGCAAGACCTCGGCCTCGGCCAGCATGAAGTACTTCAAGGCCAAGAGCAGCGACGCGCGCGACGCGGCCAGCAAGAGCAAGCGGAAGGCCGGGCAGGAGGCCGCGGCCGCGCAGGGCGACGACGACCAGCCCCAGTGCAGTGAGTGAGCCTCCCTTCTCCCTTCTCCCTTCCGCGGTGGGTCCTGCCGGCGCGCAGCTAGTGCACTCGATGGCGGTCCCCAGGCACGGCGGCGAGCGCCAAGTGGCAGCAGGACAAGGCCAAGGACCCCTACCGCCGCCAGAGGATCCCCTTGTGGAAGCGGGGCAAGGCCCCCGCCGCCACCGCCGCCCCGCAGCCCCTCGGTGCGGCCGGCGACGTGCGCGTGAGCGTGAGTACCCTCGTGGTGCCCTGCAGGGTGCGTGCCGGGCTGGCACTGCACTGCTTTGTTTTGATTTCACGCAGACGACAAAGGAAGACAAGCCGTCCAGGAGGCAGGACGCCGAGCAGGGGAATGCGGCGACCGAGGCCGCGGAGGCCGTCGAAGAGGTGGTGTCCGTCAACGCGGAGCAGCAGACCTCGGACACCGAGCTGAACCTGGACGAGCCGCTCGAGGAGTACACCGTCAAGTACACGCCGTCCGATGAGGCCACGGCCTCCACCTCTGGCCTGTCAGTCAGGCCACCCATAGCAGAGGAAGAGGATGACGACAGCGACACGGACGACTCGGCCTCGGCCTCCGCCACGGCGTCAGGCATAGCACCTTCCATGGCGGTGAGAGATCCTCTGCACACAGCTATTTTGCCGTGGAATCCTCCCAAACGAAACAAAACAAAATGCGGCGTTGTCTCGTTTAGACGCCGTCACTCTCAATACCGGACAGCGAAGCCTCGGCGAGGCTCTCGGGCGAGCTGTCGGCGCTCACCAGCTTGATGGGGATGTCGTCGGGGACGGCCCTGGGGGCGGGGACCGCGGGGACGTCCAAGGCGGCGCCCAATGCGGACAGCAACGCGGCCGCAGAGGACGACGGGGAGGGCGTGCGCGCTTGGCAGCGGGGCATCCTGGGGAGGCTGACCAGGGCCAGGCAGCGCAGGGACATCCGGTTAAACAGGAAGGTTGGTTGGCCGGTCCTCCACCCGGCGGCTCACCCTGGTTGAACCACGCTGACACACTGGTGACCCTCCAGGAGGTGCTGAGCATGCAAGTGGTCTTGGAGGCCGTGCTCAAGCAGTACATGGCCCTTAGCAGGGAGATCGAATCCGTGAAGGCGAACCTACAGGTGCGCTCAGCTTGTTTTCGCGGAGCTGAAAGCTCATCGAAAATTCAAATGGTTGCGACTGGCGAGGCAGCGGCGGCTTGCCAAGGCCAACTCGCTCCATCACACGGCATTGCCTCGTAAAACATGCACTAGAAGAGGAGCGACTTGGACATTGTTCGGTGCGCCGAGTGCGTCGGTGTCTCTAATGGCCTTTGGGAATACCCTTCTACAGTGGGAGTCGGTGGAGCCGGTGTCGCTGAGCAGGGCGCTGTCGCGGCTGCAGACGGAGCGCCGCGAAGAGTCAGCCGCCCTGGCCAAGATGCTGGCCTGCAAGGACAAGGAGGTGCACAGCCTGCAGGCGAACGTGGGCAACCTGCGCGCCGCCACCAACACCCTGCAGCAGCAGGTACGCGTCGCGGTGCGGCCGCCGCTCCGGAGAGGCTCGCCCACCACTGCAGTGCCTGGTGGTGGCGCAGGTGTCCATTCTGGAGCAGAGCTGTCGCGAGAAGGACGTCGACCTGAAGAAGGCCGCCAACGCCCTGGCCCAGCTGTACGCCACGCACAAGGCGACCATCCACGAGCAGCAGAGGCGGCACGACGAGGCCATGGCCGAGGCCGTCAAGGCCAAGGACGCACTGCAGCGCCAGGTGGAGGCGCAGTGCGTGGCGCACGCCGCGGCTCTGGCCGAGGCCAACGCGCGCCAGCAGGCCGAGACCGCCGCTCACCAGCAGGCCGTCGACGCGCTGCTCGCCACGAAGCAGCTTGAGGTATGTTCATGACACCAGCGGCAGTTCCTCTCTTTTCGGTGCCTCTTGAACCAGCCCTCTGCCATGCCTGCGCAGGTGGACGAGGTCCTGGCCAAGCACGAGGAGTGCCTGGCCGAGCTGCGCGCCGAGCTGAGCACGGTGCGGACGGACGCCGCGGCCTCCGAGTCGCGCTACGAGATGGAGAGCATGCGGCTGAGCCGCGCGCTCACCGAGAAGGAGGCGCACCTGGGGCGCCTGCTGGCCACCGTGGAACAGCTCAACTCCACGCACGACGGCGAGCTCAAGGCGCTGCGGGCCGAGCTCCGCGACCACGAGCGCGCCCTCCGCGCCGCGCGGACCGATGCGCAGACCCGCGGCGACGCCCTCGCGGCCCGTGACGCGGAGCTGGTCGCCTTGCGCGCCGAACAGGAGACCGTCATGGTGATGGTCAGCAAGGCACTCAGCCTGCGCGACAACGACTCACAGCACCTGCGCGACGCCATGGAGTCCATGCGCAAGGATTACGAGCGCCAGCAGCAGTCGCTGCGCAACGCCACGGATATCCTGCAGTCGCAGAGGGACGTCGAGGCGCTGTCCTACTCGCAGACCATCAACGAGAAGGACCTCCGCATCAGCGACCTGATGATCGAACTGCAAAACAACAGCGCGGCGCTGCAGGACGCGCAACACCGCCTGCAGCTGGCCCTGGAGGGGCAGCAACGCGCCGACGAGGCCCACGCCGTGCTGCTCAAGACGGTCGAGGCCATGAACGGCCAGCAGGAGGACCTGACGCACCGGCTGAACGTCGCGTACAGCCAGATGCACGCCCTCGACGCGGAGCGGGCCGACTTGATGGCGACGCACCAGGCCGAGATGGCCCGCATGCACGGCGTCCTGGCCGAGCACCAGCAGAACACCAACCTGGAGATCGAGCGCCTGCGCAGGGACCTGCAGCAGGGCGGCACCGAGGCGGACGGCCTCCGTCGGGCACTCAAGGACCTGCAGCAGAGCAGCGGCGCGCAGATCGCCAACCTGCAGAAGGCGCTGAAGGACTCCCACAAGGGCGGCGCCGAGGCCGACAGCCTCCGCAAGGCGCTGGACGAGCAGCGGCACGCGAGCGCGGCCGCGGCGGACGAGCTGCGCAGGGAGATGCAGACCCTCCACGACGGCCACCTGGCGGAGCTGCAGCGCCTGCAGGCGGCCCTGGACGACGCGCGGCGCAAGCACAAGGCGGACGGCGACCACTTCCGCGGGGCCCTGCACGAGAAGGACGTCCAGATCCGCGACCTGACGGACCGCTTCGTCAACTACCGGCGGCAGGAGGAGGAGGCGCGGTGCGAGCTGGAGGCCCGCAACGAGGGGCTGCTGGCCGAGGCGCAGGCCCACGAGAAAGAAATCGCTGTTTTAAAAAACTCCGTCAGCCAAATGAGGAACTCGCACCGGGAGCGCAAGGCCGAGCTGGACAAGAAGGCCGCCGAGGCGACCGAGCTCCACAATGCGCTGCTGAAGCACAAGCAGGTCGTGGAGGAGGCGCGCGCCGAGTGTCGGGAGCTGCAGGAGCGCGGCCGCCAAGCCGACAGGGCGCGCGCGCAGCACGAGGCGGAGCTCGCGAAGCTGAAGCAGGCCGTGGAGGAGAAGGACGAGCAGATTAACGACATGGTCAGGGAGCGTGCGCTGCTGCAGACGGAGAGGGACAGCCTTCGCGCCGACACGGACCACTACACCAAGCAGAGGGAGAACTTCCAGGTCTGTGGGGGTTCCACGTATGCAAAGCGTGGCCGAGGCGTCCTCCGTGACGCGGCTCGTCTTGCCGGCAGGTCGTGCTGGAGGAGAAGGAGCGGGAGGTGCGGGCACTGCGCGACAAGCTGGCCCGCCTGCAGGCGCGCGTCGACAGCGACCGCGCCGAGCTGGTCAAGGGGGCCGCGGACGCCGCCGAGGAGTCGGAGCGCCTGCGTGCGGAGCGGGACGCGGCCGTGGAGCAGCGGGAGGCGCTGGTCGCCAAGTTCTCCAAGCTGTTCAAGGTGGTGCGGCGGTCCTTCGACCGGCGGACGTCTGAGCGCGCGGCGCTCGAACAGTCGCTCGCGGAGTCGCGCGCCGCCGCGGCCGTGGCGCAGGACAAGCTGGACAGTGCACTGCAGAGCCACCAAGCCGAGAAGGACAAGGTGAGGTGTACGACGGTACCGCTTGTCATCGCCAAGGCTCCCTTGCTCAACCCGCCTTGCTTTCCGCAGGTGATGAAGATGATGCTGGGCAAGGACAACGACATGAAGCAGCTTCGCGAGAACCTGCACCAGTACGAGGACCACCTGCGCAGCACCAAGGAGGAGATGGACGCCACGGTCGCGGTGCTGAAGCGCAAGCTCCAGCGCCGCGACGCCGAGCTGCAGCGCCGGGACGTGGAACTGCAGCGTCGCGACGCCGACCTCCAGCGCCTGGAGGCAGAGGCCCAACAGCTGCAGCAGGCCCAGCAAGCGGCACTGGAGCGCGCCGCGGCGCTGGAGAGCGTCGTGCAGGACGGCCAGAAGCGCATCGGCGAGCTGGAGCTGGAACTCGACCTGGGCCGCACCGTGCTCAAGAAGAACACGGAGGACTGCCGCGTCCGCGTGGAGAAGCTGCAGCAGCAAGTGGAGAACGTGCGCCAGGAGCGCAACGCCGAGATGACGCTCCTCAAGGACTCCATGATGCGCCTGGAGGACGAGCTGATCACGCGCGACCGACAGATGGAGCTCGCCAAGGCCGAGAACGGCCGCCAGATGGCGCTGCTGCAGCGCGCGCTCAGCGACCGCCAGGACGACACGGAGAGGCTCACGGACACGGTGGAGCGGCTGCAACGCGAGAACGACGCCCTGCACGCCAAGGAGGAGGAACTCCGGCGGGCCATGGAGTACCTCAAGGACGAGAACGTCGAGGACGCTCGCGGCAAGGACGAGCAAATGCTGGTGATGGCCCAGGAGCAGCGCCACCTTATGGACGAAGTCGTCAGCGCCAAGGACGCGGAGATCGCCGCGCTCAAGAGCGCCTTGCAGGACCCCCACGCAGTGCGCGAGAGGGACGCCAAGATCGCCAACCTGGAGGAGCAGCAACGCTTCATGGCCGAGGTCGTCAGCGCCAAGGACGCGGAGATCGCCGCACTCAAGTACGTCGCGCAGGATCCCCAGGCCATACGGGAAAAGGACTCCAGGATCGCTGCACTGGAAGAAGAGCACCGCCGCATGGCCGAGGCCCTGCAGGAGGCCGTGCGCCGGGACGGCGAGGCGCAGCGCCTCATGGCAGAGGCCCTGCAGCAGGCGGCGCGCGATAGGGAGCAGCAGATCGCGACGCTGCAGGACGCGGCGCGCCGCAAAGACCAGCAGATCGTCGACTTGGAGGAGGCCGTGAACGCCCTCAAGGCCGGCCTCGACCTGGACGTGTTGAAGCTCAAGGACATGCTGAGCGACTGTGAGAACGAGAAGCTGCAGTTGTCCGCCAGGGCGTCCATGCTGGAGGCCCAGCTGGAGGACCAGGTGTCGCTCATGGCGCGCCAGATCGCGGATCGCGACGACGAGATCCGCGCGCTGACCGACGCCAAGGCGGGCTTCGAGAAGGCCAACAGCGACCTGGCCGAGGAGAACGTGCAGCTGCTCAACGTGATGCACCGCATGCAGAAGGAGCGGCAGGACGAGATGCAGCACACCGTGAGGACGACGCACAGCGCGCTGCGGGCCAACGAGGGGCGCTTGGACCGGCTGCGCGACGAGGCCGCCGAGGCAGAGGCCCTGAGGAAGCGCGCCGAGCTGGCGGAGGCCGAGCTGCAGAGGCTGCGCGACGAGGTCCAGCGGGTGGATTTTTTGGAAAAGCAGCGCGCCGCCGACCGCCAAAAAGAAGCCGATGAGGCCGCCGTGGCCAAGGCCGCGTCCGAGGCCGCGGAGCGTGACAACGCCAAGAAGGAGGCCGAGCTTAAGGTGCTGAATCTCACCGCCGAAGCTCTGAAGCAGGAGCTGCGCGCGCTCCAGGCCCGCAGCGAGGAGGGCGATGGGGCATCCCTTGAGAAACAGCTGCGCTCCAGAGAGATGGAGGTCGACAAGCTGAAGCAGACGGTGGAGGCTCTGCGTACTGACCTCACCATTCAGAAGCAGCTGCTGCTCACATTCCACGAGGGCCGAGCCTACTTGGGGGCGCCGTCGGAGCACGACGCCCTGTCCAGGACCGCCCGGGTCCTCCGCGACCTCCACAACACCGCCGAGCTGACCGCCCTGCCCCAGGACGGCGACCACCGTTCCGCCGTCCGACCCTACCCGCACCGCCGGCCAATGTTCGAGCTCAAGAGGACGGCCTCCGAGGGCGACCACTTGGACATAGACGAGATGTGCGGCCTGAACTTGCTGAGCGGAGTGACCACGCCGTCGTCCATCACCGTCAGCTCCAGGACCATGTCGCAACTGTCCACCACGTCCAACAGCCGGCCGCCACCACCGCCGGCGAGCACCTTGATGCTGTGAAAGCTCCGCCTTGACTTGTGTTTTGTGTGTCCGTTGTACCTGTGTTAGTGTCCTAGACCCTGTCCTTGTCCATGTGCTGTGTGTACGACTTGTATGTTTAAATCGCCCCTCCCCTTTGTTTGTACTTACCGCCCCTTGTACGAGAGCTGCAGCAACCGAAATAAAACCCTGACCCTATGCCGCCTTTGTACTCACTCGGGTTTGCGGCCAGTCGCGCGGGCCAGGAGGTCCACGAAGATGGCCGGGAACAGGTGGAACAGGTACATGACGAGGACGCAACGCCGGTAGCTGCTGCGGCACTTGGCGTCCGGGTACCACGTCATGCCCGTGCACGGCCTCTCGCGGCACTTCTGCACCACCAGGTCCACGTAGTCGCGCCACAGCAGCGGGTTGCTGTTGCCGGAGGTCATGTGGTACACCTGGATGTCGTGACCCTTCCTGAAGCAACAGAAAGGAATAAGGATGAGGGTCGAACGTCCCCGTCTGACCCAGTGTCGCAGTCCGCTCCGCTTCCGACCCTCACCCCGTCATGGCGGCGCCCCAGGCCGCGGCGATGGTCAGGTTGGCGACGTGGTCGGCGGGCACCAGGTCGGCCACCTTGTCCGGGTCGGCCAGCGTCACTCGAAACACGCCCTTGATGGCGCCCGCGATGAAGGCGAACGACCCCGACTTGACGTTGTCCACCCAGCCGGGGAACGGGGCGGACCAGGTGCCCATCACTGCAAACAGTCCCGGCGAATTACAAATGGCAGTCGGCTAATTGCATTGCGCGCTGCGTGCGTTTCCGGCGGTTCCCGGACACGCGCCTCGCGCCCCGGGGAAAGGCTTTTCGGAAATCTGCCGACGAATGCGATGCGTGTTGTGAGTGCTGCGGTGTGGCGTGCGCGCGCGCGCCCGACTTTCGGAGAGCTTTAGCACCGCCAGGCTGCCCGGCCAGCGCTCCCGCGGTACGGCGGACGTTGCGGGAAGGCCGTGGCTGCCGTGGCGTGCGAGTGGCGGGTGCGAGGCGAGGCGCGTTGCAGACAACGAGTGAGTACACAGTCAAGCCACTCACCGATGGAGGGCCTCACGATGGCGACGGGCACGTCCCCACGCTCGCTCAGGAGCACGTTCTCTGCCAGCTGCTTGGTGAACGAGTACGTGTTGGGGTGTCCGCCGAGCAGGCTGCAAACATGAACCGGAACATGGAAATAACACGTTGGGATCGGTGCGTTATTACGGTCCAGCATGATGCCTTGTCAGACCTGCGCGTCATGTCCTTGAGGGCCTCGGGGTCCGTGTCCTGCACGATGCTGATGATGCTGTTGGGGTCGTGGCCAGAGGGGTAGACTCGCTCTCGGACCGTGTCGTGCAGCGTGCTGTTGCAGTAGGCCGTCGACAAGTACACCATGGCCTAACCAAAGGACAGATAAAATGAAGGTTGTAGCGAAAATTTGAGACTCGCGCTGGTCCGCGTCGCACCCACCTTGAGCGAGGGCATGTCCTTGCACAGCTGCAGCACGCGCCGCGTTCCCAGGACGTTGATGTTGACGGCCGTGGCGAGGGCCGCGTTGAAGTTGATGGTGGCGGCGGCGTGGAACACGACCTGGACGTCGCGCAGCAGCGTGGCGTGGTCCTCGGACGACAGCCCCAGCCCGGGCAGCGACACGTCGCCGGGCACGGCCACGACGCGCGCCCGCGAGGCCTGGCTGTGGCCCGCGAACAGCTGCGGACACATGGCGGGGCCGTAGTGGACAGTGGGCGAGATGGGCGTGGTCTCGCGGACGGTGGCTGACGGCAGCCCTTACCGGCTTGTCCAGGAGTTGCTTGACGCGCGCGTTCGCGTCCAGGCCGCCGCGCGGCCTAGCCAGCATGTAGATCTTGGCCAGGCGGGGGCAGGACCGCAGCAGCTTCTCCACCAGGACGCCGCCGAGGAAGCCCGTCCCCCCGGTGACGAGCACGGCGACGCCATCCAGCAGGTCGGCGATGGTGGGGGCCGCGAGCGGGGACGCGGTCCTGTTGCCGGCGGTGGGGCTGCCCTTGGGGCTGCCGGGCGGGGCTGCGGGGAGGGCTGCCATGCTGTGACGGGGGAGGATCAGCCATTGAGCATCGAGACGTCACACTTTCCGAACGGAACGTCGTTTGCCGACTGCTCCATCGCCTGGTCGTGACCGCGCCGCCGTGTCAGCTCGCAATTTCGCACGCCAATTACAGGTTCTCGCGGCGATGCAGCCTGCACTGTCTGCACAGTGCCTCATCGCTCTGTCTCTCTCGAACCCCTACGTAACCCCGAGTAAGTGCGAGAGAGACGAACCACTGTTCGGAATCAGCCTGCTGCGAGGCACGAACGCTGTCTCCCGCCCCCACAGGCCCGGCGGCGCGGCAGCAAGGACGCCGTGCTTGTCCATAAAGCGGAGCGCCACCCGGCGGCGGCAGTCAGTCCGTGTCCGGCCGCTCCACCGACATGAAGGGGATCGTCGGCGTGCTCGTGCTGGTGGCGGTGGCGCTGGCGCTGCAGGTGCAGGCGCAGCAGGACTGCGTGTGCAGCGAGAACGCCGTGCCGTTCTGCCTGCCCCGTGACGGTGTGCTGGTGCAGCGCTTCGCCGCCGCGGCGCAGCTCTGCGAGCTCAAGAAGGGCGCGGAGCCCTGCCCCGAGGGCCAGGCGCGGATGTGTATCCCCGTCGCCAGCGCCGCCGCGGCGTGACGCGGCGTGACGCGGCCCGGGCCTCTACGTCGCCGCGTTGCGTGAATGCATTCCGCGGGCACCCCGTCAGCACCGCCACCGCCGCGGGCGGCCGGGCCACGCTGGCCACGCCGACGGCCACGCTTTCTCCCAACGGCCTGGCGGCCTGCACGGGGGTGGCGCCATCGCCACCGCGACCACCACTGCGGATGTCTCGTGTCGCTGCCCCCGGCGTGTGACAATCGCCGGAGTAATCGGCACGGACCGACGACAACACCAACACGTCGACACTGACCGCGGGAACGACCGTCGACGCGGCGCCTGTGAGGGGCGCTTCCTGCCCGAGACTCAGCCACTGTGATGACCATTGTGATATGTATAATAAAACCATTTTGACATCTAGTGCCATCTGCTGTTTTTATTTGAGCGTCGTTTTATGTTAAAGGGCAAAACTTACAACTCAAAACGCAAAAGCAAAGGGTGGAAACACTCAAAAGAAAGCTCGCAGTCAACAATCTATTTTCGACCCTCTTTCAAGTCTACGAAGGTCTCAGTAACGCCAACAAGGGAATCCGAGTCCAGGCAGGAGCAACTAATAACAAATGTTAACGCCCAAAATATTAAAGCACGCCTTTTCTACGGATAGCGATTTTCCGCCGTGCTTTAGAAGCAGTCTTGCCGCAAATTTGGTCAAAACAACGACCCCTCTCATTTGCGAAAAATAACTAAAATTTCGTTTTCAACGCCTCGGCTAGGGCCGCTACAACCACTCTTCCAATCCTTCCAATCCACGTGACGGCGGCAGGCACTTAGTGCTGCCGTCCACCAAATACGACCCACCTGTCGCGGAGCTGCTGGTGCCTTGTCGCGACCCTGGACGACGGACGACTGGCCGACGAGTCTGGAGCCCCGGCCTGCTCACCACCAAGCACGGCGTGCATCAACACGCCCTGCACCGCGTCCGGATCCCGGGTCTACTCTCTTCGTCGGTCGCCAGCCTCCCTCCCCGCGGAGAGAGAGACAGCTGCAGCCCGGAGCCCAGCTGGGAGGGGATGACCCGGCCGGCGCGGGGGCGCGCAGCAGTGCAGCAGCACAAGCGCGAGCGTAATTTCAATTTCCGAGCGGGGGCGGGCGGTCTTGCCGGTCACCCCGGCGGCAACTCCCGCCACTAATTTCTTTTTTTTAAAGTTTCGAGCACGTGGCCCGGGGCCCGGACGGCTAGACGGGGTTTAAATGAACCGCAAAAGGCGCGCAAAGTACTTCTTTGCCAAATTAGTGACTACCCCCCAAACCCTTATCTTTCGTTTTAAAAGCTTTCCCCGATACAGGGTGGGTAGGCTCTAAAAAACTGGCTGAGGGGGCCTTTAGGGGGATAAGGACCGCCAAAAGGCAAAATCATAAAATTTGAGATTGACCCTTCATGACCAACTTTGTGAGGCTACCGCTCCCAAACTAGTTGCGGTCAATAGCCTTCCCGATACAGGGCATGAAAGAGTAGGGTCTTAAGAATACTAGGACGTTGAGGGAGGCCTTTTACGGCGACTAGATTGGACACAGTGGCCACCCAAAGTTAGCAAAATCAGCAAATTTCCGAGATTCGACCACTTTTTGACCAACTTGGTCGGAAAATCGTTGCGGTCAAGGCCAAAATCGCTGTGGTCAACGCCTTCCCGATACAGGGCATGAAAGAGTAGGGTCTTAAGAATACTAGGACGTCGAGGGAGGCCTTTTACGGCGACTAGAATGGACACAGTGGCCACCCAAAGTCAGCAAAATCAGCAAATTTCCGAGATTCGACCACTTTTTGACCAACTTGGTCGGAAAATCGTTGCGGTCAAAGCCAAAATCGTAGTGGTCAACGCCTTCCCAATACAGGGCATGAAAGAGTGGGGTCTTAAGAATACTAGGACGTCGAGGGAGGCCTTTTACGGCGACTAGAATGGACACAGTGGCCACCCAAAGTCAGCAAAATCAGCAAATTTCCAAGATTCGACTACTTTTTGACCAACTTGGTCGGAAAATCGTTGCGGTCAAAGCCAAAATCGTTGTGGTCAACGTCTTCCCGATACAGGGCATGAGGGAGTAGGGTCTTAACTTTGTGACGTTACTGGTCCGAAACCCGAAGGCCCCGGCAGATTTTTCTGCCTGTCTGCCCTGGCCAGCCCGAGCCTGACGTGGTCGCACAGCGACGGCGGAAAAGGAAGGAAATAGCTCCATTAGAACCCCACCCTCTCCCCCACGCAGTGACGGCGTCGGCGCTACCCCGCGCGCCAAGGCTCGCTACGCACCCCTCGCCCCGCGTCGCCCACCCCTGGCGCTCGCCGGCCGGTGCTGCCCTCTGCGCGGCGCGGTCGGACCGCGGTCGCAAAAAATCGATAATTTCCAGCGGCGGGAAACGAGGCGCCACTCGCAACCGCTTTTCGAATGGATGCGACCGCCATCCATCAATCACAAGTACACAGTGCGGCGGCCACGCGGCCCCTGCGGCTGCGGCCCCCGCTTCGCGGCAACCCGACACCGCGAGTCCACGCCGACGGGGGTGGCTGCTGCTGTCCTTGTCCATGTAGCCCTGCCAGCGGCCGGTCGGTGCTGATGCTGCCGGTACGGGTGGCGGAGAATTGCGGGGGTGTTCCCAGACCGCTTTAGTTCAGCGGCTGCTTGCTGGCTGCGCCATCAGCTCAGCCCCCTGCCGGTAGGCACTCCAGCCTCATGCAGGCGCGTGCGTGCGGCGTGCGGCCTACCGCCGAGGGGCGCGGGCGGCGCGAGGACGAGGGGAGCGGCCGCCGTCCCCGCCCCCCGCCCCCTACGCGCCGGGACGGCCGGCGTCTTGCCTCGTCGTGCCCCGCGGCGAGCATGGAGGCGGCCAGGTTGCCCGGGGCAGTGCGGGTGGGGGATGAATCGTGTCTGCCCTTCCCGATGCGCTTCGCACCTGACTTGTCCTTAACTTTTGCTTGCCACGTCCTCCGTGTCCTCGACGGCAGGGCCGCCGCCTCAGGCGAAACTTCCCCGCTCCAGCTCTAAGGCTGCGCCCGGCGCCAGCGCGGCCACTCTCGGCCCGCAGGAAAGCCGCCAGCCCAGGCAGGCCCTGAGCACGTCATGCACCTCGTCGGCGTCACGTCGTCTCAATCGGAATGCCGCAGTCCGAAAAGGGAGCCGGTGTGGGCAGTGTGGGCACGGCCGGGCACCACAGGGAAATCCCGCAGCGCGGCCCGGCAGCCTGGCAGCCCTGCGCGGCACATGTGGGGAAATTGATCGGGGGTGGGTGGGCGTAGCAGGCGTAGGGCCCCTCCGGATCGCTGCTAGCGCTGCTAGGGCTGTGAGGGCTGTGCAGCCGGGTGGGTAGCGCCGTGCGCCGTGCCCGGTTCGCCACGGCCCGGCCGCCTCGCCTAGCCTCGCCCCTCCGCGCGACGCACCCCTTTGGCCCCGCGCCACCCCGCACCCTCGTCCCTACCCCTGCACTGGGAGCGATGCGCTCCTGTTCTGGTTGCTGCCAAACATGGCTGTCGGTGGGCCACTGGGTTCTGGACGTTTCATCTTAACTTTGATTTCACCCGAGTCCCGCCCGCGGAGTTGATGAAGTGATGCCTTACAACCCTTCGCTATCATTTCTTCCTTCTTCCGACTCAAGGACAGAGCTGTAAGTACCGTTCTTCCCGTCGGAACGGCGGTCCGCGGGCGCCAGGGGGCTAGCCCTGGGCCCTGGCTCGGCTCGGGTCGCATCCGCCTCGTCTGCTCTCGGTAACTAAGCCCGTCGCCCCCAACCCCCGCGCCAGGGGATTTAACGCTGGCTCGCGCGGGAACCCCGGTTTTGCCCCCCGGACGCGTGTCATGCTAGGCGGGCCGCCGATCGGGCCCACGATTGCCAATGCCCGCCTCGGAGTGCCGATCGGCTGGTAATTTGCCAATTTTCTTCTGCAGCCCCCCGAGCCAGACGGCCGTCTGCTTGATGGATGTCACTGTCATTTGGCTCTCCGGAGGCGGCCCGCGGCCCCTGCCAGGCTTTTCGGCGACCCGCGTCGCATTCTGACGAGGTTTTGTCTCAGCTGCGTGCATTCTTCCCTCGCGCGTCGCCGATTTGATGCAGGGGTACGGTGTCCCCTAACCAACAATCTGGTCGGGGCGTGCTGCCCCCGTCGCTGAAAGTGGTCCTTTTTCCTCACCGGCATGTTGGTAGACCTGTGAGTGGATTTGTTTATGTCTGGCGGGTATATTCCAGTCCCAAATAGGGTTTATTTTGGGTTTTAGAGACGTTTTTGCAATACGATGAAAGGGTTAGTGTTCGGTAAATTTTAAGGTTAGGAACCTCCCTTCCAAGGCAGGACCAGGTTGGGGTGCCTTGCAACTTGCAACCGGATTTTTACCATTTGTTAACAGTGAGCGAAATGCGGTGTATGCATGGTTTGGAACTGCTGCATTAGAAGTTCATTCTTTAATTTAATCCACTATTCAATCACAATATTGTGGATCTTTGTTAATTTTATTGATTTCAGAAATGTTCGGATTAGCTCGTTTTCACAAGTTTTTTGTGTAACTGCATTAGCTGACTCACTTATGCACAGTCATCGTTTTTTACCAGTATTTTTTTGTAGTTTAGTCCATAATTGAAAAAATGATTAGTTCTGCACTTTTGAATTTTGGTTTCGCCGGGGGGTGTTATTTATTTTATTGAAGTAATGTATCGAGCTTACCCAACCTTTTGTTCTTGTGAAGTTTTTACCGTAGATGTGCCATGTAACAGTTCGTTTATATATTTTCCCCTTGTTTTTGTGCATGTGTTTGTGTTTTTTTTAAGCTTTGTATTTTTATTTTGCTTCTTTTATTTGGTTCTGTTTAATTTAGTTGTTGCATCATGGATATTCTGGAGAAGCCTTTGGATTGGCATCCAAGGAATTGGCTTCTCTACAGCTCTTATCGAGATCTTCCGCCCTGACCAACCTGGGACGTGTAGGAAATGCAATGCCCAAAGGCTTGTTTTCCGAGTTTAAGCGCCAGGTCTGGTGGCCAGTTATTAACAGGTAATGAATTTATGTATTCACAAATCATACATATTCCATTGACTACATCATCTACTCTTGGTTAAATCTCTTTACGGTTTTCTCAAATTTTAAAAATAAAATTTCTTTCTTTGCCTTGTGTCATCATCTCCTCTTTTCTTGAATCTTTTCTTACAGAGCCAGTTTTTCCTTCTTTTAAACTCATCCATGTAGTAACCAGTATTTAAGCTTTACTTTATTATTTTTTAATTGACTGATTCGTAGTTTTGCTTCAAATATAATAATGCTGTGGTGTGTGCATGTATTGTATGTCGTATTTTTTTCATGTAATTCTGTTGCTTTTACTTGTTTGACTTTGCTCTAATGAGAGCGTTTACATTTCCGGTATTCATACGAGGTAAAATCGCTTTGAAAGTTTACGAATGGTTCACCTGTGCTTGTGGGCATCGGCTGACCAGCGCGCCGCCGTACGCGGGGGCGCTAGGCAACCCACCCAACCTCCGCGCGCCGGGGTGTTAGGCAACCCAATCAACCGCCACGCGCCGGGGTGCTAGGCAACCCAACCAACCTCTGCGCGCCGGAGTGTTAGGCAACCCAATCAACTTCAAGCCCCGCCCTCAGTCTCGACTTGAAGTCGCTCATTCAAGCTCAGACTGCCATACGCAGCTTGTGGCACTGCGGGTGCCCCATCCCCTCTGCAGTGCGTTTATCCAAGCGACGCCCGGATCCGTTTTGGCGGCAGGCGGCGCTGCCACCACACTTGGGCGATGAGCCTGGCCCGTTCCGAAATTACGCATCCAGTGGAATGCAGGCCGCGTGACTCAGGCGGGGTTTGTTTGCGTCCTGGCGGTCTTGGCGGCGCGGAGTCGCGACCGCGGCCTGGCCGTTCCTGGAAAGGCGCCGAATCCGCCGCGGACGCCGGCAACGGCAACGGCGGGGTGAGCGACCCACACTTTCTCAGTGAGAGTCCAGCCAGCCGAGCCGAGCCTGGCCCAGCCCGCCGCGGTCCGGAACGTCCCGTGTGTTGCCGTGCGTCCACCTGGCCGGGGGAAAGGAAGCCGAAGGGGTGGGAGCGAACGACAGCCCGAACAGACCCCCGCGGACAGTCCCTGGCTGCCCTTAGCTGGGCCCCGTGCCGTGATTGTGATGCCCTTCCGGGAGGTGCGACTGCGTGCCTGTGCGCGGCCCGAGCGAGTCGCTTCGTCGCTTTCTTCCTCAATTTTTTTTCTTCCTTATGTAAACCGATGTGTAAATGAGAGCGGCGGTGTTTAACCCTCGCGGGACTTTGTCCTTTGATGCAACACCTGAAACATATTCAATTCAATTTAATTCTCTGTCGCACCCCCTATACGGACTGCGTCGGAATGACTCCGGAATCAGTCTGCTTGCCGCCCTCGCCTCGCGCGGGTGAGGCGCGCCTGCCGGGCATGCCGTCGCTTTGACTGAGACTTGGCCTCTGTTTCCAGATTTCGCTGATTGGGCAACTGCACCCACACCAGGTAAGCGCGTCTGCTGTTGCGTCTGCGACTCGGGGCCTCCGCGTGGCGGCGACGCGGCGACGAGGTGCTAGTTATGATTTCCGCCACGCCGTAGCGTGCCCGCCGTGTCCGCGGTGTCCAACCGAATTTTGCCGAATTGGCGGCGAAGGCCTCGTGGCGGTGTCTTGTCGCGCGTGTGTTGTGGCGTCCCGTGGCGCCGTGGTGGCACTTGTGCACCGAAAGTAGGCCAAGAGTTTGAGAGGGGGGGGGGGAGTCAAACATCCGCCATCGGATGCTTTGCCACGCAGGTTCATTTGGCCAAGAGGCGCCTTTTGCCCGTGCCAAGTGCACGCCCCGCCCCGCCCCGCCCCGCTCCAGGAAAGGGAAACGCGTGTCACCTCCAGTGTCAATCTGGGGGCGGCCTGTCAGCCTGTCTGGCTTGTCAGGGTGCCGACCTGCCCAGGCTGGGCCGTCAACAGGGCGCGGCGGGGTTGCCTGCCCCGCCGGCGCCACAGGCCCCACAGGCGCCGCGCTGCGTGGGGCCGGGGGGCCGGTGGGGCCAGTGGGCCGCCTTCTGGCCTTCTGGCCGGCTGGACGGGGTGGACGGGGCTGCTTGCCCGGAGCCCCCCATGGCGGGCAGGGGCCGGCCTCGGGGCGGCTTGACTGCTACATCACATAATTGGCTCAGCAGAGGGCTGCCAGGCCGAGGAGGGACGGGCTTTGGCCCAGCCCAGTCTCCATGGCCCTGTACCATGTTTTGCCTGCTGGCCCTGCCTTGGGGCTGCCCGCGTAGGCGTGCGTAGGCGCCACCTAGGACCCGTGAGCGACCCTCTCCTCCTGGTCTGCTGCCGCCCGACTTCGGCCATGGTTTATCACTCAGACCGGCCCACGCCATGCTCCGCCCGTCCTAAGTAAGCTTGCCCGGGGCTGCCCTGCCTTGCCTTGCGGCCCTGCTGCAAAGTTGCAAGGGGAAGGGTGCCGGCCAGGCCCTGGCTAGGCCCAGGCCGCGCGGAACCAAGGGACGCCCGCAGCCCGTCGCCGGCGCGCCGCTTTGGCGATGCCGCCGCCAGGAGCACCCTCGAGGACCCTCGAGGAGGAGAAGTAGTGCAGCAAGATAATTGGTCGACGGGATGCTCAAGCACGCCCGAGCCGCGTCTAGCCGGCCCGAGCAGTCCTCGGCGCTGCCGCGCTGCCGGGGGGCGCGGCGCGGCGCCATGGCAGCGCACTGGCTGCTGTTGCATCTTTCAGCCCTCAATATTGCTTTCTTGTCGCGGGGCCGGCGAAGCCACCGGGGCCTCCTCGCCAGTCGCCAGGCCAAGCGGCAAGCGGCACGCCTGGCCTTCGCCTAAGCTGCTGTAAAATTGACACGCCGCTGTCCCTTCCGTTTTTCAGTCCGCTCCTGCCATCTTTTCCCTCTTCCTCTCCCTCTCCGCACACTCCAGCGGCCTCGTTCGTTTTTTAAAGTGACCCCCCGTTTAAAAATGGATGACGCGACGACGCGGCGCCACGTCGGCCGCGACTTGCGCGACGAAGTGCGGCGACGGCGGCGACGCCTTCCTGCACGTGCTCGAGGACGGCGGTGCGACGGTGCATCCTCTTCGGACAGCCCCTCCCTCGCGCCCAGCAGGCTGAACAGCGCCCCGTCTCTCTCGCACTCCCGGTGCTCCCCGTAGGGGTGCGAGAGAGACGACGGCGCAGGCCTCGCGATGGCGGCCAAGCCCGTCCCGTCCTTATCGCAGGGCGTCGCCGTGCGTCGCTGGGTGTGGACCTTGGTGTGGACGCGCGGACGGCCCTTCCTGGTCGCAGGCGTCATCGCCGCGCTGGTTGTCATTCATGATTCGAGGCTCAAAGGCGCGTCCCTGTCATGCATGCGCATGCGTAATTGCTGGTGTGGGTACCGCCGACGGCCAGGTCGAGTTGCATCCTCTCAACTTTCCGCCAAACCTGGCTGGCATGCAACTTTGGCAATTGACCGGGCCGACCCTAGGCCCTGCTTGCCCTGCTCCGCCTCCTCCACGGCCTCCACGGCGGCGCGGCCTAGCGTCCTGACGTCTCCCCCCACCACGCCCCCCGGCATCCCCGGCGACGCCTGGCCCCGCCTCGCCCCGCCTCGCCCCGCCGCGCTCTCGCCTCGGCCCCCCCGCCCCTAACCGCCCTGGCTCACTCGGTTCATTCCGTTCAGTTCAGTTGTGTTTCGTCCGTTAAAAGCGAACGACGCCCTACGTCCCGCCTGCCCGCCCGCGTGCGTCGGCATCCACTGTGCGTGCGCGTGTGTTGTGCTGTGTCGCCCTTAAGGATTACTTGCCCCCGCGCCTTGGACTTGGCGCCTCGCGCAGGTAGGTGCAGGCCGCGCCGCCCGCGTTGCAACAGGTCATCTCCCACACCGCCACCCCGACGGCGACGCGCTGACGGGCACCTTGATTGGTGCTCGTCGTTCTTCAGCCCTTTTCAGCCGGTCGTCGGCCTGGCCTCGATTCGGGGGGAAAATCGCTATTGGCAGCCGGATGCGGGGATCGGCAGTCGTTGTTGGCAGAGAGGTCCTTGGCCGGCGTGCCCCGTGCGTGTCCGCGTCGTGACGCGACGCGTGTCTGGCGTGCGTGCGCTGGTGCTTTCACCCCGGCACATGCGGCCGCGGCGTGCCGGCGTGCCGGCCGGAGGCCTCCGCGTTGTGCACACGGAGTGTTGCTTGCTCTCGTCCGCGGCGTCTCGAGGAAGTGCTTTATGGCGGGGCCGTAGTCCGGGCCGAGTCCGGGCTGTCCTGGACGGGCCGTGTGTGGCCGCCCGCGCCTCGCGCACAGCAGCACAGCAGGTGAGAGTGGCCGCGGAAGGGGCGCGGCGAAAACAAAAAGAAAGAAGGCGCTTCGTTTAGTCCCGCTTCCGACAATGTGGCCGGAACGGGTTTGGCGGTCCCCGCGTCCCCGCAGCCTCTCGTGGCGGGCGTGGGGCGTTGCGGCCGGGATATGGGTTACTGTGGCGCGCTGTGGCCGCGCTGCGGCAGGCCGTGGCGCCCGGGCGGCGCGGCCTGTGCGACGGAAAACAAAAGTCGTGGCCCGCAGGCCCGCCAGGCCCCTCCAGGCCCCGGGCTGGCCGGCCGGCAAACACGGCCAAACCGCGCTGCCTGGTCCTGGTCCTGATTGCCGCCATTTCGCGGCGCGTTTCGCGTGTCGGCTCCGCCCTGCCGGCCCTGCCGCACTTTTCCCTGCCGAACTGTAAACGACGGCGCGGCTGGTTCGGTGGTCCGTTGTCTGGGTAGCGTTAGAGCGCCAGCGAGCAGTGGCCCGGTGGTTCGGCTGCCAGGCGCCCGCCCGGACCCCGTCGTCGACGTCCTCGACCAGGCCGGCGCCGTCGACCGCGGCGGCGGTGCGTGGCGGCCGGGCGGGGCCGGGCCCGCGAGGTGTCGCGCCGCGGCCGCGACGGCGGCCTGGACCGTGACATTGCAAAGCCCAGCAGCAGGGGGCGCAGCCAAGGCGCAGCCAAGGCGCTGCAGGAAGGGGAATAGCGGCGAGTTCACCGACCTGACCTACTTGATGCACCCAGTCGGGCCAGCCGGCCGGGTGGCCGAACTGGATGTATCATACCACCGATGACGGGTCGCCTCGCCATTGACGGTGTGGAGGAAGAGCAGCCCTGCCGCGGAGGGCGTGGAAGGGGCTCCGGGCTCCTCCCGCCAGGATTCCTTGGAGAATCAATGCCAAGGCCTCTCGCCCCGCGGTGGCATGCCGGTGGCCCGGTGCCTCCCCCCACCAGCACCTCGCCGCGCCGCTCACTGACCGCCGCCACACACAACAGGGAAAGTATGAGGGCAGTGTACCAATCATTGGGACGCTCGCCCCGGCCAGCTGCCTCCTCGTCTTTCTCGATTCTCTTCCTTTCTCCCTCGTTTCCTACCGGTCCCGGGTTCGACTATGGTTGGCGGAGGCTAGCGGATTTAACTTTTTTTGGCAGACGCGGCTGTTGCCCCCTGGCGGTTGTCTCTCTCGGCGTGCTTGACGGCGGCGTCTTGATTGCCGCGAATTGAGGCCCTTTCCGCCCGCCGCGTCTCGCCGTGCCGGCTGTGCCGTGTCGGACTGCACTGGACTGTCACTCTCGTCGCCGTGCCGCGCCGCGCCGTGCCCTCGCTGCCCGTTTCCCGACCCCTTTTCGTCGGCCGCCGCGATTCCAGCTCCAATCAGGTGGCCATTGTTGTTGCAAGGTGTTCGATGTAGGAACGCACTCTCCGGCAGCCTCGCGCAGCACGTGTCGAGCGGCTACGCCGTGCTACGCCGTGCTACGCCACTGGTGGCGTCTGAAGGGGGCAGCGGGGGGCGGGGGCACCGTTACACCTAACTGTTCGGGAGGAGGGGGAAGGGGGGCGGCGCGACGCGGCGGCTCTCTGCCCCACTAACGCGCCTCGGACCCCCTGCCGCCCCCTCTCCTCCGACGCCTCCAGTTTTCTCTTTTTCACTGAAAGCCTTCTCCTCCTCCGGTGAGGTGTCCGCGCTGCACCCATCAGCTGGCTGGGCGGCGGCCGCGGTGCGTATGGCGGTGCGTCACTGCGTCACTGACAGGACCTTTGTGGCGGCGCCCCGCCCCTCGCCGCCCCCGCCCGGCCCGCGGCCTGCCCGCGATAAGGCGTTGATAAGGCCCACCTCGCCGGCTCCCTTCTCCCTTCCGCGGCGCGCCGATGGGCCAGGCAGCCCCAGGCAGCCCTAGGCTCCGCGAGGGCCTTTGCGGCCTGCGCGGGCGGCAGTGTGTCGCGGACCGCAGCACCGCGGTGACGGCCTGCTTCACCTGCTTGTTTGGCACCTGGGGCGCTCGGCCCCGGCGCCTCGTGCATGGCGGCATGGCGGCACACTTGCGCACGCCCGTGACCTTCCTCACCGGCACCGCGGCACCGAGGCGCCGGGGCGGCCATGCACCGCTACCGCCGCTACCGCCGCCACAGCCGCAGCGACCGTGGCGTGGCCGGGAACCGCCGGGAGCGGCGCGGCCACGCGGAAGGTGTGGCGGGCCATGGCGCTCTGGCGCGGCGAGTTGAATGTTCGAGACTCCGCGCTGAATGGGGCGCACCGACTGACGGACGGGAGACAGGCAGGCAGACGGACGGACTGCAGGTGGGGCCGGGCCGGGCCAATAGTGCGTGCCGCGGCACTACCCTGGCGGTGATTCCAAGGGGCGAGGCGGCGCGCTACACTGCAGAGTCGCGCTGCACTGTGGAGCTGCTTTTCCGTGCCAGCCCTGCTCGCCCTGCTCCCTGATAATAGCCCTGGCTGTTGGCACCTCGCTGTGCTGCCCCGGCCGCCCTCGCGCACTTCCCCATTAGCGCCGGCGCGGACGACGGGGACCCAGAGGGGCCGTGCTCCGTGCTGTTGGGTCGCTCCGGGTTTTGAAGCGAACAACCAACAGCCATACCCCTGGCGGGGCGGGGCCGCGGGGGAGTGCGAGCCGGCGGTGTGGCGGTCGAGTGGCCTGGGGTGCCGAGCAGTGGCGAGGCTAGGGGGTAATTTAGCACTGCGGCCCTGGCGTGCATGGACTACGTAACCCGCGCGCTGCGGCAAAATTAAATTATTACCTTCCAAAAAAAAAAAAAACACAGTACGGGTGAGAGAGGATGTACACGAGGGGTGTTTCTCTTTCTCGTTGGCGCGAGTGAGGGGATTTCCATTTCAATACGGCTACCCTCTGCGTCCCTGCGCCCGTGCCCAACCCCTCCCACGGAGAAGAAGTGCCCCGCCTCGAAGTCGGGCCCGGGGAACAGATGCACATTTGTCTCCACTAGGCGGCCACGCAGCCCGGCCCAGCCTCACGACCGCACGGGCGGGCGCGGGGCGCGGGGCGCGGGGTGGGTGGAACTCCGGGCAGCCCTCGGCCCAGCCCTCGGCCCTGCCGGCAGAGGTCGGGCGAGGCCGCTGATGAAATAACCATACGGCCACCTCCACCTCTGCCTGTTGTCTGCGTCCATCTCGCTCCCCACCACGGGCCGCCGCCCGTCCGCCCTGCAAGACTATAGGCTGAGCGAGGCTAATCAATAAACGACAATCTAAATGAATGATTAACGCGGCAAGTGGCTCAGTGGCTCCCCACTCCCCGCCACGCGGCCCGCGGGTGCGGGCGTTGCGGCGCGCGGCCGGGCGGACCGGGCGCCTCAAGTTTGACACGATGTCGTTGTAGTTGAGCGCGGCGCTCGGCGCGCGAGGACGGCGCACTGTAAGTAGGAAGTCCGGTCGCGCCCGGGGCGGCCGGGACGAAAACCGCACTGGCTTCAACGCTGCCTGGCGCGCGCTCGGTTTTTGAGCGGACTGTATGCTCCGTGTTGTGACTGGTGCACTGGTGGCCGGGCAGCTGTCCCCCCCGTCCCGCCGGCCCGGTCCTGCGCGGTCGCGCTCTCCGCCCCCGCACACCCCCGTCGACCTATGCAGGGCCGGCGGGGTGCAGCGCGCAGCGCACGCAACGCTGGGGCGGCCGGGGGAGGCGGCTGCCGGGCCGGGGGTGCTGCAGCTCATAACGTATCGACTGGGCTGGAAAGAAACACGTAACACGTCACGACCGAGTCGCCAATCTGCCCCCGGAGTGGGGGACTCATTTCCCCTGGTGCGATTGGCTCCAGGCGGCTGCAGCAGCACCCTCGTGGTCCACGTCGACGCGGCGCGTCGTTCGCTCGCTGAGGGCGGCGTCGGCGCGAGTCCGTGTCTCGCTGTTCCGGCACAGTGTAGCAGCCTCTTGGGGTGCAGGCTGCCCGAGGCCCGAGGGCCGCCGCCCTGGCCGGCCGTGGGCGGCGAGTCCCAGGGCTGCGCCAGGCTGGTTGCGGCCCCCGCACAGGTCGGCACAGGTGTAAGTACCGGGCTGCCCACGCCCGCCCCGCCCCACCACGCCAGGGCCCCGCGTACCGGCTCCGGCTCTGGAAGCCAACCTGTTGCCGCGCCGTGACGTCCAAGGGGCTCGTCGACGAGCCTGTGATCACAGCGTCACTGTTTGTGCAGGTCGTGGGTTCGAATCCCATTCGCTGCAAAGCGACCCTTTCGGTCCGTCCGTCCGACCGCGTCCCGGCCGCCACCCCAGGGGAAAGGGAAGTGCCTTCCTGGCGGGCGGGGAGGGAGGGGGAGGGGTCATTGCAAATATTGATGAGAAGATGGGAGGTGCAGCTCCCCCGTGATTTGGGTCGCTCTCGGAGCAGGAATCTGGCGAGGGAGTGGGAGCAGCGGCCCCCTGGGAGGGCGGGGAATTTAAATTGGACTGTTTTTACTTTTCATTGCGATGTGTGATGCGGCAGTGCGCTCGGCCCCGCAAAACACTTTCCCCTCCAGCAAGTAAAGGATTGCCACCATAATGATGAGCGCTCTCTCTATCTCTCTCTTCTCATTCTATCCTCTTCTCCATCTCTCTCGTTCCATTCGTCCTCTCTCTTTTCCTTTCTCTCGATTCCGTCATACGCAGTGCCTTGTTGTGCGTCCAATACTTTCACCATGAATCACACGAAGCTAATCCCACTGGCAACCACAGAGCTCCTCAGTGGGTGGTGGTGGTGGTCGTGAGGTCCCACCTAGGGACTGCCTGCCTCAGGGCGCCGTGCGGGGTAGGCAACCTCGCCAGCTCGCATGCAGCCGTGTGCAGCGGGACTGCCTACCTCAGGGCGCCGTGCGGGGTAGGCAACCTCGCCAGCTCGCATGCAGCCGTGTGCAGCGGGACTGCCTACCTCAGGGCGCCGTGCGGGGTAGGCAACCTCGCCAGCTCGCATGCAGCCGTGTGCAGCGGGACTGCCTACCTCAGGGCGCCGTGCGGGGTAGGCAACCTCGCCAACTCGCATGCAGCCGTGTGCAGCGGGACTGCCTACCTCAGGGCGCCGTGCGGGGTAGGCAACCTCGCCAACTCGCATGCAGCCGTGTGCAGCGGGACTGCCTACCCTCACGGCGCGCGAGCGCGTGCGTTGGCGTCTTGGGCCGATGCCTCTGTATCATGTACCGTCCCCGTTGACGCTTACGTAACCTTTTCATAATTGCATTTTAGCCGAGTTGCTCTTGGCGGATCGATGCCTGTGCTCCTTTTGCCCCTCCGTCCGTGTGGTCCTTCCCACCGTCCCGGCGAGTAGTGGCTGACCGAAGCGCCGCCCGGCGGTTCCCCTAGCGGACGGCAGAGTGGAGCGGGTGTTGCTGGCCGCAGCACCCCTCCTTGTCCGGACGGGCTGGACGAGCTGGACGGCCGAACGGGAAGCGGCATGCAGTACGCGGCATGCAGCATGCACCGGACTTAGCCGGTCCGATCCACTCCAGACCGGCAGGCGCTGCCAGGCGTTGCCAGGCCGCCAATCCAGCGTGGCCCTTCCCCGGGTCCTTCCCCTCGGCCCTTTCCGGCCCCTCCCTTCCCCTCCCTTCCCCTCCGCGCCCCGCCGGACCAGGCGACCAGGCCAGGCCGCCGTCCTGCGGGAACGCCGCGCCTCCGCGCCCCGCCGCACCGCGCGCACCGCGCCCGATGTGCGTCGGTCGGACGGCATGGGGCCGCTTGGAGTTTCTCTGCCTGTTCGACCTCCTGACCAGAATGTAGGTCAGTGAACCGACTGGGCAGGGTAGGCCTGCCTGCCTGCCTGCCTTGCCGGGACTCTCCTTGACATTGCCCTGCCGCGCTCTGCCGCTCCGCCGTGGCTCGACGCCCCGCGCCTTGCCCCGCGCCGCCACCGAGTGCGTCTCGCGTCCTCCTCGCTTTACTTCTCCTTTCGTCTCGTCTCGTCCGGGCCTGCTTTCCTCTCCCTCCTCTGGCGGCCCGGGAGCGTTCGGTCCGTCGCTCTCCCCGCTCTCCTCCGTTGGGGGAAGACGGCGCCGTCGACCGTGGCCGTGCTGCCTCACCGTTCGCCTCGCTCGTGGCCGAGACCGCCGCCAAGGCCGTGGCCCCGGCCCAAGCCCCGGCCCAAGCCCCGGCCCGTGCCAGTCAGGCCCACGCGGTACCACGCGGGGCGGCCTGGCGGGGCGGCCTAGCGGGTCGGGACGCGAAAGGCGGCAGATTCAAATTGGATGCGCCGTCGCGTCCGGAGAGCCTGGCGTGCCCATGCCGGCGTAGAGCTGACAGCAGGCAGCGGGGCAGCCAGAGGCGAACTGCTGGAAATTAGTCGGCGACTTCTTTGTTGTCCTCCTTGCAACCTCATTCGGTCCTTCCCCCGCCCCCGGGCCGCCCCCGCCCCGCCCCCGGCCCGAACACTGCAGACCCAGTGCGGGTCGCATCAATTTCCCCTGCAAAACTTTACCGATTCGCCGCAGTCTGGCCGCCCGGGATGGCACGGCACGGCGCGGCACGGCACGGCGGCTACGTGTGTGCGACTGGGCCGCCGCCGCCCTCACCCTCTTGGGAGTGTGCTCTCTCGTGTGCGAAAGAGCGTAGACTTCCCCACAAAGAAAGGAGGGAGGGGAAGGGGGAATCCCGTGTATCGAACTTGGCCGCCACTGATTTGGGCGGCGAAGACGTTCCGCGGGGGACATGAAAGACAAAAGGGATTTCCTTTTGGGGCAAGCCTTTTGGCGCGTTTTGTGCCGCTTCGGTGCCGCTTCGGTGCGGGCGAGGCGAGCACTCTCGGCGCGAACATGGCACTCATCCGGGTGTGATGTGTTGCCTACCTGCCACGGCGTCCACGTGGCACCGCCCGCGATTCCATGAGTTTTAACGCCAATTGTTTGTTTCTCCTGTTGCAGACCGCAAGCTGACAAGACACCTCCGAGGGTGGGGCCGTACTGCTGACCAGCCCCGACCAGCACAGAGAGAACCGACAGCCACAGCCAACCAACATGTTCCCACCAACCCAGTCTTCAACGCTGAAAGCAGTCCATTTGCTCTGATTCTGCTGCGAGGCTCCCCTTTGCGAGGGAGCTCTGTAAAGAAAGTCTAAACTAGTCAACTTTTAAGGAATTCTTTTTATAGAGAAGTTTGCAAACTATGGATATGCCAATGAATGTTTCTTTTCAAGTCAATGGCTCCCTTAAGTGGTAGCAAGTGGTAGCTTCTTAAATAATAAGTGGGGAACAGACCACTTATTTTCTACAAATCTTATACCTCAAGTCAGTTATTTGTTGGAAGCTACTGCATTTGCAAAGTAGACACAATGGCAGCCACAGCAACAGCGAGTCCTATGGACTATGTGCCTGTGAGCCAGTGGTATCAAGACCGCTCAGTATTTGTGACGGGTGGCACAGGATTCATGGGAAAAGTACTAGTGGAAAAATTGCTCAGATCTTGCCCCGGCATAAAGAATATCTACCTTCTCATGCGGCCGAAAAGGGGCCAGGATATCAGCGCAAGGCTCACCGAACTCCTTAATGCCCCTGTGAGTAAATCTCTTTATTGAGCTTATTTATCCCTTTACTTAGAAATTGCGTGTGAATAGACATGACCTTACTTTCATTGTTCCAGTTATTTGACAAGCTCAGGAAAGAACGGCCACACGAATTGAACAAAATAGTTCCAATTCTTGGTGATGTCACAGAACCAGAGCTTGGCATTGGCCAGTCGGATCAGAACCTTCTTATTCGTACAGTGTCTGTTGTGTTCCATTCAGCTGCAACAGTGAAATTTGATGAAGCTTTGAAACTTTCAGTCACTATTAACATGCTTGGAACAAAACGCCTCGTTGAACTGTGTCACAGAATGATGGGTTTAGAGGTATTATTAAAATTATGTTTGATCTTAGATATTTTGCTGGAAGAAATATTGAATAACTAATGTCCTTTTTCTTTCAGGCACTTATTCACGTTTCTACAGCTTACTGCAATTGTGACCGAGAAGAAGTTGCTGAAGTCATTTATCCCCCACCTTATGACCCTGAGAAAATAATCCAAAGTATGGAATGGATGGATGATGATCTTATCGAAGCTATCACACCAAGGTAAGTACCAATCTGATCCTGAACTGCCCTTGTTCATTGTATTTCTCCTATTCATTTAATTTTTTCCTCCCCCATAAAGGTTGATAGGAAATCGTCCAAACACATATACATTCACAAAAGCTCTTGCAGAAACTATGCTGCTAAAAGAAAGTGGGAACCTTCCTGTAGCTATTGTAAGGCCTTCCATAGGTACGTTTGTAATGTTAAAAGTAGTGCTCTAAATGAAAATTTTTTCCCTTATTGTGAGAAAATTTTAAAACTGTTGTGTATTTTTTTTTTAGTTTTGTCATCATTTCAAGAACCAGTTGCTGGGTGGGTGGATAACTGGAATGGGCCAACGGGGATAATTGCAGCAGCAGGAAAAGGCTTCTTCCGTACCATGTTGTGTCATGAGAGTAAAGTTGCAGATCTTGTTCCTGTTGATATGGTCATCAACCTCATGATTGCTGCTGCTTGGAGGACAGCCTCCAACAGGTAAATCATTATCAGATTTTTTTTTTCCCCTTTTCTAGTTTAAAGACATCCTTTTTATTCTCAGTGCTACAATTTTGCTTAAGTGAACTAACTTGTTTATTTGTTTTTAATTTCTAGGCCAGATGGTATTGCAGTTTATAACTGTGCTACTGGAATGCAGAATCCCATCACATGGAAAGAATTTGTGGATTACTCTTTTGTTTTTATGCGCAAACATCCCCTTGGGGATCTTATATGGTACCCTGATGGCCAAATTCATACAAACTGGATGTTAAACAAACTTTCTGTAATGACATTACACATTTTGCCTGCATATGTCCTTGATGGAATTAGCATGCTGTTAGGAAAGAAAAGAATGTAAGTTTGTTGTTTTTCTTCACCATTTCTGTTACATTGATACAAGACAATCTTATGATTTTCCCCTTTGTTTATTGCAGAATGGTCAGAGTACAAGCAAAACTGGAGAAAGCAGCAAAGTGTCTTGAATACTTCTCTACTCAGCAATGGCGCTTTTCTGATGATAATGTGCGCCACCTAAATTCAATGCTCAGTATTGAAGATCGAAGTACATTTATGTTTGATGTCCGTCAAATTAATTGGACGCAGTACCTTGAAAGTTATGTTCTTGGTATTCGGCAATTCATTTTCAAGGAGCATCCCAGTTCAATACCTAAAACCAGGAAACAGTTGACAAGGTAACTATCAAAATTTTTATTCCTTATGGGTCAAAACTACAATTCGAACTTTCAATGTAAATGTCATCTCCATATGGTTGCTTTGTTGTTTTCAGATTGCTTTGGCTTCATCGCTTTTCACAACTCTTGGGAGTTGTTCTTGTGTGGAGGGCTCTCATGTTACGTTCAACTGCAGCCCGCCGTCTGTGGTTCCTTCTTCTTGATATAATGGTTCGGATGGCAAGAATGATACCATATGTTTGACATGGCCAGAATGCTAACCATGCAGTGCATCAAAAAGTACCTGCACTTGTCAACTGTGTGAAGAAAGAAAAATCTCACCTAAATTCAAGTGCTTTTTGTTGTTATAAGGCAAGGACCTAAGCAGATTGTTAGTGATCACTTTAGGAATATACTGTGGATGCAGTGTATTCAGTGCTCAGGGCCTGGTCAGTGCTACTTTTAGATAATGTAGTGCTGCTCAGCATCGTTCAGCACTACATTCCACACAGTACTGCAGAGCTTTATGTGGTGCATGTGCAATTGTGTCCTAAGAAATGTATGGTGGGCAGTTAGCTATGGTAGCTTTGTTTGAAATTTTTTCTTGTTGTTTATATATTGATGATAAGATAAAGTTGCTTTTGTGAGTATTTTGTGAGAAATGTGCATGCTGTCAGAGCATCACACTTGTTATTACACACGCTGTGTTTTAGACCATCAGTCCAAATCTCTGCTGTTTACTTAAACATATATGGAAGTGATTAGGGGCGAAATTATACTTGCTTCATGTTTGAAGTGTGCCAACCGTCCCTTTCTGTAACATCTCAAGTGTATTCATGCTTAATGATCATGTTGACTTTATCTTACTAGCTGGATAAACATGAAACTTGTAGAGTTCCAGCTTATGTATTTTTCTTGCTCTCAAGTCACAGCCTAATGGAGTTGCAGTACTATGTTATTCTTAGACTGCCTATGTTGTTATCCCAATGGTAGCTTTTGTGACCATTGTTTTTCTGTAATATTATTTTGATAACAATGCTTTAGAGCGATGTACTGGGTAATTGGCCATCTAGAAAGATGTTTTTCTCCCTTCCTTTTCATGGTGGTTACAATTGTGTCACATGCTCACATTTTTTGTGTCTGTGTTGGTGACTAAAAGCGATGGGTGCCTGTATGTATTTGTTGTGTGTATTCCAAACCTTTGTGTACTTGAGTGTGAAATCTTGTGCAATCAAATTTGCTGATCCCCATTACTGCTCAAATTTTGAGCAAGACTTAAGTTAAAATTCTAAAGTTATGAATGTTTCCGTTCTAGTTCTCTGTGGTACTCTCAACCTCTAATTTCAAAAAATACATTGCACTGTAATTCTGTGAGTGAAAACTTCTGAATTTCTGCTTCCCCCATTATTTCTCTTGCTCTTTATTACTCCAAAACGGTTCTCAGCTTTAAATGGATTTAGACTGTTCCAACATTGTGACAGCATTAATTTGAGTGAGAAACAATGGAAAGCTCTAGCTCTGTCTAGCAAGTTATAGGATGAAGTGTTGTTAAGCTTCTGGCATCATCTTCTATGTTTGTGTGTGCAAAATGCTGTTTTATGTTACCTTATTTACTATACCATTATAATTATCAGCTTAATTATGCCTATCATTTACTTGGTGAAGTATTCATCAAAAAGGACGTTACTTTATTACTGTTTTTATTTATTTCTGAGGTGTACATAGATTTTCATTGGCATTTTTAAAATTGTTATAATTTATATTTGATGAGACAAATGCAATGAATTATCAAATTTGTTTATGGCCTTAATCTTGTCATTGAAGTTGAGATATTTTTGCACAGCTTCACTTTTCTGTTCTTTTATAAATAATTCCTTTCCTCACCTACTTAGAAGAAGAAAACAAAGAAAGTTTCCAGTAGCAGTCATCAAAATTTATGTTCATGAGAAGATTACAGTTAGTCCAAACAAGATCCTTTGAGAATTCATTGTACTTCTCTTAATCATAATTTTTGTCACATACCCTTAATCAATGAAAATTGGTCATAATTCATTTTCTGAGATTGGATTTAAAAGCTGTAAGTTTATTTTTGATTGATTTCATTCAAGCAATGGGTTCAAGGTGATTATTGTGTAACAGTTACTTATCTCAACAAAAAGAAAAGGTTGTGTGTTAGCTCATTAGCTACATTTGTCCTTTAGGCCACTTGTTTGTTGTCATCCATGATGAATTTATGTCCTTTATTGCAATAATGCACAAGATGCTGGACTTTTTACGTTACCTTTACACACAATAAGAGATATGTTGTAAGCAACCTACTGCCATCTGCAATTCATGTGAATGTTTCAAGAATAAGTGCAAAAGTATTGCCAAATTAGTGAGAGCTGTAGGAGTAAAATTGTTGCTATTCTGTATTGAGTCGAAGTGGACATCGTCTTTGGACATTGCATTCACAATGATGAAGAAATGTTCTGGTTCTACATTTAGAAAGTTGGTAATGTTTCTATAAATAAAATTAAAAAAAAAAAGAATCATTTGTTTATATTGCATTGTACTTTTTACATTAAAAAGTATGGTATGTTTTGTAGAAACTTATGTATTTACCAAGTCAGAGGTGTAAATCATGACCATTTAAAGAGACATTTAAAAGTGGCATTTATGATTTCTGAAGGAGTGCTGTTGCGTTTATTGGGCTTTTCATTGCATTTTAATGCAAAGTTGCATACTGCCATTTCCATTGGGAAGGACAGAGTCGGCTGGGCATTTGTGTGCGTGTGCGCTTGTATGTGTGCAAGGAAGAGAATATTTGGATGAGTGACTCAGTGTGTTTGCATGTAGCTATGTCCAATAGTGCTAGAACAATCGTACCATGATACTCAAATGTGTCAAATTAAAACATTTTTTTCCCCATTCTTCAGCTATGTTGGTGCTATCTCCTGAAAAAAATTATTTTTCTTGTTGTCTAACAACTGAGTAAAGTAAACATGCTTTGAATTGTTATGATCGTTGAGCCTTTTCTTGTAGAAACTCAAATGCTTGGTGGCGTACTGAAGGTTTGAAATTTGGCTCTTAAATGTTAGGGAGCTGGTACCAACTTCTTGATGTATTCCTTTAATTTTCCTTATCTATTATAAATTTGTTGATTCTTAACACCACATAGAAACAGAGGTGGGTTATTCCCATGTATCCATTTCTGAAGTTGAATTTTCTTGTTATTCTTGTGAAAAATTAGTGAGTTGTGTAACTCCTTTGAGCTCAAATATCAGATATCGTGAAAATTAAAATGATTGTAGTTAAAGAGGGTGATGTGCAATAGTTTGTAGATTTTGATGAAAATTTTGTCGCAGTTCAGTCAATGAGTCTCACCCAGTCGAATATTTTTGAGGATAATTGATGTATAAAATACATAAATAATAATTATTATAATGATAAATAAAACAACAAAGGCATTTCTCGCTGTTCAGCAAACACCTTCAGCAATCATGCTACCTATTTCAGAGCCTTCACACTTTTTTTTAGCTGTGATCAGAATTGATGATTTTTTAAAGGTATGATAACAATAAGAATATTTGCCAAATGTAACCTGCGATGATAATTTTGTTGTTTAATTTTCTGTGCTGAAATTGCTGCTCTAGTTTAAATTTTGATGTGGAGGGAAAAAGGAAGGCACTTTTTAAATTGAACATTTCTTTCTGTTTACTATGTTCCAAGAAGAAGAAAACTTGTCTTTGCTTTCTGAAATCTGAGCTTGAAATGTGAAATCAGCCTTAACTTCAGCAATACTAAGAGAGTGACTTTAAGGTCTGTCATGCAATTGAATAATTATTTCAAGATAATAAAGTTGGGTGCAACCTTGGGCTTCTTACGTTCCAACATTTTCTCCAGAAACATTACTTGGGATTTTGGCAAAGGTGGACAAAGGGTACACCCTTTAATGCCATTGCCTCTGGAAATGCTGTTGGTGGAGATTCTGAAACCACAAGTGTAATCTTATTATTCAATTGCATCTCCAGACCGATTACTTTGTTTTTTGTTTGTTCTTTTTTTATCCTGAGTTAAAATTTGTATGTATAATAGGAGTTTAGGTCTAGTTTCTTTTTCATTTAATGTAAGAGCCTTATGCAATCACTTGTTGCAAAAACGCATGTCGGTAAATAAATAAAAGTATGGCCAATTTATGGCCATGATATAAACTGAAACGAGTCAATATTAGTAGTTACTAGCTTATTTCATTCCCTCTGTCCTTGGCAAGTGTATTCTAAAATTCACCGATCCTGGAGTTAAGCCCCACTGGCTTCACAAGACGCTTAATCACCCATGCGCTGGGAGGATAGAGAATCCCTCTGGCAGCGGCCGAGTCTCAAGATTTAGTTATTGAATGAAACAGTCCATGCACAGAAACAAATGTCATATTTTATTGAGCTTGATGAATGGTCATACAATTCCTACAAAATTGTCGATCTTGCATCTCAAAACAAATTTCTTCTTAAAACAATTTTACTCTTAAAATAATGCAGATTTGGTAACTAAATAGCTCTGAGCACAGCTCTTCAAAGAAAGCATCTCCCCTTACTTTAACATCCCGTCAAACTAATAAGAGAGACCATTAGGTAACAAAAATTCATAACCCTGCATCATATATCTAGGCTAAAACTGGTATGCCAAGTAACCAGCAAGGCTTACCCATCCCTCGCCCGTCAGGACGAATAAAGTAATTTACAAAATAAAACAATTATTAAACAAGATACAGGTAAAAACTACAATATACAATCAGTACATAAAAACACGTGATGACGTCATGGGCATAAATGTCTCAATGATATGTACAGTGGTAGATAAAACACGTTTGAGGGCGAGGCCCGGCCCGGCCTAGCCCACGACGGGCGCGGCGATGGGGCCGAGGGAGGGCAGGGCGGCGCGGGTCACGCCGGACACCAGGGAGACGGCCCTGGCCAGGATGCCGAGCAGCAGTGACCAGACGCGGCGGGCGATCTGCGACCGCGACAAGACCAACCGCCACATCAGCGTCACCGTCACGAACTGGCTCAGCCGGTGCACGAAGAACATCCTGCGAGACAGACACAGCGAGCTCAGCACCAATAGGCAGCCCCCACACATTGCGAGAGGCGTTTCGCCGCCGTCTCTGTCGCACTCACGGGCTGTTCCATGGGAGTGCGAGAGAGACAGAGCGACACGCCCGACCGATGCCGCTTACTTCCTGAGGTGGGCGCGCGCCTCGGGGAAGGTGCTGGGGTCCTCCTTGAGGATGAACTTCCGCGTCCCCAGGACGTACGTGTTGAGGTACGCGTCCCAGTCCAAGTCCGCGATGCCGAAGTCGAACACCTTGCGGTCTACGGGCGTCAGCTCGGCCAACAAGTGCTGCACGTTGCCGTCCGCGAAGCGCCACTCGCTGGTTGTGAAGAACTGCAGGCACTTGACGGCTTTGGTCAGGCGCTGCTGGATTCTCACCATCCTAAGCAGAGCAAAACGTTAGTTGTACGGTGGGACTTGTAGCGCCCAGGCCAGACCTCTAGAAGGACACTCACTGCGGCTTCTTGCCCGACGCGCGCGCCACGCCGTCCATGATGTAGGACGGCACCACGTGCAGCGCGAAGGCGCACACCTCGTTGTACATCGACGAGCTCTTGAAGGAGCCGCCCGGGTACCACAGCACGTTGTTGTAAGGGTTGCGTCGGAGGTGGGTCCTGCCCACGTTCTCCAGCACGGACCACTTGATGGGGTTCTGCGCGCCGGACACGCAGTTGTACACCACCACCTCGTTGGCGCACTTGTTGGCCTGCGGGGCAGAGAGGGGTAAGTCCGGGGCGACGGCAGGTACGTGGCGAAGCAAGGACGAGAGGCTTACGTCACCGTCGGGCTCGCGCGCCGCGGCAGACAGCGCCCTGCTCCTCACGGTGGCGGTCTTCCAGGCCACGGCCACCAGCAGGTTGATGCACACGTCCACGGGGATGAGGTCGGCCACCATGTCGCGGTGGCAGTACAGCGTCCGCAGCACGCCCTTGCCCGCGCCCACCAGCAGCCCCGTCGGCCCGTTCATGTTGTCCACCCAGCCGGGGATGGGCTCCCGGCGCGCGGCCGTCACTGACACAGGACAAGGTCACCACACGCACGCCAAAAAACACAACCGAAACCCCAGTTTCACACGGACTCCAGGCCAGCGACTTACCGATAGACGGCCGAACGATGGCGAGCGGCAACTTTCCGGCCTCATTCATGACCAAGGTCTCGGCCAGGGCCTTGGTGAACGTGTAGGTGTTGGGCCGGTTTCCGAGAATCCTGAAGGACATGAGAACGGAAAGTTCAAACATACGCAAAGCGGTGCGCGGTGTGGCGCTCAGGTAGTGGCCGTTCGGGAGGCACTGGAGGCAGAAGTCGCAAGACTTACTTGGGCGTCATGTGGTCTGCCATCTCCGCGTCCATCCAGTCCACGCACTGCGCCAGCTTCTCGGGGTCCGTGGGCGCGGGGTACACCTTCTCCTCGACCTCACTGCGGTCACAGTTGCAGTACGCCGTGGACACATGGACGAAGGCCTGCGACAAGGAGCAAGGTCACGGGTTCGAATCCAGCGAGGGCCCCCCCTGCCTTTTCGTAAGGCGTTGGCCAACGCCGCGGCCAGTGGCGCCTTGGCCTGCAGCCAGCGCTCCATGGCCGCGGGCGCCGCGGGGGCCGCGGCGTCGTGCCTCCACGTCGTACTCACCTCGAGCTTCTTCATCTGGCGGGCCAGCTTGAGCATGCGCTTGGTGCCCAGCATGTTCATCTCGATGGACAGCTTGATGGCCTCGTCGAACTTGACGGTGGCCGCCGAGTGGAACACGACGGACACCTCCTCGACCAGCAGCTCGCGGTCCGTGGTCGAGATGCCGAGGTCGACCATCGTCATGTCGCCGGGGATCGCCACCACCTTGCGCAGCGCGTCGGGCCGGCTGCGCCGCAGCTCGTCGAAAATCTGCGACAGCGAGAGAGCGTCAAGTACTTGCTCTGCGTTGTCGTTCCGTAGCCCCGCGTCGCGCGGTGCCCACTCCATGTTGCTTACCGTGGTGTTGAGCAGGTCGTCCAGGCGGTGGCGCGCGTCCACGCCCCTGCGCGGCCGCATCAGCAGGTACAGCGTGCTCACCTCCGGGCAGCTCCGCAGCAGCTTTTCCACCAGCACCTTGCCCATGAAGCCCGTGGCGCCCGTGATGAGCACCGAGCGGCCGCGGTAGAAGTCGCTCACGGGGCTGGCCGACAGGCTCTCCATCTGCAACACGGCGCACAGGGCGTTCGCCAGGGTTAGAGCACCACCCGGAAGTCCATGAGGAGCTAGAGAAACCCCCGCCTGCTCCGCCCCGTCAGTGCGGGCCGCGCCGGGCCTAGCGTCATTGGCCAACGAACGGCGCGCGGCACATCGCCACGCCACGCCCCATACTTTGCAGTGTGCCAAGGGCGCGAGGCGAACGCGACACGGCGTGGCACGGCACGGCGGCCACGCTGTCCAAGCCCATGAGGAGCCTTTTGTGAAAGCCACGCCGAGCGCGTAATCAAAGGCAGGCGAGCAGCACGGGGGTGGACGGACGGGGTCCGGGGTGGCCCCCTCGTGACGCAACACGCCCAGGGTGTTGTCGACCTCCAGCACCTCCAGCAGGACGGCGTTGGGGGCCGCCACGCGCCGCCCCGCGAGCCGCGTCGTCAAAATATTTGTTCAACGGCATGATGGCTCAGAGTGTCAACTAGCATGTGTCCGAGCGACAGAACAAGCACGGCGCTGGAAGTCAATTATTTGCTTTTCGGGGGAATCGGCTCAACACATTTTCTGCAGAGTTGCAGACGAAGGGGGTGGGAGGAGGAGGGGGCATTCCCCGGCCCAATGCACGAGGGGAGACGGGCGGGGACTTTGCTATGGAGTTGACGCGCGCTTCGAGAGCACACGCCAATTTTCGCAAGTATTCCTGGAAAAGTGGGCCTCTTTGATCACGTGCCACGAGATGAGCTCTCTGTCGTGCACTGGCGATTCCTTCTGGGAATCGGTGTGCAGGCCCGGTAATGAGCGGACACGGCCGAACCATGGGGCCGCCGAGCCGAGCCGCCGAGCCGCCCTCCATCCCCGGCGTCAAGGTGAAGGGGAGCAGAGGCCGGGGGAGGGGCAGGGGCAGGTGTTGGGTGTTCGCGGTCCGCCGCTAAAACTCTTGCACAACCGCCTGCAGCTCGCGGCTGCGTCCGGAACACAACCACACCGGCGGCGCCGAACCAAAAACAATGCACGCCGAGCCCGCTTCCGAACGCGCCCGACCTGAAGGGGCGGCCGGGCCGAACGGCCGGTGGGCGAATCGCACGCAGAGTGCGTCTCCGGTCAGCCTGAACCCCCTCCGGTCCAAAGTCGCCGCCAACACGCGCTGGGCAGCCGGCGGCCGCCGCGGTCCGAAAGCCAGGACGACCCCAACCCAAGGGCCCAACGGCGCAAGGACGGGCAGGCCTTCAAGGTCCCGGACCGCCAGGTCAAGTGGGTCACGCACTGGTGGAGGCCAGAAGGGGCGGCCGCCGGGGTCACAGGCAAATACGGCGAGGACACGGGGAGGGGGAGGGGGAGGGAGGACGGGTTCCGTTATGATACATAAACAAAGGCGGCCGATTTCGGGGAGCTGGGGGAGGAGTCAAGTCCAGTCATTGAACTTCGAAAATTGTCCCAGATTAGACCCAACTGCGGCACGGCACGGCACGGCCGGAGCCGATGACGGCCGTTCTGCGTGCCGCCGCCGGCGTGTGTCACGCGCACGGGCACCGCTTCGGCAAACACGCCCTGAGGTGTGAAAAGAGGGACTTCACGGAACATGGACGCGTCGCCGACGTCGCCTCGACGACGAGACCTTCAACTTGAGGCAATCGTTGCCGCGCGCGGAGTCATTCTGACAGTTTTAGTGCGGTGCGCACTCTATACTCCAAGTTGGGTACGTGCAAGCCGGGTTTTTGAAAAACCAGTCCCGCCATCATCGGCAGCGATAAAGTGCGACCAAAGACGTATTTCCATTACAGTGCATCAATCGTCACTGGCTGATGGTCGCGCGACACTAAAACCGAGGCACATCCGAGCACATCCTTTATGCGACCGCGAAAATGCCATTCCGGCACACCCAAACGGCCTAACGGCCAAACGGCGCAATGCAGCCATCGCTGCCAGCACACTCGACCGTCGCGGCCAATTCGAGTCAATCAATCTTGCATGCAACACGTCGAAGGCACATTCGGACAAAGCGGCCCGCAGTTCCGCTTTTTGCTCAAAAAGTGTCCAAGACAACCCAACGGCGCGATTTCACCCTCTCAGGTAGAAAGCCGAAGAACAGCGAATTTTGTAGGGAGGTAAGTTTTTTCCCGCCAGCCAGTTGTCAAAACTCTGCAGGGGCATTGGCCTGCACTTTTGGAGAAGAGTGGGGGAAGGTGACCCAGTGGCGCAGGCGGCGCAGGTGGCTTCATATTGGGGGCGTCCAAAATCAGCATGCGCGAGGCGCTGCCTATGACTGGGCGTGTCTGGCTGCGTCCGGGGCGGCCGCCAGACAGCCACAGACAGCGCCGCCGCGGGCTGTGAAGCCTTTGCGGGCGCCGGGGCGAGGGCGTCGCCGGGGCGTCGCTTTCGGACGCGGGCGACGCGGGCGCACAGCCCAACAGACACGATCATTGCATTCTAACGGGGTCCGCCGGGTGCTGGAGGGAGGGGGAGGGGGAGAGGACGGAGGGGTGGGGGAAGAGGGAAGAGGGAGGAAGAGAAGGGGGAACCACGCTGGCTCGCTGAGTCCTCCAGCAAACGCGAAATCGTGTCGGAAATCAAAACGCGCATCGATACCCCCCCCCCCCTCCCGGAGGACTGTTGGGCCTACCCGCAAGAAACAGGCAATTCGGTGCACTAAACTGACAGGAGGAGAGGTGTAACAGAACGGTACGAATGCGCTGGAATAATGGCGCATGCCCGCCTGATGCCTGTACTCGGGTTGCGAGACGAAGTCGACCGGAGAGACATCTTCTGCGTCTTGTTTTCTCGCGTCTTCGAATGAATAAGATGAGGCTGGAGACATCGCTTTGCCGGGCCCGCTACGCCAACGCCACGCCTCCGACGCGACCCAAGCGTGAATGCACTTTGATGGCGAGCCAATTAGAATGCCCGCTAGAGACGGACTCAAACAGGTCGACTCGTTGGCACAGGCTGCTGGACCGTAAAGACGAACCGGCACGATTGCCCGTGGACCGGACCAGGCCATCACTTCTGTGTAATATTTTTCCTACCGGCCTCTGGTTGTGTGGCGTATTGCACTTCACGTTTGTTCGGGACAACTTGTCGAGCGACTTGCCGACTTGCTGCGGGACGTTGCGCGGGTTACGTAAAGTCTGTTCATTAGCTTATCCGAGGGGCTGCGCAGGGAGCGCAGATGATACAATGACCAATCCGAGGACCATTCATTTTACCCAGAGGGCATCCACCGTCAACAAAGACTTCCGTCTGGATGTGACTCTTGCAGGGTGCCATGGAAGGGACGATTACTCAACGGGTCCAACCAGCAACGCAACAACTCAATTCAAATTGAGCTGATGCGGCCAGGTAAAGCCAGCCATGGACCTCAGCACGGCAGTGGGGTGGAGAGCACGGAGTCGTGCCTTGCTTGCTATCGTCGAGCCGACACGAGTTTTGTGCAGCCCTCTCACTCGCACTCATGGGCTACCAAAGGCCATCTCCTCGTCCCTACCTTATTCTCGCGTCGGTTCCACTATTTAGTTGTCCCATCTAACCAAACAAAAACAACAACAATCGCTTTCGCTCTCGTTTCCGACAGCGACCTTTGGTGAACACGCAGCCACAGCAGTGCCGCGCCACTGTGCTTGACTGCTCGGCGCCCGGCGGGAGGGATGGTGCTCACCTTGCTCACGTTCACCATGCTGGTCCTGTTGATGTCTGGGCGGTATGGTGCCGGCTGGCCGAAACCTCACACACACGCACTCGCGCACGCACACACACGCACTGTCGCTCGCGCACTAGATGGACGTGGGCCCTGCTCGGCAGTGCTCCTCCGTGGTCCGCCCGCTTCCTCTCGACACCGGTGTGACACTGACAATGGCCCTAGCCGCCACCAAACGGCAAGCGACGCGACGCCAAGCCCGCCAAGCAGCGAAGCGCAGTCGGCCACCTCGCTCGTCCCTCACTGATCTGCCCCACTCCGCGCGGCACGCCGTCAGGCCGTCGGCACGCCGTGCCAGTGGCTGGCTGTGGCTGGCTGTGGCACGTGTGGCACGGTGACTGTGCCACGCCGTGCCGTGCCGTGGTGCCGGACAAGGTGGTCGTCGCCCGTCGTCGTCGGTCCGTCGGCCTGTCTGCGACGCGTCCGTCTGTCTGTCCGTCTGTTTGTCCGACCTTCCGCCAGTGGCGCGTGGTGTGGCTTGGCGGTGCGTGTGGGGCGCAGGCGCAGCGCGCGGCGGTGACGCGTGCAGAGGGAAGCGGGGGAGAGGGGTGGAAGACGCGCGCTGGCGGGGCTGGCGGGGCTGGCGGGGCTGGCAGCAGCCACCCTTGACGCCGGCCCGGGAAATAATGGGCCGGATTACCCCCGCCCTTCGCCTTCGCCTTCGCCCTGCTCCGCCCGCCTCGAATCACTCCGGGCTGAGAGAGAGAGACCCTTCGCTGCCGTGCGCCGTGCCCTTCCGCCCCGTCGTCCCGCAAGCTGCCGCCGTGCTGCCTGCCGCCCTCCGCCCTCGCAGCTTCAAAGTGCTCCCACCTGATTCTGTGACTCTGGGCTAACGAATCCAATCAAACACAGCCCTTCCTTCTCAGCCTTCCGTCCTTCCTTGCCGTCTCGCAGGGCGCTTCCATGGCGCTGCAGGGCGCGGCCCCTCGCCGTGGCACACTGCCAAACTTCGGGCTGGAGGGTGTCGCGTTGCTGGGCTCGCCATTCGTCATGCGTGCCGGCCGTGCCGGTGCACTCGAACGCCGCCGTCGGCGTGTCGTGTCACCCCGGTGTCGGCGCGGAGCTGGCAAGGTCGGCGCCTGGTGGCAAGCCAACGACCGGACGGGCCGACGGGCCGGGGTGGCGATGGACCCCGGCGAACACTTCTGCGGTGTTCAATCCAGTGCGTGGCGGCACTAATACCGCTCCCAAACTAAGGCGACCAATCGCACTCCGTAACAAAGGTGTTCTAAAGAAAGGCCCAAAGAGTACCCACCCGTTGAGGGAGAACGATTAGGCGCCTTAGATTAGACGCAGTGGCTGCCTAAAGTCAGGCCAAACGACGATTTCTACACATTTGTTACCGTTTCGACAAACTTTGCTGCAATACCGCTCCCAAACTAAGGCGACCAATCGCACTCCGTAACAAAGGTGTCCTAAAGCAAGGCCCCAAGAGTACCCACTCGTTGAGGGAGAACGATTAGGCGCCTTAGATTAGACGCAGTGGCTGCCTAAAGTCAGCCCAAAGCACGATTTCTACGAACCGTTTCGACAAACTTTTTTTCCTTCCATGGTCTTTGCCCGGGCACTGGCACCGCCACCGCCACCTCCACCTTTTGCGAGCTCTCGGGCCACCCCTGTCGCACGGCGGCCGTTCCGGGGACGCTAGTTTGACATTCCTGCGGCCGAGTTTGCGAAACACAGCGGCCGGCGCGGTGCAACGGCTGTGCGGCGCGGCGCAGCGTCGAAACAAAACAAAGTGAGACGGAGCGCGTCGCTCGCGCGTCGACGCCGAACCGCCGAGCCACGCCGAACGCAGAGCGGGGGCGGACCGAACTGGCGACCAACACCCCTGCAGACAGATTGCCGCCCCCACGATCCGCCCCCACAAGCCGCCCCCTCCCCCTCCACGTGCCGAGGGACTTGGACCACAAGTAAACAGGAGGGACGTGCGTGCGTCGTGCGACTCAGTGCCATTTCTCCGAAGTACCCGCTGGACCGCGAAGTGACGCGATTGGCTGGCAAATGTGAGAGATGAGCGCACAGACGGACAGACGCGCTGGGATGCCTCCACTCCCCTCGGCACCTGGGCTCGAACAAACAGAAGGACGGACCGGCGCGCACAGTCGCACCTTACCCAGGCCCTGCCCTCCCCCCTCCACCCCTCTTCACACTCGAGCAGGAGAGGTTGTCTTCAAATTTCAATTTCTTCCTTCTGTCTTGGCATAGACAGTTTTTCTCGGCTTTGCGTTATACAAGTTAAATAGGAAACTGAATGACGCAAAGCCGAGAATATGACAGATTGGACTACATAGGACACAAGTGATTGCAAGGACTGAGGTGCTGAAACGGAATCAAAAGGAAGGCTCTAGAAAACTTCTAGGCGGCGTATGTTGCTCTAGAGCCCGGCCAGCCTGCCGACATCCTCGCTCAAGTTGGAATTAATTGCACTGCTGTAAAATAGTAGGCGGTGCGGTTTTCATCTGTCTGACGGGGCTTTCGATTGTGGGTGTACTAACTTGTTTTCGTTGTCTTTTGTTTTTCAAAAAATAAATTTGGAAAGAAGTATTGAGAACACTTAGAGGTCATGTTTTTCAAAGGGCAGTTACCACGGTAACCAAGCCGCAGCCTAGCGTCCATGTCGCGACGGGCGGTTCGAGCCAAGCCCAGTCCAGGCTGCGCCACCCCTGCGGCGATGACGAGGACCCCCGCGAGCGACGAGCTGCAGTTTCTGGAAGGCCCTGGACTGGGGCTCGCCCTGGGGAGGGGGGGCTCTCAAGTCCGAAGCAGTCTGAAGGCTCTGGTGACGTGTGTCGGTCGAAGCGAGCTGGCGGTTTTAGTTTATTCCTATTTACTTTCGTCTCCGCTGCCCGGCCGGCCGGCCGGCGCCCCGCCCCTGCCGCGGTCCAGGGCGGCCCGCCAAGCGCGTCAGGCGCGTCAGACCGGGGAGGTGCTAATGAACCCTTGAACGGCGCTTTGTTTTGCAGCATCCTTCGTGCGTCCCGTCCCGGTGCCGTCCCGGTGCCGTCCCGGTGCCATCCGCACGCGCGTCCCGTCAGTCCCGTCGCCCCGTCCAGTCAGTCCGCCGGTTGCCATCCAAGTGCGCCAAAGTGCGTCAAACCCGCCGGCCAGGCCTGGCCAGGCCGCGCTCGCCATTCGCGCACCCGAAGTTAGCGCCCCGCCTAGGTGTGTTCACTCCCCTGTCGATGGACTGCCGCGACCCGCCGGCCGCCAGCGCGCTGTGGGGCCGACGACGGGGCGAGACGACGCGGCCCGGCCGCCTCTTGGACTTCGGCCGCGCCGTCTGCGCCGCCCCGTCACCCGACGTCACGTTTCCGGAGGCCAAGCAGAAAACAAGCAAAACAAACATAAAGAGCACTCGTGTTAATTGGGCTGCCTACTTCTCGGCGCGGCGACAGCGGAGCAGGAGGAGCTCCGCTAGCGGCGCCTCGTCGCTGTCACCGCACGGCCGCAGCTCCTCCAACTACACCGAGTCCAATTGGAGCTAGCTAGACGGCGACGGGGAAAGCGAACAAGTGCAAAGTTCGCGTTTCGCGGATTTTCAATGGGAATTTTCGGAGCATCCAGAGCCGGAGAATGACAGGATCGTCAACGGGAAAGGAAAACGACGCTTTAAACGAATTTCTGTTTCAGAGCTTGCTGAAATAGGCCCGCATAGTCAGACGTGCGCCACATTTTCAACGACTCTGCGGCGACTTTTTGTCGAACATAACGAAGCGCTGCCGCGCTGCACGGGGGTGGGGGTGGGGGACCGCTCGGGATGCCGCGGGACACTGAATGGGCCGTGGCTGCGTGGGCTGGGCAGGGTGACTCACGCCCCCTCCCCCTTTTCCTTCATCCCTCAGTTTGCTTCTCCCCTATAATGCATCCCCCCACCCCCACCCCGTCCGCATCGCAACACACTTCACTCCGTTGTCGCAAACAGTCGCCTCCCCCGCACGTCGTCGTCCCGGCCTGGTCCCGGCCTGGTCCCAGCACGCCCTCCCCGCCCACGCCAGGACGCGAGGACGCGAGGACGCCGAGGACGCCACACCCGCCGAGTTTGCGGCACGCCCATCCCGCCCAGCGCGCCCAGCGTGCGGCGGACGGGACGCCCTGGAGGCGCGGTGCCTCGTTCACCTCGTCGGCGTCGTCGCCCCGTCCTCGTCGAGCGCCTGGCGGGTAGGCAGCGCGCGCGCACCGCTGCCAGCGGGAAGCCTACCTCCCAGGCTGGCGCCTCGCTGCCATGGTTCTTGTGGTCCTTGTTGTTTTGCGCGCTCGTTCTACGTGCTCGATGGATCGGTGAGTTCTGAACGACGGCCCCCTCCCCCCTCCCTCCCCTCCACGCTCCCCTCCCGCCCAACCCTGGCCACCCCTAACCCCATTCTAGCCGCCCAGCTTGCCCCTCCGTGCCCCGCCTCTTACCGCCCCGCCCGGCCTACCCTGTTCGCCGATCGAAGCTCGCCTTCTGGGGCCCGGACGACCCGGACGGCGCGGACGGCGCACAGCCCCCCGGGGCCGAGAGGGCCGAGAGGGCCGAGGCCCAGCGCCACTGCCGGGCCACGGCCGGGCCATCAATGGGGGGCGTCGCCCCATTCATCGGCCTCGTCCTGCCGCCTGCCGCCCCACAGTGGGCCAGAAGCAGGCCAGAAGACCCGTGCAGGCGGCCAAAAATCTAGACGCGTTTTGGGCTCCACAGTCGCTAAACAGGACTCGAACCAAACGTGTGACCCCACCAATGGATTCCTCGTTCGGAGAGCTATCCATTGGTGGGGTCACGCGGGCGGTTCGTGTCCCTGTCGAGCGGCTGTAGCTCAAAACCCGTCCGGAATTTTGGCCGAAAATTTTAGTGGGCCGTAAGAAAGAGCCCAGGATTTAAATTTGTCCCTGGCCTGTTTGGAGGCGACCCATTCATCCTTGTTCTGAGGAAATAGTTCTGAGTGGAATCAGCCTACGTGGCGACGAGTCGGTCACCCCGCGACCAAGCGCTTGCGTGTACCGGTTCCGCCCCTGGGTGACCGAGGTGCGAGGCGCGAGGCCCCAACCCCACAGGGAAGGCCCACCCAGCCGCCCTGACCTGCTCCGGCCCCCATTCACTCGGCGAAAACATGGCTGGAGCTGGCCTGGCTCGACGCCCCCCCCCCCTCCTATCCCCTGCCCTCCTCTTCCGGAGACATGGTAACGCCGCGTCGGCTGCCTCACCGAAGCGCGAAGCACGCCCCGCGTCTTGTTCATTCACGAGCACCACGCTCAACTGCCATTGTCTGTTTTGGGGTGGGGTGGGGCGGGGCGGGGTGGAGCGGGGAGGCGGGGCCCGAGGGGCGTTCTGCGACGTGCTGTGCCCGGTGAGGACC